GGAAGTAGTGCTTCACATGATAGGCAATGGTTGGATGGTTGACATTTGAAAGTTCATAATTCAAATGAATTGTTACAACATGTGACAAGGGCTTTATTATATGCAACCTTGTTTTTATGAATGTAGCAATGGATATGTGCGTTTTTTCGAGGTATTAAAACAAGGAAGTTTTGAAAAACTATATATACCCAGATGAGGCATATTTTTATCCTTTTTTTCTTTTCTTTTTTTACCTAATAAATTTCAAATTTTTACCCGACCGAAGGATGGGACACAGCAAACATCGCTTATATATCTAATGACGATTGCGGAGCAATATATATTGTTGATTCGAAGACTATATCTAGTACGAGAAAATGATTTATAAAGAATGATGATTCAGAAAAATATTTACATATGGAGAGTTACAATGTATTTGCCAGGAAATACCCACAATTGCAAAAAAATGTTTGCACATGTGGAACGACACATTAGTTATCGTGGGGAAATAGTTAATGATTTTTGTGAAGCTTCAGAAAAACCTATAATTTTATTAAAAGATGGGAAAAAAATGAATTGAATTTCAAAGCGTCTACTATTATGTCTGGATGGAAGAGTATAGATAAAGTTCCTTATGTAGTTAAACATTCTGGAGTAGAGGTAAAATCCAAACCCAATTGTTGCACAAGATTTGTAAGTGGAAGCGGTGGTTCACATGCTGAGCAGTACTTGGATGGTTGGAATTTGAAAGTCCATAATTGAAATGAATTGTCATAACATGTGACAAGGGTTTTATTATATGCAACTTTTTTTATGAATATAGCGGTGGATATGTGCACTTGTTTGAGGTATTAAAACAAGGAGGTTTTGAAAAGCTATATATACTTGGTTGAGACATTTTCTTATCTTTTTTACCTATTAAATTTGAAATTTTTACCTGGACGAGGGATGGGACACAATAAACATCGCTTATATATTTAATTATAGTTGTGGAACAATATATGTTGGTGTCGATTTGAGGACTACATCTAGTACGAAAAAAGGATTTACAAAAAAATGATGATTCAAACAAATATTTATGTATGGAAAGTTGCAGTGTATTTGCCACTAGGGTGGAAAATACCCACAATTGCAAAAAAATGGTAGCACATGTGGAGCGACACGTTAGTTATCGTGAGAAAATAGTTAATGGAATCCTTAAACCTTCAGAAAAACCCTATAAATTTATTAAAAGATGGAGAAAAAAATATACTTAAATTCATGGCATCTACTATTATGTCTGGATGGAAGGTTAGATGGAATGATATAGAAAAAATTCCTTATGTATGTAAAGTTAGGTATTCTGGAGTGAAAGTAAATTCTAAATCAAATTGTTGCACAAGATTTGTGAGTGAAAACGGTGGTTCACATGTTGGGCAATACTTGGATGGTTGTCATTAGAAAGTCCATAATTTAAGTGAATTGTTTCAACATGTTACAAGTGCTTTATTATATGCAATCTTTTTTTATGAATGTAGTGGTGCATATGTGCGCGTGTTTGAGGTATTAAAACAATGAGGTTTTTAAAAACTATATATACTTGGCTGAGGCATATTCTTATCCTTTTTTTAAAATCATTTTTTACTTGATAACTTTCAAATTTTTACCAAGACGAGGGATGGGTCATACCAAACATCACTTATATCTCTAATGACGGTTGTGGAACAATATATGTTGGTGTCGATTCGAGGACTACATTTAGTACGAGAAAAGGATTTATAAAGAATGATGATTCAAACAAATATTTACATATGGAGAGTTGCAATGTATTTGCTACTAGGGTGCGAAATACCCACAATTGCATAAAAAATGTTAGCATATGTGGAGCGACATGTTAGTTATCGTGGGGAAATAGTTAATGACATTTGTAAAGCTTCAGAGAAAGTCTATAAGTTTATTAAAAGATGGCGAAAAAAAAAGGAACTAAAATTCAAGGCGTCAACTATTATGTTTGGATGGAAGGGTATATATAAAGTTATTTAAGTATGTAAAGTTAAGCGTCCTGAAGTAGAGGTAAAGTTCAAATCCAATCGTTGCATAGGATATCTAAGTGGAAGCGGTGGTTCACATGCTGGGCAATACTTGGATGGTTGCCATTTGAAAGTCCATAATTCAAATGAATTGTTACAACATGTGACAAGAGCTTTATTATATGCAACATTTTTTGTATGAATGTAGCGGTGGATATGTGACCATGTTTCAGATGTTAAAACAATGAGATTTTGAAATGGTATGTGATTGGGTAATTCTGAGAGCGCTTCTCGATCATTATGATGCCTTAACTAATTATCTTTCCAAATTATTGTTCTTTCTCTTTGACGAGCTTGATTACAATTATACACATGACATTAATGTGAAAGTGCATGAAGGATTCCAAAGACAATTTGATGGAGAATATATGGGAAATGTTGTCATAAATCAAGGACCAATATACATTATACGACTGATACATTTTAAGAAGCCAATTGATGAACTGTATGAGAAGTTGAAAAGACAAAATAGTCAACGTGTTGTGCCTCTTGAAGTTGGATATCTACCGTCAGTTCAAATTGAAGAAATTGGTGAGGTTCCTATTTTGTGTGGTAAGATAAAAGAGGAGTTGGTGAGAAATTTACAAGACATATACCACTCCTTTAAATAACCGCAAGAATGTTAATATTTTATTTAGACTAGTCTGTGAGATAATTATTTCATTTATTTCATTTTTTTTCATTTTTCATTAATAATTGTACATACACCTCAGTTGGTTGATAATCCTTTAGTTTTTATTAAGTTTTTCTAGTAGTATGTTCATGTAACATCATACTTTTGGGAATTAAATTTATACAAATTTATAAATAAACCCAATCCTAGACATGTATTTATAAAAAAACCCAAGCACTATTTAAACATAGAAACACACCCAAAATCAACCCCAAAGTCAACTTTTTAGGTGTGTTTATAAATGAGTTTTGAGTGTGTGTAATGATGGGTTTTGGGTGTGTTTATATGTTTAAATAGTGCTTGGGTTTTTTTATAATTTCAACTCCCATTTTGGGTGTTTTAGTGAAACTCCCTTAAATTTATGCATTTATTGTTCTTAAATTATAAAGGAAAATATCAATGATTCAGATTGTATCTAAAATAAAAACATGATTGTTTTCGTATATCCATACATCCTTATAAGCCCAACTTCCATCAAATTATGCAAATATAAAAATAAGAAATAAAATTGCCCAGAAACAAAGAGATCAAAAATTGAATTAAAACCATCTATCACAATTACAACACCAAAATTCCTAAATTTAAATTTCACATAAATAACGCTGCTTCTGCCACTTCCTATTTGTTAGTCCCTTTTTTGACTCTTTCTCTTCCGGGTTGATTTGCTTTGGAGAATGGAAAGGAGTTGAGTCAACACCAATGCCTTGATTGGATTTCTGGCTCGCAAGAGGATTCCTTCGACTTTTGGACAAAATTGAAAGTTGGATCATGTTGGAAAAGACCAGGCGAGCTCGAGTTGGACCTTGATGATTCGTTTCTTCTTACCTGATAGCAAATTGCGTAGGCGTGCCACTATTGGGTATGAGACTAGCCCAAAATACCTGGTATATGTGAAGTAATGTGTATGTTTGATGGATTCACGCTTGTTTTGGACTTCTGATCAAGCTATTGTGCTCCAAGGGGGTAATGACTTGGATGAGTTCTTTTCTATGCTTCAATTAAGATGACTTCAATATTCTTTCACTTGTGAGTTGCTGGTTTGATATATAAGGGCAGTACTTGATCAAACAAGAAGAAAAACCGATGTTGTGGTTAATGCCCCTTCGATCAGGTTCAAAAACCTAGTATGGCCCTAAGATGACCTTAGATAGGGTCAAGATACAGCCAATTCGGGCCCAATAATGCAGTTCGGGCCCTGATAGGCCCTTATCCTATGGCTAATAAAGCCTTATTAGGGCCTAAAACCCTTATCTTGGGTCCGAATAACGAGAAACTCAAATATGTAAAAGAGGAAAAATAATTTTGTCTACAAAAATATATGAAGCAAATAAACGATAGATATTTAAAAAGTAACTAAAGTAAATTTCAAAAAGTAAAAGGGTTCCAGACGTTGAAGATTTCTCTATCTACCTCTAGTATGACGCCAGGTTGAAACGAGAGCCAAAGATTTCTCTATTTAGCTGCTTTTAAATACAAATTACAATATAGAAGAAATAGGAGATTTCTCTATCCAATTTAAACATAAAATATGTTTATAGAAATTCAAATTGATTGTTTCAACAAGAGTCATACCATGAAGATGGCAGAGCAATAAAAGATAACGCAGGAGTTGTCGACTGGTTATCTAAATAGTAAATTGGCTATTTGAAAAGATCTTGAAGTTTGTTCAAGTGTTTTCAATACGTTACATCTGGTTTTGGAGAGAGAGTCTTTTTATGTTGTTGTAGAGCCTCTGTATTTATAGGCAAGAATCCCTAGTGATGAACTGGAAGAGGATACTTGGATGTTGTCCAAAGTCAGCTATTGGTCTGTCCTTGTGAGTACGTCCATAGGTGGGAGGAAAGGATATCTCATATGAAACTTATGGTCACAAGGGATGCCTCTCTAACCTATGTCCTTTCGTAGCTGGAAATCCAGTTTGGAATCGGTTCCTTCCGGTTCTGTCGTCTATTATCTAGCTTGCTTTCTTGCTGGAAGAGACAGCGATCAAGTCGTCATTAATGGTGATAACCTCTATTCAGACCCTCACGTGGGTCGATATGCAACGATTACCCAATTTCTTAACTTTAATGTGAACTAAATCTGGGGTCTTTTCGTACCACGAGATTTTGAGAGGATTTCGCCCATTGTTGGCGCAAATCCAAAAAAGCCCTTTTCGTCGTTTCTAAAAGAAAAAGGTTGGGCTTGGGTTTAACAAATCTTATTTGAGAAATAAAACCATCTTTGGCCCATTTTCCAAATATGGTACAAACAATATTCCTATCATATCAACGTTTCTTCTACCTATAGCTGAATATCCACATCTTCGACTTTGAAATTCGCCTGCCCTTCTCTGCTTCAAGATTGAAAATTACGCGCATGCGTATGGACATAATGCTCACACAGTGCTTCTGCAGAAGACAAAGAAGAAGAAGAGCATGAAGACCAAGGCTACAGACTCGTACGCCGTCACTAGTGGCCAAACGACATCGTCCACGATTGACAAGCTCAGCTCCAAGCACCACCTCAGCATGCTTTGCGAGGTCCACCCCCATCAACGATCAGAATGCTGACGCGGATCGCCATCAAGACATTCTCTCTCTTGCTCTCTCAATTGCTATCCTCACTTCGGTGACCTGGGCCCTGCACTTGCTTTCTCTCTAGTTTCGACCGGGTTTGAATTTGTAAGGAGAGAGAGAGAGAGAGAGAGAGAAATGGCAAAATGATAAATGTAATGAAGTGGGGTCCGTTGATCCACGACGAAGATTGAGGTTAGGATCAGACATGTGCAGCACTAGTTGGGGAATTCTTGTTAGAGCATCCACAATGATGCTATCTATTTCTTAGCTAAAATTTAGCTAAAAATATAAGAAAGCTATTTTAGGAGCTCTCTAAAAAATTTCAACTTCAATCATATTCCCTAATTTGAAGAGTCATAAATGATATAACTCTTTTTGATTGGTCCATCTCTATTAAATAAAATAAAATAAAAAATAGTTAGCATTAAATAAAGGTTTGAAATACTCATTAAATAAAGCAGCATTAAATTATAGAGAGCCACTAGGAGTCCTTTCTCTCTCCTCAGATTTATGAGCTCCTAGAGGACTCCCTACTTTAGGAGGTGGATAGGGAGCGCGGTTAGAGTTGCATTTTTACGATTCCTCTCCAAAATTTGTCTAAGGAGGTGGTTTAGAGCATCCACAATGGGTTCCCTAAACCACATCTTTAGACAAATTTTAGGGAGGAATTGTAAAAATGCAACTTCAACCACGCTCCCTATCCACCTCCTAAAATAGGGAGTCCTCTAGGAGCTCCTAAATCTGAGGAGAGAGAAAGGACTCCTAGTGGCTCCCTATAATTTAATGCTGCTTTATTTAATGAGTATTTCAAACCTTTATTTGATGCTAATTATTTTTTATTTTATTTTTTAATAGAGATGGACCAATCAAAAAAGAGTTATACCATTTATGATTCTCCAAATTAGGGAGTGTGGTTGGAGTTGAAATTTTTTAGAGAGCTCCTAAAATAGCTTTCTTATATTCTTAACCAAATTTTAACTAAGAAATAGAGAGCATCATTGTGGATGCTCTTAGGGAGCCCATTGTGGATACTCTTAACAAGACAAAATATGCAATTATTTCAAAAATAGTTTGGAGGGAAAATTAAAAAATGACTTGACAAGATTGAATTCAATGACGTTCAAAAAGTTTTGAAAAGCTTTAGAAAATAGTGGCTTTCTTCTATTGGCTCGTGCAAATGGCAAGTTTGGAAAATGGATACCGCAATTGTTTAACTTTTTCTTTTCCGATACAACTGATATTGGGAGGGCAGAATCGAACTTATGCAGAATTAAATGCTTTTAATTACTTGAGCTGTCAACTTCTTATATTTATTAAATTATTAATTAATTATCATATTTTCCATTTATGTACTCAAAAACTAGGTAGGTTGTGTTACCAATTAGGGATGGTAGGTGGCGCAATTATTGAATATTAGGTAGAAATGTATATAAAAATTATTATCGACTAATATTTTAACCAAAACTTGCTATTTTATATCGTTTACTTACATGAATATTTGAACTTAATATCTCTATTTTCAGTCACATACATCATGGTACCTGAGCTAAGCTCATTAATAGCTATATCGTATTATTATGGAGAGTAAAATTTTGTGATAATAGTTATCATTATTGTTAGGGAAACTATCAAGTTTATGTCATTTTTTGTATAGATCAAGTTGCTCGAGCTCGATGGCTGGTGGCAGCTTGGGGTGGGTGGTCCGGGATGAGTTTAGGTGGTTTCGCCATGAAGCCCTTCATGCGGGGAACAGTGGCGAAAGTCCAACAAGGTTGGCAGTAGGTGAAGGTGGTGGTGGTGGAGGCAGATTTAAAAATCATGATAGATGCTCTTCGGGGAGGAACCAATCTTGATGTAAGGACAAGGAGGTTAGAAGAAATTATCCACGATATAGAGTCATGGCACAATAACTTAGGTCGGTTTGTTACTCATGTTCCTAGCAATTGTAATACGGCTTTTCATTTGCTTGTCTACAATTTTTGTGTGCTTTGTGACGGTGGATGGGTTCGCTTGCCTCCGCTCTGTTATCGTTCTCATATGTCGTTTTAATGATTAATTTATCGTTTTTGAGATGAACAAAATATTGTAAAATACCCAAAAAAATCAAACCTAAAAAATGTAAATGAATGATAAATGAGTGAGTTGGGATAAAAGTAGTACTGTAAACTTTATGTAATTTTAATGTATCATATGGTTGAGAAATATTAATATTGAGACCTTATAAAACTTTTCAATGCTTGTTCCCTTATTATGCAATTCATGGGTGAGAGGATATTTTAGCTATTGTTTTTTCATGACATATTTTAGCTATTGTTAACTAATCATAATCTATACCAATGTGGTGTTAGTTGGATTGACACATGTATATGTGCTTCCAAGTAGTCAAGAACGACCCCATGATTTCAAAATGGCATGGCTAAATTTACTTTATGCGAGGGGTTATGTTTGTATGGGTGTTAGTATTGAAGAATATGAGTTCCACATTGAAAACTTGACTAAATATCAATGATTCAGATTGTATCTAAAATAAAAACATGATAGCCAATCCATGTATCCTTGTAAGCCCAACTTCTATCAAATTATGCAGATATAAAAATAAGAAATAAAATTGCCCAGAAACAGAGAAATCAAAATTTGAAATTAAAACCATCTATCACAATTACACCACCAAAATTCCTAAAATTAAAATTTCACATAAATAACACATGCTTCTGCCACTTCCTATTCCTATCTACTTACTTCCCCCACTTCCCCTCACGTGCTCAACGTTTCTCCAACCTACAGCTGAACATCTGCGTCTCCGCCTCCGAAATTCGCCTGCCCTTCACTGCTTCATGATCGAAAATCACGCGCGTGATGCTCACACAGTGCATCCGCAGAAGACGAAGAAGAAGAAGAGCATCGAGACCAAGGCCACGGACTCGAACGCTGTCACCAGCGGCCAAACGACGTCGTCCACGATCGACAGGCTCAGCTCCGGCCACCACCTCAGCAGGCTCCGCGGGGCCCACCCCATCGGCGATCTGAATGCTGACGCGGACCGCCACCAGGACATTCTCTCTTGCTCTCTGGACTGCAGTCTTCACTTCAGTGACCCGGCGCTTGCTTTCTCTCTAGTTTCGACCGGGTTTGTATTTGTAAGGAGGAGAGGGAGAGAGGGAGAGAGGGAGCGGGGTTTTTATACATGGATGAGGGCGATGGCAAAATGGTAAATGAAAATAAGTGGGGTCTGTTGATCCACGGCGGAGATTGGGGTTAGGATCAGAGATGTGCAGCACTAGTTGGGAAATTCTTGTTAATAAGACAAAATATGCAATTATTTGAAAAATAGTTTGGAGGGAAAATTCAAAAACGACAACAAGATTGAATTCAATTACGTTCAAGAAGTTTTGAAAAATTAGAAAATAGTGGCTTTCTTCTATTGGCTCGTGCAAATGGCAAGTCTGGAAAATGGAACTTTTTCTTTTCCGATACAACCGACATTGGAAGGAAGAATCCAACCTGTGCAGACCTAAATACTCTTATTATGCAATTCATGGGTGAGAGGATATTTTAGCTATTGTTAACTAATCATAATCCATATCAATAGGGTGTTAGTTGGATTGACACATGCATATGTGCTCTCAAATAGTCAAGGACGACCCAAGGATTTCAAAACGATATGGCTAAATTTACTTTACGTGAAGGGGTTATATTTGTGGAGTGTTAGTAGTTATAATCAGTTAAGAACCATATCTAGAAATAATCTTGAATGGTACCGATGTATGAGTTCCTCCCTCCTTTTCCTAACTTTAGCCAAATAAATAAAATCACAATTAATATTTAGAAGTATTTTTCAGTATATGGTCAACTTTTGAAAAATTTCAAACGATAAAAGTTACAATTTGAAATTGAGCTAAAATCAAGCATCCACAAAAAAAGAAATTGTCAATCACGAAATTCAAAAAATCCAATTACATCAACTTGATTATTGTACACATTATCCCTTCAATTCAAATGACTCACTATCTTATTTCAGATTCACAAGTAATCTTGCACTATTCAATCTATGTTGACATTCTCCTCCAATAATTAATTTGTCTGATACGAGTTAGATTTATTTATTTTTAAAGTTTGGTAAAGAAATGAGAAAAGCTATCCCAACAGAAAAAAAGATAATTATTAATTATGTCATTCTCATTTGTTAGATGTCGTACGTAGACTATACGCTATTGAACGGGCGGCTGAGATTTGCCAAATTTAAATTACAAGTTCTCATATCTTAGGTGAGCCGTAGATCGTGTTATTGAATATTATAGATTTGAAGATAGAATGTATTTGCGTCGTAAGATATACGAACATACGATCCCGGCCAAACCCCAGACCCGCCTATTTTTCTTGTTTTATATCCCCCCACCCCGAAACCTGAATCAATTTCTTCGCTGTGGTTTTCTTTTGAGTAATTTCATCGAACACTTTGCGAGGGCTATTTCACAGACCCGAAAGCGAACCAAAACCTAAATCAGAAGACAATGTCTCTGCGCCCGGGCACACGCACCGAGGTGCGCAAGAAATCGTACAAGACTGGAGTGGATGCGGACCAGGCTCGGAGGAGAAGGGAGGACAACTTGGTGGAGATCAGGAAGAACAAACGCGAGGACAATTTGCTCAAGAAGAGAAGGGAAGGCTTGTCTCCGTCCCAGCAGCAACTGCTTGATGGCACCCAAACCGCCGTCGTTTTCGAGAAGAGGGTACTACTTCGTTTTATTTTATTTTTAAATCTTCTTGGTAATACTTTGTGGTTTGTTTTTTTTTAGCTTAGTGTCTTAGGGATTTTGAATCGTTGTGGTTGCGGGGTTTGTTTGATTTTTTGGTTTGAATTGTTGTGGGATTAGTTTGTGTGGATGTGCTTGGTTGCTGAGAAAGTGAAGGAAAGGGAACGGATTTAAAAATGAGAATTACCGTTTTATAAGAAATTGATTATAAGGGATGTTGAATCGATAATTTGCTTAAGGCAACGGAGAATTTTCTGTTTATTCAAGAAGTAAGTTGTATAGCTTGATTCTTTATTCAAGAAGTAAGTTGTATAGTTTCCTTCTTTTTTGTTCAAGTCCTGGGGGCAAAGAAGAATGTTCATGCATGAGATCTTTAGAAAGTTGACTCTTTATGTTCCTCTTCTTGCAATTTGATCTAATATTAAAAGGGTTGGTCATTAATTGATGTTGGTGTTGTTTAACAGTTGGAAAGTATTCCCTCAATGGTGCAAGGAGTATGGTCTGATGATCCTGCTTTGCAATTGGAGGCTACCACTCAGTTTAGGAAGCTATTATCAATTGGTTTGGGAGCAGCTCCAATACTTGAAGTTCATTTCCTATTCCTATTTTGGTGAAATATTTGTGTGATGTTTTGACTTTTGTTTTTTCGTTTTTGTGTAGAACGCAGCCCTCCAATTGACGAGGTTATAAAAGCAGGTGCGGTCCCTCGGTTTGTGGAGTTTCTTGGGAGACATGATATGCCCCAATTGCAGGTACGGAATATTTTTGATGTTTGTTGTTAAAATGAAATTATCCTTTAAGGTGTAATCTGAGGTTGACTTTCATCTTTATATGTAGTTTGAAGCTGCATGGGCTTTGACCAATGTTGCATCTGGAACATCAGATCATACACGAGTTGTTATTGAACATGGTGCGGTCCCCCATGTTTGTGCAGCTTCTTAGCTCTGGCAGTGATGATGTCAGAGAGCAGGTTGTCTCTCACTACCTTTCACACTTTTCATCAACTTGAGAGCATTGCCTTTGGATTTGGAATTTCTAAATACTTTGAGTGATGCATATCTGAAAGACTTTCCAGTTTCAATATGATATATAAGTTATTAATAAGTTTCAGAAATTTGACTTCATAACACGGGGAAAAAGTATTTGGGCTTTCTGAATGATTCTAAGTTATGCATGTTTGAAATTCTTTCCAATTTCAATATGATATGTAAGTTAGTAATAAGTTTCAGAAAGTATTCTGCTCATTATTTTGGTATATATGCTTCTTTACGTTCTAAGTTTTATTGGTTCTACAACTCATAGTTTCTCTCCCTTTTGACTGCCAGAAATTTCCATTTGTTTGATTGTACTGGATGACAATCCTTGCTTTCTTGATTCTCTAACAGGCAGTGTGGGCTCTAGGAAATGTTGCTGGCGACTCTCCTAGTTGCAGGGATCTTGTTCTTGGACAAGGTGCACTAATGCCATTGCTAGCTCAATTAAATGAACATTCCAAGTTATCCATGCTAAGGAATGCTACATGGACTTTATCAAACTTTTGTCGTGGCAAGCCAGCAACACCATTTGATCAGGTTCGTGGGGATTTTGAGAATTTTTTCTGGTTAAAACCTTAATAATATATGTTAAATGTCAGTTGGTATCCCTTCCTAATTTAATTTTGGTTGATGCCTTACGTGACTGTAATAAGTACCCTTTCTGCTTGCTTATCTGCATGTTTTTTGTTTCAGGTGAAGCCTGCCTTACCAATTCTTCGACAACTTATTTACTTAAATGATGAAGAAGTCTTGACAGACGCTTGCTGGGCCCTATCATATCTCTCAGATGGTCCAAATGACAAAATCCAGGCTGTGATTGAAGCGGGCGTCTGCCAGCGACTTATGGAGCTTCTGATGTAAGTTTCTATACTCTCTACAAACTATTCACATGTGGCAGTCGTCTTCACTGGTCCATATTATCTTAGCATAGTTGTTTAGGATACTCACCTTGAGTGATTTTTTATTCACTACGATTTGTTTATGCCAGTCATCCATCACCTACGGTTCTTATACCTGCTCTTCGGACAGTGGGAAACATTGTTACTGGTGATGATTCCCAGACTCAGGTATTAACACTAATTTGTATTTACCCTTTAGAGCCCAATGTCATCCGAATCTGCTCTTCCTGCAGGACAGCAGTTCTATGTTTTTGTTTTTATTTTTTATAATGCCTTGATTTTCATTGCTATGTATAGCAACAAAGTGACCTCTGTATATGTTCCAGTTTGTTATTGATAACCAAGTGCTCCCTCGCCTCCATCAACTTCTCACACAAAATCACAAAAAGAGCATCAAGAAAGAAGCTTGTTGGACAATTTCAAATATCACAGCCGGGAATAAAATTCAAATACAGGTATAAATTCCGTTAAATTGCATTTGGATTTCTGGATTTAAATTTGACTACTTAGTTTAAATTGTTTGCATCAAATGTTAAAAGAAAAACAAGAAAAGAAAGTTGTGATACTCACTTGTCATGAATTGAGAAAAGCATTTATAAGAACATATATTTCTTGAGCATTTGAAGTTCATCATGTTCCAAATGTATTTAAAGTGTGGATTTTATTAAATATAAAAATCACTACTTCTCTTGTTAGACAGTATGGACCAAGAAGTCAAATTCATATATTTTCTTCTAAAGGTACCAAAGTACCAATAGTAGCGCAACATAAGTAAATTTTGCACCTATCAGTTTTTCTTATCTCATGCATTTTGTTAATGCATGGCACCCACTAAATCCACTGTACTACGTTTTCATGTTCAGGGTGGGTGTCTGGTGTTTCATAACCATCTCTACAAGTAGGATGACTGCATGATATAACTGGATGGTTTTATTTGTACTCTTTTATTTAGTGGTAGATCGGTTGGGGGATTGTTGGGTAAGAGCCCCACACTTACATAGCCTAGTTGTCACAACGAAGGGAGATTTTGTTTATTAGTTATTTTATTAACACTTATATTTTGTTTTGACTGATATTGTTTCTTACTAGTTATATAATTACTTGGCAAAGAAAATGCTTATAAATTTTCTATGAATGTTTTGAATGGTCACTGTAAATGTATTGGAATTTGTCTTCTTAATCCCTTTTTCTTGTAGGAAGTTTCCTTGATCTTTTTTCTTGTCTTGTCCCACAATTAATTTGATCTGGGAGGATTGTCACATGATACAGTTCTTACATTTTTTGTCTATTAAATTCCATTTAACAGGCTGTGATTGAAGCCGATATAATGCTCCCGCTTGTGCAACTTCTCCAACATGCGGAATTTGACATAAAAAAGGAGGCCGCGTGGGCCATCTCAAATGCCACTTCTGGAGGATCTCATGACCAGATTCAGTATGCTCTACCTTTACCACTGGATTAGTTTTTCTGCCTTCATTTTTCCACTTGCATACATGGACAGATTAATACGTACACCCACATGGAAGATGCTATACAACCTAACTCTATTTCCAATTTTACTTACAACTCTATCACAGGATTGATTCCACAATATTTGGGGTCCTACCTCATTGAGAGAGTTGAATAAAAGTTGGGAAAAGAGTTGGGTTGTGCAACATTTTCCAGCCGGATAATAAATGGAAATACATGGTGCTACTCAGCTTTATCAGCTTTTGAGTGGATGTTCTTCCCCTTAATCTCTTTCTTTTGTCCGACTCTGCTGTTTTCCACTTCACATAACTGATCAATTTGAATGTCATATATCAACTATCAAGTACTAAGCACTGAAATTCCTTTTTTTTTCCCTAAAAGAAAAAGAAACTTGAAATCAATATATTGGCTGCCATTCTAATGTTGAAAAACACTGATAGTAGACCTTCTGGTATATATTTGGACAATGGCAAAGACAAAATACTCAAGTTTGTTCTTTACTTGAGTTTATTGATTATGTGATAGTGTTCATACTATATCTTCCGATATTTTACATGCATGATTAATGTTCTTGCAGACACCTGGCTTCCAGAGGTTGTATTAAACCACTCTGTGATCTTCTAATCTGCCCAGATCCAAGGATTATAACTGTGTGCCTTGAAGGTCTTGAGAACATTCTGAAGGTGGGTGAGGCAGACAAGGAAATGGGAATGAATGACGGGATCAATCTTTATGCACAACTGGTCGATGAATGTGAAGGTTTGGATAAGATTGAGAATCTGCAGACACATGATAACAATGAGATTTATGAGAAGGCTGTGAAGATCTTGGAGAGATATTGGGCGGAGGAAGAAGAAGGACAGAACATTCAGGTGAATGGGGATGGAAATCAGCATGATTTTACTTTTGGAGCAAACCAGCCCAACCCTCCCCCTGGTGGCTTCAAATTTTGATAGGATTCTGTTTTTCTAGCAGTGTAGGTTTCTTTACCTCCTTTTGATGAATTTCCAACCCTCATTTTGATTTTCCCTCACTGCCAAGGGCCAGGGTTTTTTGGTTGGCACGTAGGCTTGTCTATGGAATTTGATAGATGTGCCCAAGCGGCTGTTTTCCATTAACATTTTGCATTTCCATACTTCTAATAGGAAAAAATTGTCACTCCTTGTGTTTACCTGGAATTGGAGCAAAAATAATGGCTTCTGTTCTCAGCATGTTTTTGTTTTTTATTTATTTACTTTTTTAGAATCTTTTGATTGATGATATTAGTTGTGTTGAGAAAAATTATTGAATTCTATGTTAACCGATGAAACATTCGGGTTTGGCTCGGGTTGCCCGCATTGATCTGGTCTGTGCTCCATTTGCAACAAAATCTCACAAGAAGGGCAACTTATCATCACCTATAGAATATAATCTTGATATATTCATCATCTCTCATGTAAGATGAGAAAATTCAAATGTAAGATATATAATAGCTCAAAGCTCAAAATATTTTTTATTTTATTTGATATTTAATCAAAGATATATTATAAAATTCGAACCCGGGTTAAATTTGGGTTACGTTGAAGCGGGCAGCCCAACTCCAACTTTTGCGGGTTAAATTTGGGTTTGCTGCTCCTTCACGTTCAAGCTGACCTCCCGAAGAAGAGAGCTTTCAACAATGGAACCCAATATCAACAACAAAGACCATGAACAGAGAGAAGACGAAGAAGAAGACCAATATGGGGTTCTTCTATACTACAAATACACCCAAATTCCAGACCTCGACGAGCTCTTCACCTTCTACCACTCCAACTGCAACTCTCTCTCTCTCCTCGGCCGCGTTCGAATCTCTCCGCTTGGCGTCAACGTCACCGTACGTTCTGTTTCATTTGTAACATAATGCTCCCCAGTTTTATGAGATGGGTTTTTCATAATTTCAAGCAAAAACTAACAATTGTTTTGATATGCCTCATTTCGTGTGGATTTTTTATTCTGGGCGTTTTGTAATTGATAGTTTGGGCTTGGTTTTAGGTTGGGGGGAAGTTGTCTGCACTGAAGAAGCACATTGCTGCGGTTGAGTCGAATAGTTTGTTCCAAGGAACCGACTTCAAGCTGGCGGCTTGTGGTTGCCCATTGAATGACAAGGTTGCTGAAGAATGCGGGTTCACTTCTCTCTCAATTCGCATTGTCAAGGTGATTTCTTGCCGTTAAATTTTCTTGTTTGTTAAGGTGGTGGTTGTTTTATTTTTTCAAGAATTTGGCTTTGATTTGGAGTGTGCATTTATTTTTGATGTGGATATTTTGAATTAAAGATTAGCACTATGCTTATTACCATTCTATTGATTTATATATATGTCTATGTATTTACATCTTTTTATCTTGAACTCAGGAATTGGTTACTCTTAGCTCTAATCCTCTGCTAAAATCACCAGTGTTTTCAGATGCTGGAAAGCATCTCTCTGCAGACGAGTTTCATTCCATGCTACAGAGAGCTGGTTAGTGACTCCCGTCTGATTTTTGCCTTTTTATTCATGGGCTGTTCTGGTTGTTGGACGTGTGAAGAGGAAAATGAAAACTTACAGGTATAATGGTATTCAATAATTGGTGTATGTTTTTCCAGGACAACTAGACAAAGAGAGCACAGAGCGCGATAGAGAACTTGTTCTGTTGGATGCAAGGAATTTGTACGAGACAAGAATTGGGAAGTTCCACACACCAGATGTGGAAACTTTGGATCCAGGCATTAGGCAGTATAGTGATCTGCCCTCATGGATTGATGATAACTCTGATCAGTTGCAAGGGAAAAATGTTCTCATGTGAGTGGTTATATCTTGAATATAAGTTGTCACTCAATCTTATCTTACTTGCAAATTAGTTTCTGCTGTTAGATTCTCAGAGAAAATCTTCCAAGGCAACTAGTTTTTTTTTCTTGTTGCATAATCGGTCAGTTTTCAATAGGCATAACTACATCCATTAAATTTATACACCGCTCACTTCATATTTTGGTGCTGTTACAGGTATTGTACTGGAGGAATCAGGTGCGAAATGGCATCAGCCTATATTAGATCAAAAGGTGCTGGATATGAGAACGTATTTCAGGTGCACTCTTGTAAAGAAGAAGCCTTTTGTTTTTATAGAGTAAGATTCATGCTTCTTGATGATGATCGTGACGACCTCTCATGCTATATGAATTTATTTGCAGTTATTTGGTGGAATACAGCGTTATTTGGAACAGTTTCCAGATGGTGGGTTTTTCAGAGGAAAGAACTTTGTTTTTGATCACCGGTATGATTCTTTAGGTGCTGAATGCCTCTTGTGGTCGTAGTTGGTATACTTTTTTATTCTCCGATTTGGATTGCCAAATAGATGCATGTGAAGAAAAGCCCATGAATTTGTACCCACACCCTGTGCCCTATTTCTGTTTGGCTTGTCAATTATACCTTTATCTATATGTTTATGAAGATTAATACTAATTAAACAATATCATTGAGTATTTTGGTGATAGAAATTCAAAATAAAAAAGTTGGAATACCTATTCTCTTTGTGACTGTAGGATTTCAGTTGCGAGTTCAGATGCAAATATTTTGGGAACCTGTCTTCTCTGTGGTGTGTCATTTGATGATTATTCTTCACGCCTCCGTTGCAGTTATTGTAGAATGCTTGTCTTAGTTTGTGATAGTTGCCAGGTATGTTTTCTGACTTAGTTTTATCATTACTAATTGAAAGATTGACTGTTTTAAAAAGCAATCTCATTATGTTAGTGAGCTAGTTCAAGCTTCACTGCGAATTTGGTCACCAGTCTTTGGGTTCCTATATTATATTAGGGTGGATCAAGAAGATGTTTGCTTTTGTTTTATAAAAAATCCTGCATTTAAAATGGTATATCCTTTGTGTGTAAGTCTCCCTGAGTACACTGTCCTTTGGTGGCACTCTCTTTGGATTCACGTATTTGTGTCATTGTTACTGAATTTTTGAATTTGTCTCAGCAGAGGAAGGGCTCTGTATATGTCTGTGAGCTTTGCAAGAATCATCACAAGGGTGTTGAGTTGGTTTCTTCCTCTGAAAATGGAAGATTAAGTTCAATACCACAAGAAATTGAGCGTGAAACTGTCTCTTCAGATGCTAAGCCCTCGCCTCAGCTGCCTTGGAGACAGGGTAAGGTCTGTAATCTTAATCTCTTTGAACAACGGTGCTTTCAAGTGTACCGACACATCGTGCGTTTGCAATTGGATCCTGAAGTATTAGACGTTCCTCATTTTCATTGTTTTGTTCCTAATGTTGTAATAACTGTTGTCCACAGCCGTTGGGTCTCCTCCAAGAAAACTCAGAATCTTGTGCTTACATGGGTTTCGACAGAATGCCTCAAGTTTTAAAGGAAGAACGGCATCCTTAGCCAAGAAACTCAAAAACATTGCTGAGTTCGTGTTTGTGGATGCACCTCATGAATTACCATTCATATACCAACCCTCAACTGTCACAGAGTCGCATCAGAATTGTACATCACCGCCTTCATCACTACTACAACAAAGTCCACCACCGCCCTCGGAGCACTGCAGGAAAAAGTTTGCGTGGTTCGTAGCACCTGATTTCAGAGGAAAGAGTGAGAGTGAAAGCGACAACCCGGACAGGGAGTGGAAAATGGGAGATGGTCCATTTGATCCTCTGCAGTACCAGCAGCAAACAGCTGGGTTTGAAGAATCACTGGCATACATCAAAACTGTGTATGCTCAGGAGGGGCCCTTTGATGGACTGTTGGGATTTTCTCAGGGAGCAGCAATGGCAGCTGCATTAGTTTGTGCCCAACAAACCCAAAGGAGACTTTTACAAACTGGGGAAATGGAGTTTGGATTTGTGATTTTGTGCTCGGGGTTTGGCCTTATGAAGTTAATTGAGGCTGAGGAGGAGAAAATTCAGATGCTGAAATGCCCTTCGCTTCACATATTTGGCAGTGACCATGGAAAAGACAGGCAGATTGCAAATCAAGCAAGCAGGAAGCTTGCCTCCTTATTTGATGAGGGCTGCTCTGTTACCATTGAACACGACTCTGGTCATATCATTCCCACTCGTCCTCCTTACATTGATCAGGTCAAGGACTTTCTCGGCCGCTTTCTTTAACTTTTGGGCCATTCTGTTTTTGACAAAACGATATTCTAACCATCCTAGTCAAATACATCCCCTCATGTGGACCTTCATATTAGGCATGTTATCATTTCATTAAACATAAGTGAAGTACCCTAATGTATGACGATCAAACAGGCACATTGTCTTCGGCCAATTGACCTAATTAATGTCTGCGTATTTATTTGGGTCTTTTTGGTACTGTTGTTTGCTGTTTGGATCTTGTGAGCCCATTGGGTTTTTTAATTTTATCTTATCTTGGCCTTATTGTGGTATGATAAATTTGATTTCCTTTTACCAAAAACAGTAAAACAGTACAAAAGAGAAGGCATCTTATTTTGGATTTGTTTGTTGCAAGTCAAGGTCAGTGTCCAGTACTGACTGACCGTAAGCAACAATTTAAAAAATAAAAAAGCAAAATAATTAACTTTGGAAAAACAGAAAAACAAAACAAAATATCGGGAAGCGTGCTTACGCGTTAAGTCCATCAGCATGACGCGGCTTCACCGTCAAACATTGCAATTAACAAAACCAACCAGTCTCTAGATAGATTCCCTACCCTCTTCAACCTCACAGCTCCAAGTTTTTCAGCCAATCAGCGGTCACCACCTCACGACTGACCAGTCAACCCCACAACCATGGTTGAGTTATTAGCTGCCAAGCTCACTTAATTACTTAATTACAAGGGAGCTGCTTACTTAGATTTTTAGATAATAAACAATCCGTACGGAAAGCTGACGCGTGTCCCCCGCGAACAACGCGTTTTCTTCCTTCCTTTATTTGTCCACCGCCCTATATATTAACCCATCGTCTTCCTCCTCACCACTCATCTGGACCACCACCAAGCTCCCCTGTTTGCTTACTTAACATACAAGCCTCAAGGTCTTCCAAGTCAGTCAACACCACACTCAGAACTGTACGGATCTACCAGAACATACAACCTACTCACTCTTCTCATTTCATCGCCTCAAAACCCATTCCAATTTTGAAAACCAGAACATGATCTGAACTTTGATAACCGAGTAACCCGATAACCCGACACGGTTTAGATAAGGGAAGACGAAAGGTTCTATCTTGCTAGACTCTGAGTTTTTGCTTTTCCCGGTTTTGATGGCGTCGTCGGAGAACGTAGCGAGCATGATGGAGCCCTGGGCCTTCAGGACCAACACGTTCGCCGACTCGTGGATCTCCGAGACCTTCTCGCGCGACACCAAAACCCTCACCAGGGCCCTCCAGAAGTCTCTCTCCAACAACCCAGAATCGCTAGATTCTTCCTCCGATATGTTCATGCCGTTTCTTAACAACATCCTCCAACCCGAAACGGCGACCACCCCTACTGTTTCGGGGCTGTCCGGCTCGGAGGATCCCGATACGAGCCCAGCGCCGCCGAAACGCCAGCAGCGAAACGCGATTCCGGTGTCCGGTGCTGGTGGCGGCAAGGTTTCGAAACGCAAGTCTCGCGCGGCGAAACGGTCCCAGACGACTTTCATCACGGCGGACCCGAGCAACTTCCGCCAGATGGTGCAACAGGTGACCGGCGTTAGATTCGGTAACGAGCAAGTCCCCTTGCCGTCGATTCTGAAGCCGGAACCTCAGAGACCCGGTAGCCGGTTACCCGGGATTGGCTGCTGCATGCCGACCCTTGACACGTCGGCGTTTCTCCTTGAGCATCACAATCAGCAGCAGCAGCAGCTGGTAGGGCCCACGACGATGACGGGGGCTGGGCTCAACACGACATTGACTGGGCTTGGCCCAACGTCGTTTGGGCAGACGAGTATTGGTGAAGACGTAGCATCGGCAGGTGGCGTTGCGTCTGGGGGATTAGGTTTTGACTCCTTTTCGAGCTTTCCCACTTTGGAGTCCTGGAAGGTCATGTGAGATCCATTTGACTTGACGAACCATCACGCGACACGTTGCGCTGATGGTGGTGGTGTATGTGCTGACGTACCTGTCTATACGACTTAATATTAATATGTATTTTGTTTTTCTCTTTTTTTTTATTTATTTATTTTTAATTCGGTTAGTAGTTTTTTTTCTTCTCTTTGTTCCCTTTATATGATTTCATTACCGAACGGAACAGTGATGTATGGATTTCTGTTATTTGTTCGAATTAATGAATTAGAGTTTTTTTGTATGCTAATTGGTGACATTCTCTATTTACTATTTTTCCACTTTAATTGAAAATATCTGATTTTGGAGTTGAGCTAGTCAGTCAAGCAAAAAGAAACTTAAATTGCGCTTGACTTGACCTCATAAGATAACTAATGACATCTTAGGTGTTTAATTAAATCTAATATGAATGACTAACTACCAACTCAAGGCATGCACTACAGGAATATTTAATTTTAAAGTGCTATACTTTGGCAATTTTTATCATTTGTTTTGATAGATACTTTGACAATTAAGATAAAACTATGATTCTTTTTATATTAAAGCATCCTCTTATTGTCATATCTTTGCTTGTCCCCACTCGGATCCTAAAGACCTTTCTTCTAGTAAGTTTCAATTTTATTTTTCGTAATATTTTTTCTCGACATTCTAGAGTACGGGAAGGGGGATCTAACTCGGGTGCAAGACAGTGGACACATTAGCTTGGCCAACTTGGGTGCGAGAGAACAAACATTTTAACTTGTTCAATTGGCCCAACCCGCTTATAGAGGAACAAAAAAGGGGCCTAAAATAGGGTAGTAAAGAACACAAAAGAAAGCCCAAAGGAGCAGTAGCCCAAAGTTTACCCAATAAGAGAAAATTGTGAAACAAGGGTGTATTGGTAATTTGGATTATGGCTAAACCCCCATTGAGACTGTCTTAAACCCTATACAGGGGAGTCTGAACTGAAGTACCAGAATTGCCATCTTCAAACAAACAAATACTTCACCAGCTTCAGAGATTGTAGAGTGAAAGGTTTGGGCGAAAGCAAAAATGAAGATCGTTTTAGGAAGACTTCTGCAGAGAACGTCACTCAGACAGGTACCTTACCTCCCACTTTCAATATGCGTCTCAAACAGTTGTGTTTTATTTTTAATTTGTTTTCTTATTTGAGCACGTTTGCTTGATGCTTAATCTGTTTCTTTGATTTTTCAAGCTGAATTATCAAGTGGGTAGTTCTCAAATGGTCCATAGGAGTCCAAATTATGAAAATGATGACAATGAAGTCCAAATTGTTGTTGGATTTTGATGATAAAATGGTGTCTTTCAAATTACCTATATGGTTCTGTTTTCAATTTCGGTTTTTGTATTTTTTTTCTTCTTGAGATTTCCGTGTTGTTGATTAAACGCTCTAAATTTGGTATTTTATGAATTGGTTTTACAGGCAATTGGACGCCGTGCATATTCTATCAAGAAAATTGTTGATATTGGACAGCCATCTCCTGCGTCACATCCCCAGGTGCTGCTGATGCTTTAACATCAATGCATATTGGATGCATAGATAAATTTGTACAACTAGCAGGGTGCACGTGCTAGCGTTCACTGTGGCTTAAAGTGAAAAGAGAAAAATGGATTTATGCTTTGTTTGATGTAAGATTATTACGTTATAATTGTTGTTTGCTTTTGCAGTTACTGAAAGAGGGGGAAATTACACCCGGCATAACTTCAGAGGAGTACACATTGAGAAGAAATAAGTTGTTGGAGGTGCTCCCAGAGAAGGGTTTGGCCATTTTTGCAGCTGCCCCTGTAAAGATGATGACTGATGTCGTGCCTTACACATATCGTCAAGATGCTGATTACTTGTATATTACCGGCTGCCAACAACCTGGTGGCGTGGCAGTTTTAGGTCATGAATGTGGTTTTTGCATGTTCATGCCAGAAGCGACGTCTCATGTATGCCCCTACTTCTGTGATAATATTTAATTCTATAGTATATTTTGTTCTATTTAGCATAGTTCCAGTTGTTGTAGCTTCACATTTCTATTAATATGGTCATATGGACTAGCAGTTTCAGATGCACTAGCAATTTGGGACCTATAACTTGAGCAATAACCACACATCGAATTGTATCTTTATTTCATTTATTGGTCTTCAAGGAAGAATGTTAAATTTTTATCGTTTCATTCTTCTGAAATGTGCATGTATCATGTTGCTATTATTCTTGTAGAGAGGTTTAGACTGCGTATATAGTTCAGTACAGGCTACTACATAACTTACAAATATTAAGCTGTAGATAAATTTATAAGCTTTTTTTTTTTCTGGGTCATTCTTTGGTTAGGATGTTATTTGGCAAGGGCAAATTGCGGGAGTTAGTGCAGCACTGGAAGTATTCAAGGCTGATAGAGCATATCCAATGAGCAAATTACGGCAGGTGAGTCTGACAATTTGAAATTTGGAGAACAGTTCTGATTTGAAAGTATAACAAATTATTTGAGTGCAATCTATTAGTCAGAATAACCATGCCCTGTTCGGTAAGAGTGCTTAAAATCAACTACATAGAGATTTTTTACATAATCAATGTCATTAAAATGTTCATTGTGTCACTAATACAAATTAAAGTGACATTGTCATAGTCATACCAAAATGTGAGAACTTGTTTAACCTGAACAGCTCCATCCTGAGTTGAGTTTTTATAATTTGAACTTCTAAGTGCTGGGCAGTTGTGGCATCACTCGTAGTTATGCCCGTAAACTGCCCTCTAACCTTGTTATAGCTTAAAAACATTCTTACTTTCCTTTATTATGCATGCTATCATTATATATACGTTTCCTTTTCTTTTACTGACTGCAGATCCTGCCAGATATTATGAAGGGATCGTCCGAGTTGTTCCACAATGTGCAGACGGCTGTACCAACATATATGGAATTGGATGCTTTTCAGAAAGCAGCTTCCTCTGGAAAAGTGAAAGATGTTTCGGTTTTCACCCATGAGTTACGGTTGATAAAGTCACATGCAGAGCTTAAGTTAATGAGAGAGTCCGCATCAATTGCTTGCCAAGTACTTCCAAATCAATACTATTGCTAACTATTTTATCAGCCCATATATCTTACAATGCTTTATCTCATTGCACGAATCTATATGTATGTGGTTTCACATGAGAACCGTGTTGGGGTGTTACAGTTGGCGTCATTCTTTAAAAGTTATATTTGCACCATCATGTTGTAGTTTCTGTACAAGTTCATAGTATTTCTATATCTTTGAATAAGGTTAACATTGAATGTTCATCATAGATTATTCCCTGACTTGTATTAATCGTAGACATATATTGGTCTTGGACAGGCTCTACTGCAGACAATGTTTCACTCAAAGACACATCCTTATGAGGGTAGGCTATCAGCTAAGGTTGAATATGAATGCAAAATGAAGGGAGCCCAGAGAATGGCGTAAGAATTTTCCTTTCCTGGATGGTCGGATCTGAAAATGTAATTTATTATTTTATCCACTTTATATATGCTATTTTACACTAGAAAATGTCTGGTGGAATAACAGAAAACATTGTAATTGAAATTTGGTTTGTGATGGTATTGTTGGAGAGATTTTTCCAGTGTTTTCATGTTTTGCAAGGATTTACTAATTTCATCCTCCATTACCAGATTCAATCCTGTGGTTGGTGGCGGGCCTAATGCTAGTGTAATACATTATTCTCGGAATGATCAGAAAGTGAGCTAATTATCAAATCCACTATCTACCTTTTGTGTCATAATATAGACTAAGAGAACATAAATATTCTTCATTTATGCTTACAAAGGTTTATGCACATTTTTTTCAGATAAAAAATGGGGATCTTGTCTTGATGGATGTTGGTTGCGAGCTTCATGGTTATGTCAGTGATATTACTCGCACCTGGCCACCCTACGGCAGCTTTTCTTCAACACAAGTAAGGCATTGCTGCTTCTTGTACAAATTCTATTGATTGCTTTTGTTTTTATTCCTCTGTTACTCAAGAAGCTAGTATTTCTTTTGTCTTTATCTCTATTCCATTTAGGTTGAGAGCTTACAACTGTATTTTCATAGTGGCATGCAATCTTATTAACAGAAATATGCTTTAGCCTCAAAGCTTTTTAACATGACATCGAAGATTTTTGCAGCCAATGAGTCTTCTCAGGAGGAGCCAGATCTTGACACAGCTTTTAGCTTATTTTGTTGGTTTTTATTTTATTTTTTTGGAACTCTTCAACTTTGTTTTTATTTTGTAATTCTCTTAGTGCATTGGAGCATAATATTAATAAACGAGACTTATCCATGAATCTACATTTCAGGAAGAGCTCTATGATCTTATTCTGCAAACAAACAAGGATTGTGTGGAGCATTGCAAACCTGGTGCTAGCATTCGAGAAATACACAGCTTTTCAGTATGATCTTTTGAGTCTGAGTTGTTATGTTTTTGTTCATTTCACTTGAGAATTTCATCTTCTCTGCACCCTCTCATAAGCAATGAGACCCTTATCTTACCCTAATCACTATCTCTTGCATAGGTTGAAATGCTTATCAAAGGACTCAACGAGATTGGAATTCTGAAGGATTCTAGAAGCAGTTCCTACCATCAGCTGAACCCAACTTCCATAGGTTTCCCTGTCCATTCCTAGACAAAATTTTAATTTGTTGTTTTGCCGATTTAGGCATGAATGAAGATATGGTCTTAGTTTGTTGAAGTTTGAATTGGTTAATCAAGAAGTATTACAAAGATGATATTTTGTTATTGACCACCTTCTCTGTGGTTTTTTTTTGTTTTGTTTAAACGAGGTCGATAAGATTTGTTGATTTATCACTGTTCCCAAAATTTTAAGTTTTTAGGATGTGGGTTAACACTTATTTGTATTAGTTAATCAAGATGATATGTGCCACCAATTTATTTTGTAACTGATAAATTTGTTCCCTTCTACTGTCCAGGTCACTATCTAGGAATGGATGTCCATGATTGTTCTATCATTGGTTATGACCGTCCTTTGAAGCCAGGCATTGTAAGTTGCCTCCCATAGCATATTTAGGGATATAGAAGATAGAATGCAAGTACATATATTGCACACACAACCCCTCAAATTGTCTTTTTTCATAGTGCGTCTTTATCCAATTGTATATACACAAACTCTGGCTAAATGTTTGCACTGCATGAGCGATTCATTGTATGCTCTAATCTTAATTTTTCGTTTTTGACAAAACTGTTTTGTTTGTGCACAGGTGATAACAATTGAACCAGGAATCTACATCCCATTGTCTTCTAATTGTCCTGAGAGGTATTTTTGGGCTTAGCTCAGTCGACAAAATAATTGTTTTTTTAACCAACTTTGAAATGCTACAAATCAGTTTCCTTACTAGTCAGGCCCATGTACACTGTACCATTGCCCTTGGACAAGCAGTTGATCTCAAAGAGGTTCAACTGACAAGTCCACCCTACAAAAAAGTTTTAATGCTATAAGCTGACTTCAAACATCATATATTTCTTTTAACTTTTTTGCTCTACTGCTATCCAATGGTGAGTTTGAATGAGAAACTTTTCACTCTGTTGAACGCCTCATGCTCATGCATAGGACATCAATCATCTTACCATATCTTTCAACCTTTTTGGTTTGTTCTGATACACAAATTGATGTATTGGTGATATATGATGCAGGTATCGAGGGATCGGAATAAGGATTGAGGATGAGGTCCTCATTACAGAGACAGGTTATGAGGTATATCATTAATGAGAAATTTGATATGATTTTTGTTTAGTGTTAACAATTTAGGTTTGCTTGAACCTCCCTGGGTCTCATTTGATGATCCTAGTTTTGTGATTTTCAGTTTTATTAGTGTCTCTTTGAATAGCCATACGAATTGGATTTTGATTTCATAAAAGGTTTAGTTAGGAGGCAGATATTAATCCATTGTCTATTATGAGTGACTAAGGCCACTGTCTCTTTTCATATCAATTGTCCTCCAAGCAGCGTCACACATTCTCTGTCTAGCTGCTGTAAATTCGTAACAAGCATGATATTTCTGTGCATGCCAGGTCCTGACAGGGTCGATGCCGAAAGAAGTTAAACACATTGAATCCTTGCTAAACAACTTTCCCCATGGTAAGTATAATGCAGAGCCACAACAGTGAGAGAGCTTCATCCATTTGATGTGCCCTTGTAAAATAAGCGTACAATACAGATAAAAGGAATTCGCTCGACCATTCATGTCATTCAAAAGCAAAGAGCTCGCTAAATGTTCTTATTCAAGGCATGGCATTTTCCTGCAGATACTTGACGTGGGCTTTTAGCCAACTTAATTCTCCCACAGAACAAGTTTTGCTTTTTAATGCAAGTATATTATTTCCAAATAGCTATATATCTATATCTAAGCCCCACTCGTATTTCGAAAGCAAATTGGACTTTTTTCTCTAAACAATAAAACAATGTGGATTAGTTAAGCACCTTCTTTCTTATTGTTATAAAGTGAGAGCCTTGTATATGGCCTTTAGGTGAGGTTCTATTTCTTAATTGTTGGATTAAATTGGTTGTTGAATCAAATTGGTTAGCTTAATCCAACAGTTAGATAGAACCTCACCTAAAGGCCATATATAAGGTTTTCACTATAGAATGACTCGTAAAAATTAAAATTACTTTAATGTTCTGGCCCTTAGCAGACCTAAAAATAAATTTGTAAATTATTTATGTCCCATACCAGACCTAAAAATTATTTATGGCATATATATATATATATATATATGACCAGTGGACTTGTTCAATTCAAGTGCATTTACATGGTTTGGTTTGGATGTTCATAGTTAGGGGGGTCCTGGTTAACCATTAATGGAATAGGTTGAAGCTAAAGTTGTTGCATTTATAGGATGATTATGAGTGCGAATTTGTATTGTTAGGCAATGGTTATATATAATCAATGCGTATAAAACTTTTTTTTTCCTACGCTCTTCGGTTATTTTAGCGCCGCACCTAGAAGAAGTTCGACAATGGTGGATGATTTTAACACTTCTCTTTTAGCTTATGTACTCTATAATTTATTAAAAATATTCAATTTGGCACAATCACGCTAACCTTATCAAACAATCCGTGAATGATGATAACATGAGCTTGGTGTGATTTCTAATTCATGTAATTTATAATAGGGTTCATGGATCCAACGTGATTGTGATTGATTGGATCATTCAAATATCAACCAAGTAGTAAAATACATTTTAAAATCCTTTGTCAAACGCCTTTCGTGGACCCAATTTTCCTCCAAATATTTGTAGTTGGCTTATACGAAATATATTAGTCCCGTGAGAAACCAAAATTTTCTTTAGTTAATTCAATTGAACAACCTTCTTTGGATTTATTATGAATGATGCCAAAACTTCGAAAAACAAAATCTTACAAATTAAGAAAACTTAGCACGAAATAAATAGATGTTTGTTGTAGAATAAGTTTTCCAACAAGTAAAATGAAAGTAGATTGAGTAACTCAAATGCAATGGAGCAGACGCACTGTCGTGTCGTGCCCTAACCAATTTTGCACGTGAAAGAATTGTAAATTAGTTCCCTCGAGATTGATGGCCTCAATCTCTTGTGAAAAACAAAATATATAGTACATATCTACTTCGGATAAACAAAAAAATAGTACATACATACATCTGAAACTCAACGTACTCATTTAATTTTGTCTACGTACCGACTGTTTTAAAATTGGTTGGATGGGCTAAATTGAAGTAAGAAAGGGACCCCATATATACTGAAAATTTATTAGATGTAGGTGAGAGAGTTCCTTCCTTCTCCCCAGTCCCAACAGTTCACTTATATTTCAGTCCCCATAAATAGGTAACCGTTCCCAACTAGATCCCACGTGGAGCATTCTCATTGGTTGCTGCCTTAACCCTCCTCTTCCCCATTAATTTCGCCATAACTCCTCCCCAGCTGTGTCATGAAAGCATGCTTCATAGTTATTCAGTACCCCCTCCTCTACATCAAAATTACAAAGTGCCCATGCTTCTGCAGAAAAATTTATGCGAAACGAATAATACTGTTTTTCTATTCTCAACCAATCATATATGAAAAAGTTATCCAACATTGCGTGTCATGATTGACCGGAATATCAAAACACTACTATCCTCATTTCACACAAGTGTTTCTCATGCTTCTGTGATAAATTAGCTTGGCTTTATCTAGCACACATGAATATTATCATGATTGATGACAATCATCATAAGTTTACCTCTATCTTGAGTTCATAATCCATTTTTCAAATTATTCATTCATTATGAAACTATCATACTTAACCAGAATGGCACATTTTGCAATTTTTAGGGAGATAGAAGGGCAAATTTTGAATGGCTTGTTGGAGATTTAGAGAATATACAAGGGCAAAGGTTTGGCTTCACACCTATATGAACCCCACGACTTTCAACTCAAATTCATCCCAACCTCACATTCTCACTTTCTTCAGCATTTTTCAAAACCCAAGAAAGCTCTACAAAGTAAAAGAAACTCGACAAGGAAGCAAGAAGATCAAAATGTCTCTTGTGACAGCAGAGATCAAGAGCAAGGCTGATGAGTTGTACCATGGAGATGAAATCTGCCAAGAAAAGTCACAGAAATTGCTCACAGAAATCACCCTGCCCAATGGCCTCTTGCCCTTGAAAGACTTGGAGGAATGTGGTTATGTGAAGGAGACTGGGTTTGTGTGGCTTAAGCAGAAGAAGAGCACAACCCACAAGTTTGAAAAGATTGGGAAGCTGGTCAGTTATGCCCCTGAAGTCACAGCCTATGTTGAGAAAGGCAAGATCAAGAAGCTCACTGGGGTCAAGACCAAGGAGCTCTTGGTTTGGGTATCACTCAGTGACATTTACGTTGATGACCCACCAACTGGGAAAATCACTTTCAAGACTCCTTCTGGGCTTTTTAGGACTTTCCCTGTGTCAGCTTTTGAGAAAGAGGAAGCTGCTAATAAGGATGTCAAGGGCAAGAAGGAAGTGAAGGAAGAAGCCAAGGGAGCTGTGGAAGTCTAAGAAGAGGGGTTAAAATGTCAAGATGACAGCAAGAATTTTCATATAAAGGCTTTGTCTTTGTTTGTTGGTTCTTGCTTTTCGTCATTCTGATTGTGTTCTGTTGCTTTCCAGTCCTTCTACTAGTGCTACTTTAAAATGAAATAAAATTAGAGTTTTTTTTCCTTTGTATTTTGATGGGCAGAAGACAAATCTTTAAGTCTTTCCTTATGGTTAGCAATTATATTTTTAACATTCAAATTAATAGCTAATCATGAAAATGAAAGTCTTCTCAAGCAGATTTCTTGCAAACTTGGGATTATGGACCAAAACCAGAACCCATGAGAAGCATAAACCAGAAACTTTGGATTAGATTCTGATCATTCAACCAACCTTGAACAAACACAATCATCCCATCCAATGCCTTGTACCAAATTGCAGAAGCCATTCAAGTACCATAATGAAAAGAAAGTTGCAACTAACACTTGACACTTGCCACAAAGAGTGTACCAAATTCAGGAGTTCAAGATTGCTTCTTGATTACAAGGGCTAGTTTTGTAACTCAACCTCTACTACCATAACAAGTACTCGTAGGAAACCTTTCCATTTGCACCAGTAATCACAGATGCAAAGCCTGCCAAAAATACACAATCAGACAACTAATTAAAGCTCCAAGAACAAACACTACCAAAAAAAAAGTGGCAACAGTCACCATTATTTGGTGACTAATGAGGGGGTGACTAAAGACTTTAGTGGTGACTGTTGCCACTTTTTTTTGTAGTGAAATATATTATGGAAATAAGGAAATATCTGTCGGTGCTCATAGTCATACTATCATCATCATTTGACGCTGAAACTGCACACATGGAGTAGGTTTCAGCAGGCAGGTGGAACTGCAACTTTCAACTCTTATTCATTTATGAACAATGTTTTTCAGATGATTATTTATGAACAACTTTCTGCACCAACTTTCTATTTATTGATCTTTAGGTAAGGGCCCTAAGTTACCAAAAATGAGGATCAATGTGCGAAGCAGAATGGGAACAGGGATTTCATACATCACTTAGCCCGGAACATGGAAAGATGCTTGAACCAATGGAAGTCAAGCTTTTAAATGTCATATATCATTTTCCTTTCGAAACTGAATAGTATAGGACCAAATTTTTGAGACTTGGACAAGGCTCTTTGAAAATATCCTTGGATTTGGTAGTTCTTCCCATTTTATTTAAATTTTTGTTCACTTTATTCATATTTGGCATGCTGGTAAAAGTTTTTAGGAAGATGCTACAGAAGTTAGAACTCAGCTCTTTTCCTAACTCTCTAACTGACTCACATGAGGAGGAGGATCCACATGGATTCTACATTATTCTGCATCTCATCTCATGTAAAAGGGTTAAGAAAAAGAAGAGAAACTAATTAGGTTCTCAAGCATTTTCCAAGTTTATGTGTCGGAAAATGGTAAAACTTTGCTTAATACTTCAATGTAAAAAAACCTTGAACATGGAAAAGTAGAACCCTGATGTCAATAAGAGTGGCTGAAAGTTAGATAGATAGAAGTTCATACCCGAGAAGCCATAACCCATTTGCCACCAATCCAATCCTGATGAAGCCTTAACTCAGAGTGCTGAAATTCAATTTCCTCATAGGTGCCCCTGAAGTAGACTATGTATCTTGAGCCCCTAAGAACCTTTGAGATCACACCAACCCACCAACCATCATTGTAATATCCATCAACCTCTTGAAGCAAACTGAAATGATCAACAACAGTTTCAGGTGGACAAGGTCGTATGTGCAGCGTATCAATCTCTTCTCTCAAAAATGCTGAATCATCTTCAGTCCTCAAACTCTGGTATTCAATAAGGAACTTGTCCTCCCCAACAGCTTCCACTATAGTTGCAGCAAACCAAGCACCATTAAAGCCCTCTTCGTCACTGCTAACTTCAACTGGCGTTCCTTTGGTAAAAATCTCATGAGTTGACACTTTCTGCAATTTAGAAATCTCACCTTGTCAAATGTGAAACTAAGATAAATGAGATAAAAATGACCAACAATAAAAAGAAAAAAAAGGTGCCCAGAAAAAGGAAGAAATGCTGACAGACCAAAATTGGTATACAAAAACCACAAAGGAAAGAAAATATAATTTTCTATGCTCTTTAGACTCATATCATCCAAATAAATTTGTTAAGAGTTTCAAATCTTAAAACCTCTAGTCAGCATTGGCCCTTGTGAGGCATCATCATTGGTCGTTTTATTAATGTGAAACTCTGATGCTTAATTTCTAGTGAAGGAGACTGGACCTCAAAATCTTAAGGGTGCTAGTTGTCTTATTTCCCAAAGTATTATATTGTGATCCCAATGCAAGAAATCCCTTGCAATCTTTTAACCCAAATTGCAGTTGATCAAACTAAAGCTCAAGCACAACAATTCCTACTTATTTTAGCCTACATGCATACATTTTCCTTGTTTATCTAATTTTTACTTTTTACAAATTGATCGGTAAGAAATTTAAATAAATCATATTCACTCAAGCTGCAGGAAATTAAGGAAAAAAAAAGGGTCTGGGTCCTCGGTCAATCTCTAACAAATAAAAGGAAACACTTTTTGGGCCATTTTCGTACAAACCAAACAAGCCTAGAAAAGCCTTTCTAAAAAACAAAAAACCGAACTATAAGAACAGAAAAGTTTGAAATTTTTTCTTACCTCTCCTTCTCTTTCTTCTACTTCTTTCAGGGAAGGCTCCAAATTCTTGACGGCAGATCGGCGGTTGATGTTTGGATCGGGTTTGTTTCTGCGTCTCGGAGGCATTGTGGGGTTTTGGGTTCGCGCTTGGCGGGTTTGAGGCCAGTCAATGCTTTAGTTGTGGTCTTTCACTTTCAACTATGTACTTTGAGCAGTATATATTACGTCGACGTGTCAATAGTTTATTGGACAAACATGGCGGGACTTTAGGGGACAAACATGGCGGGATTGAAGAGAACGAGACCATTTAGGCATTTACCAAGAACTGCCACTTGGGTTTTTCAACAAAGTTCAAACCTTTTAGCTTTCTCTCCATCTTAATGAGTTTGGCTAAATTAAAGACTCTAACTTTAGCTGCAAAATCCACTTTGAATCACAAACCCATGTCCAAAACAACCATAAATTTGTCAATTTTAGAGACCCATTTGCCTAAATGCCAAAATCTCAAGCAATTCAATCCCATACTCTCTCAGATGATCCTCACTGGCTTCATCAGGGACACATATGCTGCAAGTAGAATTCTCAAGTTCTCCACCGACTCTTCCTTCATTCACATTGATTTGTCCCTGAGAATTTTCAATCTGATTGAGGACGCAAATGGGTTCATTTGGAACACTATGATGAGAGCTTATATACAAAGAAACTGCCCTCAAAAGGCTTTAAATTTATACAAACTGATGGTGGATAAGAATGCGGATCCTGATAATTACACTTACCCACTTTTGGTTCAAGCGTGCGCTATCCGGGTATCAGAGTTTGAAGGAAGACAGATACATAATCACATTTTGAAGACGGGTTTTGATTCAGATGTTTATGTTCAGAACACATTGATCAATATGTATGCTGTTTGTGAGAATATGAGTGATGCCCGGAAATTGTTTGATGAAATTCCTGTTTTAAATCCAGTGTCTTGGAATTCGATTTTGGCAGGGTATGTTAGGGCTGGGGATGCGGAGAAGGCAAAGCTTATATATGATCGGATGCCTGAGAGGAACACAATTGCTTCGAATTCTATGATTGTGTTGTTTGGTAGGACAGGTTGTGTAACTGAGGCTTGTCGATTGTTTAATGAACTGCCCGAAAAAGATATGGTTTCCTGGAGCGCATTGATTTCTTGTTATGAGCAAAATGAGATGTATGAGGAGGCTTTAGCTCTGTTTCTGAGAATGGTTGCTAATGGAGTTATGGTGGATGAGGTTGTGGTGGTCACTGTTCTTTCTGCATGTGCACGCTTATCAATTGTCCAGACAGGGAAATTGATCCATGGGCTAGTTGTGAAAATTGGAATTGAAGCTTATGTTAATCTTCAAAATGCCTTTATTCACATGTATTCAAGTTGTGGGGAAATTATGGCTGCCCAAAAACTGTTCAATGGAGCCTACCACTTGGATCAGATATCCTGGAACTCGATGATATCAGGGTACTTGAAATGTGGTTTAGTTGAAAAGGCTAGGACATTATTTGATTCCATGCCCGAGAAGGATATCGTGTCGTGGAGTGCAATGATATCAGGTTATGCTCAACATGACCGCTTCTCAGAAACTTTGGCATTGTTTCAGGAGATGCAGCTTCTTGGAATCAGGCCTGATGAGACCACTTTGGTGAGTGTTGTCTCAGCTTGCACTCATTTGGCGGCCCTTGATCTCGGCCAATGGATTCATGCTTATATAAGGAAAAATGGCCTTAAGATTAATGTATTTTTGGGAACAACCCTTATAAACATGTACATGAAATGTGGGTGTGTGGAAAACGCATTGGAGGTTTTCCAGGGGACTGCAGAAAAGGGAGTTTCTACTTGGAATGCTCTTATTCTTGGGTTGGCAATGAACGGGTTGGTGGAGAAGTCACTTGAAATGTTTTCAGAGATGAAAAAATGTGGCGTGGCACCTAATGAGATAACCTTTATTGGAGTTCTCGGGGCTTGTCGACACATGGGCTTAGTCGATGAAGGGCGCCGCCATTTTGATTCCATTGTCCATGAACACAAGATAGAACCCAACGTTAAGCATTACGGTTGCATGGTTGATCTTCTGGGGCGTGCTGGTATGCTCAAGGAGGCAGAGGAACTCATTGAGAGTATGCCAATGACACCAGATGTTGCTACTTGGGGTGCCTTACTAGGGGCCTGTAAGAAACACGGGGACCACGATATGGGAGAGAGGATAGGAAGAAAGCTCATTGAGCTTGATCCTGACCATGATGGGTTCCACGTATTGTTGTCGAATATATACGCTTCAAAAGGTAACTGGGATGATGTTCATGAGATTAGGGAAATAATGGTGCAACATGGGGTGGTAAAGATGCCAGGTTGTAGCATGATTGAAGCAAATGGAATAGTTCATGAGTTTTTAGCAGGAGATAACAAACACCCTCAAATAGAGGAGATTGAGAAGAAGCTAGATGAAATGGCTAAGAAACTGAAGATGGAAGGTTATGCACCAGATACGAATGAGGTTTCATTTGACATTGATGAAGAAGAGAAGGAAACTGCTCTTTTCAGACATAGTGAGAAACTCGCCATTGCCTTTGGACTTATCTGTACAAGTCCGCCAACACCAATAAGAATAATAAAGAATTTGCGAATATGCAATGATTGTCACATGGCAGCAAAGTTCATCTCGAAAGCTTTCAGTCGAGACATTGTGCTGAGGGATCGGCACCGGTTTCACCACTTTAAGCAAGGATCTTGTTCTTGCAAGGATTATTGGTAGCAGACTAGTATTACATAACTAAGTTGGTAAGAACATTATTCACCTTGTTAATGTTGGTTTATTGCTTTAGAACTTCTCCGGTTCTACCAAGAACTGGAAAGGCAGGGTGTGGCACCAACATGATGCTTTTGCAATCAAGCTACGTGCGCTGACAACACCAAATAGATCACGGGGTTGAAAATCAATGCAGTTACTACCTCTGCAAGGTGAAGGAAGGCAGTGAAGTTTATTATGTTGGATAGAAGGATGAATTCAGAGTTCGAGAAACCAGTGGTGGACATCTAATGGAATGATCTGAACTGTACAAAAAGTCTCATGTTTCTCTCTTTTTCATGGTCACTGGTTCTAAATCTGAAGACACTCTCTGTAATAGCATCCCACCATATAATGATGTGAGCAACAATTACAATAAGAAACTTGTGAGCATTGCTTTTAAGGAATGTCTTACTCCAGTGAGCTTGGATGCTGTTTTGTTAGAATTTAGAATTTGATATGGGAGAGAACTTAATAAGGTACAGTGAGATGACAATGCAATTCATTAAATTTGATGTTGTTTAGCTGTTTCTTTGTTGTTTCATATTTATCTCTGCATGTTTCTTTGGAGAGCTGTTAACAAAGAACTCTTGATTCTCTGGAAAGCAGGATTTTCCCAAGATCGTTTTGTACATGTTGGCTTATAATAAAATAACAAAACTAATCCTCTTTACCAGGCTGCCCAGTATCATATTCGTTTACAAAAATCTGAGGACATTCTGTTTTTATCAGTAAGGTGTTTCGGCTTCTGTTCCAGTTCCATCATCTAGGTCATGCATAGAACAATTTAAATCATTTATGTGCTCTGCCTCTTTCATATGCAAAATCATAACTTCCAAAACTCCATATACCAACTTTATATGAGAACCCACCTTATCTCCTACAACAAAAGTATAAACCTGGTTTCTTACCTCAATCCAACTCCTTCCTGCCTCTTTCTTATTCTCCATACCTCTCATCAACTTCCTTGTATTCGCAAATTCCCCCCATTCACCTTCAGCTGCATAAATATTTGACAACATCACATATGTGCCCACCATATTTGGCCTCAAATCTAACATCCTCCGAGCAGCCACTTTGCCTAGATGTGGAAGTTCATGTTCTTTACAAGCTCCAAGAAGTGCACCCCAAACATACTCATCTGGCTTAAATGGCATACTCTCGATTAATTCATAAGCCTCCTCAACTCGCCCAGCACGGCCTAGCAAATCCACCACACACCCATAAATGTCCTGATCTGGAGTAACCTTATAATCATTTATCATTGATTTGAAATACCTCAAGCCTTCATCGACGAGTCCGGCGTGACTGCAAGCACTCAGAACTGCCATGAACACTATTTGATCAGGTCTTATACCTGATTTTACCATCTCATCAAACAATTCAACAGCCTCTTTTCCATATCCATGAGCCCCATATCCGATCATCATGGAAGTCCAAGAGACTAAATTTCTATGAGACATTTGACTGAAAATTTTGTGTGCGTCAGTTATGCTTCCACACTTGGCATACATGTCAACAAGGGCATTAGCCAATGCCAAATTCTTATTAAGGCCTCCCCGAATAATTCTGCCATGAACTTGTTCACCATAGTTTAAAACTGCTAAGTTAGCACATGCTGATATGACACTGCAAAATGTGAAGCTATTTGGACTAAAGCCTTCTGTATCCATATGCGAAAATATAAGTAGGGACTCTTTAGAATCAAATCTTTCGTATCCGGAAATTAAGGTGTTCCATGTGATCAAATCTCTTTGAGGCATTTCATGGAAGTACTGATTTGCCTCTGATAAACAACCAAACCTGCAATACATGTCCAGTATCGAATTCATGACAGGAAGATTGGACTCAAATCCGTGTTTAATCACTGCTGAATGTATTTGCTTGCCAAAAGTATGCGACCCGATTGAAGCACACGCTCTAATCGCAATTGAAAAGCTAAATGGGTTCAGTTCTGCTTCCTCCTGTTTTGCCAACACATTCAAATATTTCACGTACCATTGCATAAAATTATGTACACTGATCCGAAGACTGAATTCTACATATGCTGTAACAAGATATTTACATATTACCTATAAAATTCTTCGAAAAACCAATTCTTTTAAGGAAATGTGTAAGGATGAATTAGCCACTTACCAGCAACATTTGGCGGAAAACTTGAAGCCCGCCATAGCCATTACCTCTGTGAGTGAAGCCAGTGATCAAAGTAGTCCATGACACATCATTTTTTTCATGAATATCATTAAAGACCATGCATGCGTCGTCCATGCTCGCACAACAAGTAGCATACATGTCCATGAGTGCATTTTCCACATAAATGGATCCCTGCATGCCTTGCTTGATAGCCCCCCCATGAACCAATGCACCACAAGAAAGAGCTTTCATGCCTTTACAAGCCTTCAGCACACTAGAAAAAGTATAAGCATTTGGCTCCATTTCATTCCTCACCATCTCACAGAACAGAGCCCATGCATGGCTGTGGTGACTGCAAGACGTGTACCCAGCAATCATAGCAGTCCATGCAACCACGTCTCTCTCCGGCATTTCATCGAACAGCTTACGTGCTTCTTTGATTAATCCCTTTTCAAAACATGATTTAATTAAATTTGTAGCTAAAATATTGGGTCTTTTTGGTATAAATGATGGGTTTGAATGGGTGGTAAAGTTCCGGGCCCACTGAAGTGAGTTTCTGATTATGGGTGGCATGAGATGGAAATGAGTTCTCGATAGTGATTTTTGTGTGCTCATTTGTGTCGCACTTCAACATGATCAAAGTCTTTAAACTCCTATTTATGGTGTTCCAAAGTTTGCAATTTGGTTCATCTATTGAACTGTGGGACTCTTGTAGACGTGGATTAGGCCAGTTAGTTAAGATAGTGAGTCCGTTCCATTACATCCAAACTCGAGTTGTAAATTAAATTAATTTATGGTGTGTTTACAAATCAGGAATTAGAATTCTCACCAGGAATTGAATTTCGTTTATAGAGAATTCTTTTGTTTACTTCACATTAAGGAATTGAAAAGTAAGCGGAGCCCACACAAAATTATGAATTGAATTCCTGATTTTGGAGGAATTCAATTTCGGAATGGGAGATGGTATTCTAATTCTTGGAGAATTCATCCATTAGGAATTCATCTTTTTTACCCATTATATCCTCCCACAATTTTCAAAATTCCAAATATGTCATATACTTTAACCCAAAAATGAGGACATTTTAATAATTAATACCACTCATATCCCAATTCTATATCGTTTAGTAAACGACTTCAATAGGAATTCGGAATCTAACTCCCCTCAATCCATATGGTTTAGTAAACAACTTCATTAAGAATCCAAATCTAATTCTCCTCAATCCAACTCCTCCTCAATTCAATTCATCCTCAATTCAATTCCTTCTAATCCAATTATGGATTAGTAAACATGCCATTAAAGTAATTTAAATTATCGTTTGCAAAATAATTTTTAAAAAATACTCTTAAATCAATAGATTCTAAAAAAAAAAAAAAAAAAAAAAAAAAAAAAAAAAATCAGTGGTTCATATTCCAGGACATACCCATTACACAAAATCCTTTGAGATGGGCTAAAGGCCCAAAAGTTTTGTCTAATAAGTAGCTTTGTGTGGCCACGCGGCCCATTAAATTATTCATATTTTAATATTATTTTATGTTGGAAATTAGGCTGTTTTTTCTTTTTGTAAATTGGCGGATTCTTTTCTACTATTCCTAGTTAGATATCAACCAACCTCCTCTATATAAGCCACACTCGTCGACTGGCGCTGCCACCGAGTGTACACACATAGAGCATGCGAGGGTCTCTCACGAAACCTTGAAAATATCACTTTTCTGACTACTTTCCCGCACTTTCTCGGCCACCAAACATACCAGTCATGTTCCTACTGAACCAAATTCTTCTGGTTTCTTAGGAAATTGCTCTCATTACTCTCTGATCATAAAGGTAGCATCTTTCTCGTTCCCTCAAATTTCCTCAGCAGCCAAACATGGGTTTATGTGTTTTTTTTAATTATTATTTTTTATTTTCGAAAATGCTGTTTGGTTGGTTATCTGTTAACTCTTGCACTGTGCTAGAATATTTGTCACTGTTTCTTTGAGTTCTTGTCTACTTGAGCAACTGTAGGTGTTTTACTTTAACACCAGCATATTATTCTCTTTTTATTTTATGGTTTGGTGCAGAACTTAGAGACTTTGGGCTTTTCTGGTTACTAGTATGGATTTTCTCTGTTTTATTTTTTTTTCTCCCTTCAGTAGTTGCAATTTCTTGTCCTAGGTATAAAGGTTGCAACTTTTTTTATGTACTTTATTCTTACATCCATGCAATTATAATTGTTGCTTTTATTTTCTCCTTTTTGATATTTTCTTTGTAATATTATAGTAGGTGAATTGTGCAAGTTTTTTGTGCTAGAAAGTGAGGTGGAATTTTGACTAGTACTTTGGAGAGCCTTGCTTTACATTAGCATGTGGAATCCCCGGAAACAGTAAATTATGTGGAAAATGAATCAGTCTGGAAGTATCATAAACTAGAACCTGTTTGCTTTGTTTGTCACTTTCTTTATCAGTTAAATGAGTTAGGGTTCTTGTTCATTCGCTTGTGATATATCTCCCGAGCTGATTTTGTTAATAATTTATGAGAGAAGAGTGCATTCAATAATCTGGATACTGTTCTTCTCCAAAAATAAATTTAGCCTCATAAAGGTTATAGTTCTAACTAACATGTGGTGAGAAAACGGTAGCATTTTAACCTACTCTCTATCTCTCTCTGCCGCGTGTGTGCGCATTTGCTTCGTGCATATGGGTTATCAATTCTTAAGTTGTTAAGATCTATTCTTAAATTGCCAGATAATGGAATTATAAGATCTGTTATAAAAGTTGCGGGTTTGTGTAACGGCGTTGTTAAGACCGTCTCTTAAATAAAAGAATCAGGGTATCATCTTTATATGCTTGAGAATCTTGCTGAATATCTTGACTCAGGCTGGTGTCAACTTGAGTTGCATTGCTATCATATACTTTTAGATTCTGTGTGTCATTCTGATTTTGTGATAAGTTAGCTTTCCTACATTGGCGTAGATTACCATCATTGCTTGTAACTCAAATACGATTATTGTGTATGTCTTATTTTGATACACTTATGGTAACTATTAGTGAAACATCTCCTAAATATATATTAATCTTTCCTCTTGTGGTTGAACTATGTCTTATGTACATTACAACCAGTAAAGGGAGGCATTACTGTAGCAGAGAGGCAGACAGCCGGACATGGCAGACTTGGAAAATTTGCTCCTTGAGGCAGCGGGAAGAACCAATTCAGCTGGGAAAAAACGGCAGCGACTTCCACCGAGGAAGCAACATGGAGGTTCCTATTCTGATGACGGAAGTGACTCCAGGGATGAAGACTCTGATTATGACCGTAGTTATGCAAGCAGGAAGCCCTCTCAAGTTCCTCTGAAGAAGAGGCTTGAACATGAAATGAGCAGTGATGAAGAAAGTGATTATGGCGATGGTTCTGACCATGAGGGTGAAAACAGTGATGACTCTGATGTTGGCCCTGATCTATACAAGAATGAAGCTGACCGAAAATGGCTGGCAGAATTGAGTGAACTTGAAAGAGAGATGATTTTGACAGATCGAGCAGAAAAGAAAGATGGTAAGGATTTTATGGAGAAATTGAGATCAAAGAGAGGCAATGCAAGATCTACCCAATCAAGGAAAGAGACTTCTCCTCTTCCATTGTCTCGCGGTGTACGCTCATCAGCTAGGACTGCTGACAAGACAGCTGCTATGGACGATGCATTGAATCAATTACGAGCAAAACGTCTGAAGCAACAAGACTCGAAGGCTCACCATAAGTTGAGGGACGCATCAAGAGCAAGTGAAGGTAGCCAGGGTACTTCACCAATCAAGAGCAAGTGGAGTCTGAGTAACTCCAGTCAAATTGAGAATGCAAGTGGGTTACACAGTGAAGACGAAGCATCAAGTGCAGATGGTGAATTGCTTGACAGCGATGAAGACGTGTCAGAGCCACCAACATTTCAGGAGATAAAGGAAATTACTATCCCAAGGTCAAAACTTGCAAAATGGTTTATGGAACCATTTTTTGAGGAGTTAATTGTGGGTTGCTTTGTTAGGGTTGGAATTGGGAGATCATCAAGTGGTCCTGTCTACAGGCTTTGCATGGTTCAGAATGTGGATGCCATGAATCCTGACCGGCAGTACAAGCTGGAGGGTAAAGTCACACATAAACATTTGAATTGTGTTTGGGGCAGTGAAAGTTCTGCTGCCAAGTGGCAGATGGCTATGGTCTCAGATTCTGCTCCCCAGGAGGAGGAGTTTAAACAGTGGTTTAAGGAAGTAGAGCGTACTGCTGGCCGAATGCCAAGCAAACAAGAGGTATTAGAAAAGAGGGAGATGCTTCAAAAATCGAATACATATGTTTACTCAGCAACCACTGTGAAGCAAATGCTGCAGGAGAAAAAGTATGCCTCATCAAGGCCAGTAAATATTGCAGTTGAGAAGGATAAATTGAGGAGGCAGTTGGAAATTGCAGAAAGTAAGGATGATGAGGTGGAAGTTGAGAAGATCAAGACAAGGCTCCAGGAATTGGAAGCATCCAGGCAAACCCAGGGGAAAGATACCAAGGCTTTTAGATTAGCTGAGATGAACAGGAAGAACAGGGTTGAGAATTTTAAAAATGCTTCAGGATTGAAACGAGTGAATATGAATCTGAAAGCTGGGGAGGCTGGTTATGATCCATTCTCAAGACGATGGACTAGATCGAGAAATTACTATGTTGCAAGGCCTGGAGGAGGAGGTGCTGAAGCTGCTGAGGCAACAGAGGGAACTGCAGGTGTAGCCAGTAACGAGGACAAAGCAACAGCAACAGGAAAGAGTGGCATGGAAGCAACAGAGGCAGCGCTGGAAGCTGCAGCTGGTGCAGGGAAGTTGGTTGATACAAGTGCTCCAGTGGACAAAGGGACAGAGTCAAATATGCTGCACAATTTTGACCTGCCAATCTCGTTGGCTCCACTTCAGAAGCTTGGTGGACCTCAGGGCGCTCAGATTGCATACATGACGAGGAAACAAAAGATAGAAGCAACAGTTGGGTGCCGAGTGCGGGACGACGGGAAGAAGCATGCTTCGACACTGTCTGTTAATGACTATATCAGAAGAAGAGGGCTTCTCAACTAGATGCTCCACCCTGGTATCCGTTTAAGTAGTGGTTTGTAAGCTTTGCTTCTTTAGTTGGGTGAAGCCGCCCTTATGGGTTTGACTTGTTATCGTTAGTCTAAATTTATATGCACCTTTCTAGGACTGTTTTTTCCCCCAACTTTCAGTCCATTTTCTCTAAGTCTATCATATTGCATTATCTGGTTTATTGTTAGTAATGCAAATTTTATGCTCAGTACTTAGTGAAAAAAGATCAATGGGTCCATAGCTCAATGGTAAGAGCATTTGCATCAATGGTCTCAAGTTCAAACCCCAATGAGACCTCCCCCTCCCCTTTTCAAACTATGACAAACAAAAAAAGTTGGAAAGAGGCAATTTAATGAGCCTCAACTACGTGAACAAACCATTCACGAACCTGGTAATAATTAAAACAAAAAAAATAAAAAAAATACAGGTTTTCTTTAAGAAAAAGTCAAAATAAGTCCGAAAGTTCCTCCGTTTGGATGAATGAATTGAAAATTGTACATAATTTTAAATGACGGAATCTGTCATTTAAATTTCTGGCATTTAATACTTTCAACGTTTGGATTTATATATATCGAATTTTATAAATGACATAAATTATAGTGAAAAATGAATTAGTGCTCAATAGAAATTGCAAAATGGCACTATTTTTGATGGAAATTAAACTCGAGAATCTTAATTTTCAATTTCCACGATTTCTTCCGCACATCATTTAATAAGTTTCATGCTTAAGTTCCCAAACAATGGAAATAACAATTTCTCCTATTCAATTTCCAACTTTAGCCAACTTCTGAGTTATTTTCCTCCATCCAAAAGAAGTCAAAATCAAACTCTTACTCTGTTAATACAATACAATTCAATTATCCAATATTTGGTGTTAAATACAAGTAGAAATGTCAATGATCAGAAACCAAAAGGCATTCTGTAAAAGAAACATGGAGTAATGTAAACAAGTAGTAATTGTTACAAGCACATACAGATGCAGATTGCCTTTCCTGCGGTACCCTTAATATTCCCACCATACTTGGTCATTTTAGTTGCTCATTCCGATCAACTCAACTGATTAATCGGATGGCAAAACAAATGCAAGTATCAGAATACAAGAAACGAAAACTGTATAATGCACTTTGAAGTCGACGACTGTTCTCTATCCACTTTTTAGTACCCTATCCTAAACTTGTTGCTGTACAGTACAAAGGCCAAATATTTGCCCTTGAAAGAATGAGTCTCATTATATGAGAATCTGAGACTTAGCAGCGCCTCTGGAGCATTTTTTGCGGCCGCTCTTGCTAAGTGCACAAACACAGATCTCAAGAAGTTCATAATCTTCGTCCCAGAATAACAAGGCCGCCTTCTCCGGATTCTCCAATAGCATTTTGGTTGTGAGGTACCCAGCAATGGTCCATGTTTGGTACAGTCGCGATTGCTTTCCGATAAACTTCCCCGTTCTGGTATCGTAGTATTCAGGCCAGCGGTCTGATCGAAGCCTCTTCTCAGCCAAATCAGCTGCCTTTTGAGCTAGATCAATTCTGCCCATCTTGAGGCACGCCAATGTGAACTGAAATAGGATAGCAAAAGAATTTGAGAGGGAAAAGCTAAATTTGAATGCATACTTAAAGAAGAAGGGAGGTATGCTGAACATGACCATAGATCACATTTTTAAGTCTCTGCTACCTTCCCTGCCTAACTTCTTCACTGAACCTAAACTACATAAATTCTGAAAGTTTCCAATCCCATAATATACAATGGTTGTATCATGACATCCAATTCCACAAAAATGAGAATTCCTCAAAGTATTTATCTAGCCAGGCAAGGCTTACCTGCCACAGGAGTGTCGGCCAAGATCCACCATTATGATATGACCAAGGGCTGTAGGAGTCAAGACAAACATATTTCAGTGATAATGAACAAATTTGATGGTACAACAAGACAATTAGCGAAAAAATGTGCAGGCAACTCACGTATTCTTCGGGTCACTGCCAGTTATTATACGCCACTCTTCAAATTCCAAGGCAGGATAGCATATCTTAAGTGGCATATGCCCCACAAGATCATCCCATTTGGCTTCTATCAAATTCAGTACAGAGTCATTTTGCTTTGGAGTGCCCAAAGATGAAACAATGGACCAAAGATTTCCAAGAGTGAAAAACCTAAAGTCCATGTGAGCTGGTTGTAGATTGCCAATAAAATACCCGCCTTCCTCTGGAATCCAGTCCATTAACCACAAAGGAATTTGTTCAGGGTAGATATTGAACTTGTTGGTGGCCTCTGTAGAGTACTCTTCTGTCTTATATCGATATATCTCATTTATCTTTTTCATATCCACCCAGTAATATTCTCTGATGTGGAATGACAACGCGCTAAGTCTGTTGTTGATTGCCCTTACCAAAATCTTGGATCCATCATTTAGAGCAAGCATCTCACGGGAGCACCGAAGAGCCGAGTAAAATAAGGCCTGAAGAATCATATTTGACACAAATGATATCAGCCCAATGCGATACATAATTTAACTTGAATATGATGCACTAAAACCGATAACACATGGCTGTAATAAGGATGGAATGACCATATAAAAACTGGCATGGTATCATACAAAAGGACATGAACAAGACACAACCCAAGATTCTTAAAAAACAGAAGGACATGAACAGGAAGCATAGTTTTAACAATTTTCAGTATTTATGTTCAACAAGGAAACCACCAACATCGTTAATTTGGACCTATAACCTTTTCCACATCCTTTTTTACAATCTCTAAAAGGGCTCTAAGTGTGACATTCGAACAAAGTAGCCCTCTTATTGTAGACTACAGAAAGAACATAAATTGATGAATACTTTAACATCTAATAAGCACCCTCAAGGACTATGCAAAGCAGCTTTTCAACTCACTTGGATCTCAAGGGGATGACCATGGATACCCATACGTCGGTCTATCATGCAGGAGCCATCTGTGACTAAAAGAGAAGGAAACATATCAAACCCATCAGTTAAGCACAGGTTCAGGATCATTTTCAAGCCTGTTTGAACATCCACCCTTTCCTGTAATGCATAGTCACCAGTTATCTTTCCATAAGCCCTCAACAGAATAATCCACCATAATCCTGCCAGAGAAGTTACACAAATAACAAACCATTAGTCATTAGATACTACAACAGAGGAAATTCTTTAAAAATGAATTCCTTCCAAGAAAATCTACAAGATGCACAGGATGAGGACCCAATAACACCAGGATGGCAACAGCAGCAGACTGCGTGCAGCATCCTATAAAAGAATCACATTTTTCATTGGCACAACCAATAAAGTTCTGATATACTTACCAGAATCCACAGGTGCAACCCGGCCAATAGCTGATTCACCAAAATCGGGATCTAAAACTTCTTCGTATTTATTCCCATCGAGAGGCACAGTTCTAACTTTAAAACTTGCAGGCATCAATCCCTGCCCTGGGCTATAGCAATCAACAGTTTTCTCCCAACTCTAAGATGAAAGCAACATATAATTAGGAATTCAAGAAACCTGAATAATTAATTCAAGGTTCACTAGCGAAGAGTGTGGTCCACATAAAAATTTGCTGAAGTTATCTATAACATCAATAACTTGAGGGAGAACCATTTTTGTTAAAATATATAGCAGTTGATACGTATCACCACAGAAGAATGTAAAGCTTCACCAAAATCAATGGAATATATGTTTTGGAAAGAAAATATGCATGACGTCAATCCTTGAAATCCAAAATTAGCAATGTCTAAATGCAATAAAAAGGAAATTTGAATATTTGACAACTTGTTAATTGATAAACCAAAGATAAATAAGGTTCCAATATTTCTATTCATATGGGTTAATCATTCATTAAAAAACTGATAACATGTATAATCAATGCTCGAGAGGAACGAAGTTTGATAAGTGGATGTGAATGATTACCTGCAATTGCAATGTATGAAGAAGGAAGTTCTTCACTATCTCTCCTTCTCCCTTAAGCAAGAATGCAAGCGCTGACGGAACAAAATCACGGATAAAGACCTGATCATAATTCAATGTTTGCTTGTCACCCGGATCATTTGCTGCAACAGTCCCCACAGGAGTCCCACAGTACGTCACAATCGAATCCCTCAATAGCTTCCATGCGTCCTTCTCAATATCTGAATACTCTCTCTGCGCATTCACAACCTTAGCTTCATCCAAACCTTCCTGATTACTTACATTCTGTTTTTCATCACTAACTTCTATCCTCGACTCTTCCTCTCTCACAACATTCTCATCCTTATCAATTCTTTCCACTGTCACAGGCTTGACATTGATACCACCCTGAACATATATCCTCTCAAAATTGTTCTCATTCACACGGGTCTCAATTGACGTTGAAAGGTTTCGAAACTTGGACGCAAGCCTAGCAATCACAGAAACACCCCTACTAGTTGTGCCAACACTATAAGACCTAGATATAACCCCAGATTGGCCAAAACTCCAACTGGGAACCTGAGAAGCTTTGAGTGCATCATTGAAAACGTGTCCTGAGCCCGAAACACGAAAAGGGTTGGTTTGAAATTGGCATATCTGCTCAAAATTGACGCAAAAATTGGACAAATTTCCCTTCTTTGCTAAACCATGGTAGCATTTTGCAGGTGGGAACCCGAAAAGCGCCGAGTTTCGACAACTAGTTAGGATTCTACAAGTGGGTTTCATTGTCCAGTGACAAAGCAGACTAAGGGAATTCATAACAAAGAATAAGAAATCTGATTGATGAGCAAATTCAAATCTTTAAAAGACGTACGAGATATTATAACTATATGCATATACAGCTACCCTGTTCCTTCGAAGACTGAGATATAAATAATAGCGTTGGGGTTTTCTTCAAACTTACAGAGAGGGAAGCCGCTCATCAGAGGAAGAGAGATTGTGGCAAAAGAAATGGTGTCTGAAAATTTTGGATGAGAGATAGGCTCAGATTAAATAGAGAAGTTAGCTTTTATACGTAAGCGGTGGCGCGTTGGAGACTGCGTTGAAAAAGGGCTTGCTTGGCAAAGGAAATTAATTCTTAGATATTTTTCTATATAAATGAAAAAAAAAGAACTTGAAAATTATATTGGAAACTCTATTTATGACAATTTATAAGTAGATTTGCTTTTCTTTGGCAGAAACTAAGTATAGAAGAAAAATAGAAAATGTAGATGTAGAGAAGTTTGATCTTTCCTCCAAAAGCATAAAAAATGGCGGCTTCTCCACGTTATACGGTACTTAGGGCCTTGGGCAAGTCTTAGTTAAGATTTTTATTTTAATTGTATGCAAAAATATAGCTATTTTCTATTTTATCATGGTATTTACTAATTTTCGTTATGGCCGTTTAATTCGTGGACGAAAGGCTTTGGAGTTATATTATATTGGATTTGCAGGTGAGGGATAGTGTTGGTGACGTGTCCATGGATTGGTATCCACTACTTTTCAATGTTGTCATCAGCCAATGTGCGCTTGAGAGCAACTCAAATCTCAACACCACGGATGGAATTTGTAGCTTAAGTGATTAAGAACATTCCTTTCTGCATTTGAAGTTTTAAGCGGGTTCGGTTCCTCTTTCTCTTAATATTACTTGTATTAAAAATAAAAATAATAAAATAAAATAAATCTATGGCACCACTATAGAATTCTTGCTAAGAATAATGGTCATGGGCTCATTTTAGAAAATCTGGGCCAATATTCAAAACCAAAACCTCTGTCAAATGGGTTTGGAGATATGGCCCATTTGTGTTGGACTGACTTGGTATTGGGCCTCAAAGTCATCTTTTATCCATTTTTTTTTTTTTTTTTTTTTTTTTTTTTTTTTTTTTTATTCTTTTGGCATTTTTTCATTGTCGGTATAGTAGTTAGCTAATGATACGATATGAATGATGAGGCTGTGGATATAAGCAACAAAATCCAAGAAAAGGAAAGGAGGAGGAGGATAGGGAAACATGGCAAGGTTGGTGGTGGTGCAGCAGCAGCAGCAGAGACAACCTTCTCTCTCTCCTCTCCCTTCTTCTCTCTCTGACTTGAATGGCACCAGACTCCACACTCAACTCCAGGTTCTGCTTTCTGTGTCTGTCTTTGACAAATTTTGTTCTATTTTCTGTTCTAAGTTCCACAATGTTGGGAATCTCAATGGACTGATTTACCTAAAAAATGGATGGCTTGTTTTCTTTGATGATAATTTTATAACTTGGCAATTCTTTTACGCCCTATTATCTTTGAAGACATCCTTCTCAGAGCTTGGCTACAAGTAATGTAGTTCTTAACATCAATATACCATTTGCAGTACAGGAGAAATGTATCACGGCCAAAAGAAACATTATATGTTACAGCATCCAATGCAAAGAAGAGTCTTACAGCGGGTGGCATCCAATCCATTGGCGTGTTCTTGTCAAGACTTTTCATCAAAGATGGTCTTCAGGTACTTACCATTTTCAACAAATTTGTCTTTTCTTTTTCCTTTTGCATATGTGTCTTCTGTCTTTTGTACTAGTTTTCCATTTCTTATGTCTCAGGCACTTGACTTTGAACTAACTTTGGCAGCTGAGTTTGCTTAGCAGACCAAGAACACCCATCACAGAGCAATTGTCAGGTGAATCAAATAAGGATTGTGCTGGTTTTTCTTCAAAGGTATGCTAGAAAGTTGTCCTCTATGGCACACATTTGTGAATTTGACATGAAAATTCCACATAATATTTTCTACTTACTATATATTGCTAATATATACTCAGACTGAAGATTTTGCAGTTCCTAGGAGGAATGCAATGGCCTTAATCTTGTCATCTTACATCTTCTCTGGAGTCAGTTTTCAGAGTGTTGCATTTGCTCAACAATCTGTTATTGGGTTAAGGGAATACATAGATAGTTTTGATGGGTATTCATTCAAGTACCCTTCGAACTGGATCCAAGTCCGAGGTGCTGGAGCAGACATATTCTTTAGAGACCCTTATGTTCTTGATGAAAATATCTCTGTGGAGTTTTCCTCTCCTTCATCCTCCAACTACAAGAGCGTGGAAGATCTTGGTCCGCCTCAAGAAGCCGGAAAGAAAGTACTTAAGCAGTACCTGACAGAGTTCATGTCTACAAGACTTGGCGTGAGGCGCGAATCAAAAATTCTTTCCACGTCTTCAAGAATTGCTGATGATGGGAAGCTTTATTATCAAGTCGAGGTAAGGTGGTGATTGATTGTGATGTTTGTAAATGTCTCTTCTATGCATTTTACAGCACTTATTAGATCAGCCATAATCTGCCTTAATGGTGGGGTTGAAGAACTCTAGGCTTCCTTTGGTTTGGTAGAAATTATATGATCTATGTATGCCAACTAATTCTGAAAGAAGCATTTCTCACTTTGATTGTTTGCTTTAAGTTCTTTGCCTGCATTATTTGAGTACTTTATTTATTTATTTATTTTTAAATGTGTTTTCTAGGTAAACATAAAATCATATGCAAACAACAACGAGCTGGCTGTTATGCCGAAAGACCGATTAGTTCGCATGGAATGGGACAGACGGTACCTTTCTGTCCTAGGAGTTGAAAACAATCAGTTATACGAGTTGAGATTGCAGACACCAGAAAATGTGTTTGTGGAAGAAGAAAGTGATCTTCGCCGGGTTATGGAGTCCTTCAGAGTGAACAAGATTGCTGCTTAGGTACCATAAGGTTGTACAAAATTTTGTAATCCAAGGTTTCCTTTTCCTTGTCATCCTTTCTCTTCGGATGCCAATTTTCAGTTCTGGTTCTGCAAAACATTGATTGTTTAATTTGATGCAAGCTCTTAGTTGTTGTAAGATTTTTCTTTGGTAGTATGTTTTTTTGTCCACATTTGAGAAATTTGTCCAATTGAATGAACATGAGGCAATTCAAATGTGAAATATTGAAAATTCTAACACCATCTCAAACAAACATTGTAATTTTTTTTTGTTCAGTCAGTTTGTAATTTGCAGTACAGGGGACACAATCTTCGGATATGAATTACACCTAAATTAAAGGAACTCTCAAGACCAAGATGCTATGTTACAAAAAACAAATTTACAAATGACGCATTGCAGTACATGTTGACAATTAACCTCATTCTGAGCAACTTCGCAAATTAAAACTCATATTTATGACCTGACTTCAAATTCCCCTGCTCGAGTGAGAGCTCGAAAACCCTTGTAAGGCGGTTTTGGTAGATTTTTCAAATCCAGTTTATCTATTTGCAAGCCAGATAGAGCAACACCCATGATCCTAAAACCCACTTGAAATGTGGGAAACACATGAAGGCGCTCTAATCCTGTCTCAAGCACTAATGTTCCAGACATTGCAGGGGCTTTGTCTTTAGGAATCCGCCCAATTGACCACGAGCAAGTCTACAAAAAACAAGAAGCTTTCATTATATTAAAACCAAAATCCAACCAGGAGAACTAAGCATTCTCATATTTACTTTTTCTGAAACTGCAGATATTGCAATCAGAAAGCATAACAAAAGTGAAGAATATTATTTGTCTTTAGAAAAGAAAAACAGAAGACATTCATTACAATTTCATCTAAGAATTACAACTGATAATCAAAATTCAAGGGCAGTTGTCATGCCAAGGATGAGTTAAATCACGATTCTGGGTTGTTCGTACCTTATTAGCAAGAATGTTCACTGTTCCATAATTTGAAGTCAGGTCAGCTGATAAAATGCATGGAGGCAGTTGAAATTGCACAGTTATTGAATCAATTGTCTTTCCAGGATCATTTCGTATTCCAACCAACACACTCACACGACATGTCCCAGCGTCTGAGGTTAGCTGGGGCTTTACGTAGATTGGAGAGCTCTTCAACTTTCTAACCCTGCATAAAGAAGTATAGAATTATTTAGAAAATAAAACAAGGCCAGAGATACTGAAATACTGCACACTTTATTAAGTAGTCTTAGTATCTTCCCCCAAACTCATCCATATTGCACATTTAGATATTGAGCGCCATGATAATTAACTATATTACCCTTAACAAGCTACAGTACTGTCCAAAACTTAAATAAAAACAGAGTAAATTTTTATAACCTAAGTGTCCTTTTAACACCACACACCTGTAGCTCATCAGTTTAAACTGTCCGTCAGGAGGCACAAATGACAGAATTTGTTGGGATTCCCAAGGGCGAAATCGAACACATGGATGGAATCTTACATCATCAAGAATAGAAGGGTTTGCAAATGAAAGAGTCAAATCAGGAACACCTGAGAGATGGGAGTTCACTTGCACTTCACCATATATCTCGCACTTCACCAGGACCCCATCCCTGGGCAGCACACACACAACTTTAAGTACAAAACCTTGAGATATAAATCATAATCATACAAAGCATTCAATTATAACTACCAAGTCTGCAAATCTTCACACAATAATCATCACCATCCATAAATGATAACATGTCTTATAAAATTATAAATTAAATTGCAACCATTATCTTCAAGTAGATTATTCTCCTCTTCAAACTTCAGATAAGGCACTACTATTCTCATCCAAGTTATTCAAAAAGATTGCTGAAGCAAAAGGGTGAACAAAATTTTGCATTCGCTTGAAGAGCCCATGTGATTCATATAGTTTGAAAAATGAATAGAATATCCCAAACTCCTTATCTGTCTGTTTCTAGATTGTAAAGAGTCACCAATTACAAACAGGAAGCATAGTCATTAATACATGGAATCTTTAATCCATACCAAAAAGAAAAGGATGGAGATATCTTATCAAAGCATTAAAAAAAAAAGATTGACCTGTTTACAATTGCATCCATTTCTTCAACAAGATCAACATAAACTTCATTGTTAGCATATTTCGGGTCTGCTGTTCTCCATGGAATGCAAGATGATGTTGCACCTGGAAGTGTGTCACTCATGTTGGAACTGTTGCCTGTCACAACACTCAACATCTTGTTAACTATATTTGGTGGAGCAATCATCTCTCTCAGAATATTAGGTTCTGTAGTGAGAGGGAAGCCATTGTCAATCATCTCATCCAGAAGCTGCACATTGCAGTAAAGATTTTGGTCAATTTAATAAGAAAAACTCAATATGGAAAACACTAGATTCTATCTAAATAGCAGCCAGGTCCTAGTCAGTAAACAATCACAGCAATGGAGGGTAAGATGTTGAACTTGGCCACGTTGCTAAAATTCTACATTGTAAGCTGTTGACGCAACAATCACAGACTTAGAGGGTAAAATTTGTCCACACAACAGACACGCATTCTAGGAGAAATTAAGACACTAGATGACAGTAATGCATTCACTTATGAAATCAAAATAAGCAGAATAAGTATACTTAAGATACTTGCCTCATATACGATGACAAAGTTATCTTTTATCAAGTCTTCATTCAAGCCACCGAGATAATCTGAAAGGACATCAGCTACCCTGCAAAGGAACTATAAGTCAAATGGTTAAAGGTCAATCTTGTTTAATGCATACATAATGACATCATAAAGGCAAACTACATTCAGCATTGATATTCACCTCAATTGCCATCAAAGGCGGCATTTCAACTTGCGTACATGCTAAAAACGTTATCCCCTCGCGAAGAATTTGGAAAAGATAATGGGTTGGTGAAGTAATCACTGGTTGCAGCTAAAACAAAACCACAAGTATTATATTGAGAAGCATAAAAAATGGAAACTGATAATGTGGCAACCAAAAAACTTTAGAATGAAGCTAGAAAATAAACAATTTGGTAACCCAAAAAAAGGCCAGATTGCCATAGGTACCTTGGGGAAATCACCTTGAGAAATGGTATGTTCCCAAAACCATGCACATATGGAACGGTCCACACGCTGCCCAGTAAGCTGTTTCTCCAGCATTACCTCACTGTGAAATCCCAAAAATTAGCATAAAGTGAAATCTTTTTAGTTCTACTAAAATTCGTCAATTAAATTTGGAGATCAAACGGGAAATCTCTAAAAGAGAAAATTCAATGACTAAATAAAAGCAATACAAATTCAACTGGGTTGAACGTGATTAAACAAAAGAACAAAAGAACAAAAGAACAAAAGAACAAAAAAATAGTAATTAGCTATGATATAATAGAATTCACAGATTTGGCGACTTACCCAGAATCTGATAGCAGAAAAATGCACTGCAACATCTCTCTATTTTCGTCAAGGCGGTAAATTTAACGAGAGTGAAGCTTGCGGAGATGAATACAATCGTAGATTAGCTCATTAGCATCTCTCTCTCTTTCTCTCTCTCCGAAGCCAACGAAACAGAAGAAAAAAATACCTGCTTTAACCTCTTCAACAGCAGAACTCTTCTTCTTCGCATCCACCTTGTTGGATTCAGATTCTGTGATTGCTGGGCTACTGGGTTTTTTACCGTCAACCAAAATTGTAGAACGAAAGAAAGGCCCAAAATTTAACCCGAAACCTAACCCAACTGAAAAGCCCAACCCAACTCATTGCCGTTTCGGAGCAATGGGCATTGCCGATTTAAGGCGCGAAAGTGTACGGCGTCGTTTTGACGTTTTGTCTTTGTGTTTTTTGAGTGGCTGAGGAGTCGTTGGAGTGTGGATATAAACAAATCAAAAAAGAGTGGTGGTGGGTCATACCCTCTTATCCTCACTGAATGTTCGAAGGAGAGAACGCCAAGAGAAGAAGACGACGACGACGACATGAATATTTCAAGAATTTCAGTGAACCCAAAAGAGAGAAAGAAAGAAAGAAAGAAGAAGAAGAAGGTTGGTCTCGTGGTGGATAGAGAATTCTAGTAATAGAAGAGAGGCATGGCACGGTTGGTGGCTGTGCAACCGCAGCAGAGACACCCTTCCTTCTCTCTCCTTCCTCCTTCCTCTCTCTGTGACTTCAATGGCACCAGACTACTTCACTCCCAACTCCAGGTCCTCTCTCTCTCTTGTTTGTAATGAGTAGAAGCTAGCTTGTTCAGTCAATTTAACTCATTTGTAGGAAAGTGTGTAACTTTACATGCATTTCTTAGTTAGCGGCCATCTATTAATTGTTGCAGTGTAAAAGAAGGGTGTCACAGCCAAAAGTAGCATTGCAAGTTACAGCGTCAAGTGCAAAGAAGATTCTTATAATGGGGGGCACCCGATTCATTGGTCTGTTCTTGTCAAGACTCCTTGTCAAAGAAGGTCATCAGGTATTCTCATTCTCTTTCAAGTTTCGAACCTTTTCCTTTCTATCATTTTCCCATTATGATTTTGCTTTTATTTTATTTTATTCAAGTTATTTGTACCAATGTAGTTGTAAACTGGTTTGTCCTTGAACAATGTTTTCAATACGTTGATAATTTATAACATCAAGTTTTTATCTTGGCAGGTGACTCTGTTTACCAGAGGAAAAGCACCAATCACTCAACAGTTGCCAGGTGAATCCGATAAGGACTACACAGATTTTGCTTCAAAGGTATTGTACTAGTGTCACTGAGGATTTAAAGTCCTTTACTTTAACTTCGAATTCTTTCCCAGATTTCCATTTTCTAATAATCATGTTCGGCTAGATTTTGCACTTGAAAGGAGACAGAAAAGATTACGAGTTTGTGAAATCCAGTCTTTCAGCTGAAGGCTTTGATGTTGTTTATGATATAAATGGTGCGCATAGTCTTTACCTTTAGTCTCTGTACTTTAAAGTTTTGCACTAGAATAAAGTTCTTGTTTACCATACTTACGCTTCTGCGCAATAATCTGTACTTCTGTCGGAAATTTTCAGGACGAGAGGCAGAGGAAGTTGTGCCAATACTGGAGGGACTACCGAAGTTAGAACAGTAAGAACAGCCTACTGATGGATTTTCATATCCTAATTAGTAAAGCAACTTGATTATTTCACCCTTATTTCTTGATGGTTCGCCAGTATAGCCATCTTGTCCTGGATATGGTTTTAGATTGGGACTCGTTGAAGTAGAAGTCAACTCTAATTAGCAAACATGTTATGCTTTGTGTGTAATATTGGCTTCTGGTTAGAAGAAACAAGACTATCATAAGAGATTTTATCAAAATATTCTGGAGTATGGAAGATTTGGAAATTCTACAATCTCTCTGTCATAAAGTCAAGCACCTTTTACTGGGGCTTATCATTTTACTATCTCCGTAAGGAAAATAAGCCTGGTAAATATGTTTAAATTGAGGAGAAGCCAGCTGATATAATCAGGTGTACATAAGTTCAATGGTAATTATGTAGTGAGAGATGTATTGTGAGTCAAAATGGAACTAAAGAATCAATCATGACCTGGAACAATCAACTTTTATAGTGCAGATTAATGATTATGGTTTGTTTGACTACATTGTTCTAAAACTTAACCAAACACTAGCAGGGTAGAACTAATGTTTTGATGCGGAAAAGCTATAGAATTGCAGTTATTTTCTCTTCTATATAATGCCAAATTTTGGAAGATCTAAGAATTCCACTGATTCTCAGGTATATATACTGCTCTTCAGCCGGTGTCTATCTCAAATCTGATCAGTTACCTCACTTTGAGGTATGTTTGATGTTATAAATGGCTTACTTATTCATGTTTTGGGAAGTTGGATCTTTGTTTAAAGTGATGATTAATGTAGGCTCAAGCATGAAACCTTGAAGGCATAAGCTAATTGGTATCAAAGAGCATGTAAACAAGGCTTTGTTTTCTGGATACAACTGTGAAATGTAATTTGATCTTTGTCAAAGGCAGAGATTGAAGAATAGCCTTCCAAATTAGACAAAATTATAAATGAAAAGGTTCTAAAACATGCTTTTGAATTTGGCATGTCAGAAGATGCAAACATGCTTTTCTCATTGTTGAGCTCAGTCTCTTCTTAGCCGACATTTGTAGTTTTTAGTAGTACTGTTGTAGTGTGATTCAAATTTCAAATCAATCTTATCATGGCAGTGTGGAAATTGAAGCTTAATTAGTTGCTCTAGAGTATTGATGATGCTCGTCCTAACTTATTTTTCCTCTATGCTACTTTTTTATCCCTCCCTATTTCATTTCATTGTCTTTCCATAATTCTTAACTTGATGGGGCCTGGTGATAGACCGATGCAGTTGATCCAAAGAGCAGGCACAAGGGAAAGCTTGAGACAGAGAGCTTGCTCGAATCAAAGGGTGTCAATTGGACTTCTATAAGGCCAGTCTACATCTATGGACCATTGAACTACAACCCTGTTGAAGAGTGGTTCTTCCACCGGTTGAAAGCTGGCCGCCCAATCCCAGTTCCAAACTCAGGGATACAAATAACACAACTTGGTCATGTTAAGGTTAGTGACGTGCCAGTCTTAATGTACTTTTATATATATATACATATTGTAATTGCAGCATGAGGGCAAGTTTTTAATGTGATTTCTTTTGCAGGATTTAGCGACAGCCTTCATTAAGGTCCTTGGGAATGAAAAGGCAAGCAAGGAAGTATTCAACATCTCTGGAGAAAAATACGTCACCTTTGATGGATTAGCAAAAGCATGTGCAAAGGTAATGACTGTCGATAAGTTTGTAAAAAGATTTGTGATGTTCTCAAACTAAAGTCTGTCATATGTTTTTTCTTTTGTTAGGCTGGTGGTTTTCCTGAACCTGAGATCGTTCACTACAACCCCAAAGAGTTTGATTTCGGCAAGAAGAAGGCATTTCCATTCCGTGACCAGGTGAATATGGTTGCAGAGCATGCATGGCTTGAAAAAACCAAATAGTTTACAGCTTGAACAAGGTGGAACTGATTATGTTGTTGATTTGTTGCAGCATTTCTTTGCATCTGTTGACAAAGCAAAGAGCGTGCTTGGCTTGAAACCTGAGTTTGACCTGGTGGAAGGTCTTGCAGACTCCTACAACCTAGACTTTGGTAGAGGAACTTTCAGGAAAGAAGCTGATTTCTCAACAGATGACATCATTCTTGGAAAGAGTCTGGTTCTCCAAAGCTAATTGCTACCATCCCTTTTGCTCCCTCCATTTTCATCAATCAGGATCAAGAGACTTGTTACTTCTCAAATCTATGGTGCTATAATTTTCCAAATTATTTTTATTCATGCAAATCCCCTTGAGCCACTTAGCAACCATCTTCCTTCAGAGGTTGGGATTTAGTCCAATGTCCAAACATTATCTAGAAACTTTCAGCGTCAAGTCCAGAGACTATCTAGAAATGTTAGTGCAAAGTCCAACATATTATTAAAAAAATAAACTGTGTGACTAGCCCTTTGAATTGTTCCAATGGATTGGGTTGGCGTAAGGCAATGAAATATGTCTCATAAATTTAACAACTATCAACAATCGAAGATAAACAAAACAATTCCAAGCAATCACTCAGATTCAACCACATTGCTCTTTCTTTCCGAGGTACATTTTGAATATCGGTGCCTCTTCCAAGCAGCTTTGGGCCAATTTTGGCATGAGAAAGTGAATAACCAAACACTATCAGTTGGTACAGAGAATAAATAGAATCCGAACACATCATCTCGAGAGTGCTTTTATTAACAACTTGAATTACAAGTTTATTGTATTTGCATCTGAGTATATCCTTCTTTTAAAGTTAGAATTTTTTGCTTAGCTTAATTGGAAAACTATTCTTGGAATGAGAAAATCACATATCAAATCAATTAAACTTATCATTCGCAGCTTAAGCAGGAAAGTTCCTACACTAAATTTAAAAAAATGCCAAAAGGAGAGTAGATACAAATCAGTGGCTCAAAATCAGGAAATGATAAATAATCCGAAAAATCTTGGCCGTTAAATCAGAGATCCAAAATTTAAGGAATCGGTCATCCAAGAATATGTGACCGAATATTCTTTTTAGAAAAAATTAGCCATTTTCAGTCACGTTTCTCAGCTTCTGCTATTTTCGTGCCAAATGGGTCAGTCAATAGTCCGACAGTTCACACTCCATAAATACATTATCTTAAACATATTTACTATAAAAACCCAAAATATTATCCAAAAGATCTGGTCGGTTAGCGTTATCCTATGAAGTAATGGGGCCCTCTTATCCGAATTTTAATTTAAATTGGCCCCACCTATTTAATTTCTTGTGCTAATTAAACTCAAACGCGTCTTAATTTGGACCAACTAACAAAACTAGAAAAAATAAAAAAATAAAAAAGAGGGGTGCCTGATGCTTCTAGGAGGGTCTACGGTCTACCTTATCCCACGTGGCGCAACTTTGTTCTCTAAGTTGGATGCTGCCACATGTCGCTCCCCTTGCAATCGCGGGACACGTAAAAAATCCAATGGACCCTACTACACTAGAATATCCCAAAAGTGACCGGTGGTTTGGGTGAAAGTAGGTTTTTACGTGGTGAGGTGTGATTGGCGGGCCCCGCGTTAGTAATTTGAGTCGACAGAGAGCGTGCCACGTTTCAGAGCTTTTTTCGACGTGGCAAAGAGCCGGTGAGTTTTCGTGTGAGGAGATTTAGAGGTTTGGTCTTTTTCGTTTGGTTGGCACAGCAACCTCTCTGGTCGGTGGTGGTGGAGCAAATGTAAACATAAGTATTTCTTAATTTTCTATTACCATTTTACCCCTGCATTTTTTTTTATAAAATAAAAATAATTGGTTTTAGCGCTTTTTATTCTTAATAGAAAGATATTTTCACGTTCAAACAAAAACAAATAAAGATATTTTTACGTGGAAATAAAAAATCATTAATTTCAGTAAAAAGTGGAATTTTTTAATATATAATTTACTTTATAATAAATTTCCCCATATTTTAAAAGATGATATTGGGTTGATAATAAATTTCCCCACTACATGACAGCAGCCTCGACAATTTCGTATGAACTGCACGTGTAATAATGAAAAAAAATACAAGGTTAAAATCGTCTATGAAAATCAAAACGGTGGACTTAGACTTAGAGGATCAACAGTTTATTATTTAATTAATTAGTAGCCCATGTCATGCATGGTCCAATGCCATAATCTCCTCTAGTCTCTGTAAGACTAACTGTCGGCATAAATCCACCACATTGAATTTGATGTTGATTTTTAATTAGATAACGCCTTGGAGATTTTAGGAGGAAGATTCTTTCATCTCTGAATATATTATGTTAATGACTAATGGGCCCCCAATGGAAAAAGCGACACTTGAAGACCAATCTTCCTCCAAAACTTTCCTCCTAGACCACCGGTATTGTTAACTACTTACCATAAGCTTGCATTTTTAACCATAATTAATCCTACCCACCCCGTAATTTCCCCATCCCAAAATCAATTAAAAAAATAAAAAATTACTGCCCCCAAATCCTATATAAACCCCCACTCCCCCCACTTCAACTTCATCATCCAAAACATCAAGCTCAAAACATTCTTAAGCAAACACAAGCGCTTTTCTTCTAAGCACTTCCTCAAACCCTTAACCACTTCCTCAAACCCTTAACCTTCCTCAAAACCTTAACCATCCTCTCTTCCTACCTAGCAAAACCCACTTCACCTCAACCACCATGGCTCCAAATATCACCACCGCCACCACCATGGTCCCCGCCACCAAGGCAGCCAGTGGGCCCAGCAGGGCTTACGTCACCTTCCTGGCCGGCACTGGTGACTATGTGAAGGGTGTGGTTGGCTTGGCCAAGGGGCTAAGAAAAGTGAAGAGCAAGTACCCTCTGGTTGTGGCCATCTTGCCAGATGTCCCCAAGGAGCACCGTCAGATCCTGGTCTCCCAAGGCTGCATAGTGAAGGAGATCGAGCCTGTGTACCCTCCGCCCAACCAGACTCAGTTCGCCATGGCCTACTACGTCATCAACTACTCCAAGCTGCGCATTTGGGAGGTAACGTTTTTCTATTTCTGCGTTTGCATGCTTTCTACACGTGTCCTGTCGGTTAGGTTTATAAGGGCACTATAGTAAATTTATTTTTATTTGTTCTAAATTTTTTTATTGAATTTTTGCAGTTTGTGGAGTACAGCAAGATGATCTACTTGGACGGTGACATCCAAGTTTTTCAGAACATTGACCACCTGTTTGACTACCCAGATGGCTACTTCTATGCTGTGATGGACTGCTTCTGTGAGAAAACTTGGAGTTCCAGCCCACAGTACAAGATTGGGTACTGCCAGCAGTGCCCTGATAAGGTCCAGTGGGCCCCTGAGTTGGGCCCAAGGCCTCCTCTCTACTTCAACGCTGGCATGTTTGTGTATGAGCCAAGCTTGCCCGTTTACCATGACCTCCTCAGAACCCTCCAAGTTTCTCCCACCACCTCTTTTGCTGAGCAGGTAAATATTGGACCGTCACAAAAGAAACCTCTCCATTGGGTTTTATTTATATAATCTGACATAAAATTTGCTGCGATTTTGGCAGGACTTTCTGAACGTGTTTTTCAGGGACAAGTACAAGCCCATCCCTTCAAACTACAACCTTGTTTTGGCCATGCTCTGGCGTCACCCTGAGAACATCCAGCTTGACCAAGTCAAAGTTGTTCACTATTGTGCTGATGTGAGTACTAATCACATATTTAATCACAGCTTGATCACCCAACTAATTAAGATCTCAGTTGCTAATTAAATTTTGTTTTTTGTTTAGGGTTCTAAGCCATGGAGGTATACTGGGAAGGAGGAGAACATGGAGAGGGAGGACATTAAGATGCTGGTAAAGAAATGGCGGGACATTTATGACGACGAGTCATTGGACTTCAAGAACATTGTGGCTGCAGCCGCGGCTGGAAATGGCGCAGACCAGGTGGACCTGCAGGCATTCAAGGCTGCTCTGTCGGAGGCTGGCGTTGTCAATTTCAGAACCGCCCCATCTGCTGCTTAGTTGGCCCCTGCTGTTTCTCAAAGAGAATGAAGTCTATATAGAATGTATTGGATTTTTTTTCTTGTCTCCCTAGGATTATTTAACTTGGGAGTCAATTTTTTATGTGTGAGGACCCTTTTTTTGTCTGGTCTAAAGAGGATCATTCATGTCCTCTGTTATTTAGTTCTAAATATATTTTTAATTTATATATATTTGCAATTTGTCACTTTCACTTTGTCCTTTGAAGGCCAACCTTCGAACAAACTAATATGAAGCATTGAGCAAGAAACCAATATAGAGTATGAATGGTTCAAACAACCAATATTGGGAAACCCTCATCAGTTATTAAAAAAAAATTATATATAAGCGATAATCTACTTTAACGAACAACTAAAACTTATTTAGCTGCGCTAGAACAATATATCGGTTCACATTGATTGAAGTGTCCAGCTTTAAAAGCACAGATTCTTGAAGCTCATTAATTTCCAGTAAGTCAACAGAGATGCCTAATGAACATCTTAACGCAAACTCATTTGCTTGAAGCAAAGCTGAATTGTTCTCGTACTGTCTCTTCTGTGACAAGAGATGTGCTGCTTGGATTTGGGGCCTCACCTCCTTGTAAAATCTCACACAGGCATCAAACTCCACTTTCATCTTAGCTGCAGTGGCATTGTGGCTTAGCTCTCTGAAAGTCTCAAGGTTTTGGTCAGCTTGCTTCCCTGCTAGCTCTATAGAAATCAGTGAGAGTTTAGGCAGGTCAGCTGAGGTGGTGCATGAGACAGTTTGTAAATTTGTCACACTTTTTTTGGGGTTTTGGGTTTTGGATGCAAATCTTGGTCAGGGTCTTGTTAGAGACTGCAAAAGAAGAACCTATGAAAAAAGAAGCAACAATCACAATAGCACAACAGATTGCAGAGCTAGATGAAACCATTTTTTTCTTCTTTTTTTTGTTCTGTGGCCTTCTAATGGGATTAGTAACTTAAATACTGGCAACTTAGGCTTAGGTTAATGAATCATTTATATAAAGAATATGCAGTTTCACTTGGTTCTTAATTAAATCAAACAAAACTGACATACTAATCTTAATGCCACATAAACTTCTAAGAATGGTTGATTTGGGTTGAGCTTAAACTTCATATATTTTGTTTATTGGACTGATGTTTAAACCAAGCCCGCTATGGTTTTTTTGTGTCTGCTATTCCTAAGCTTAGCCCCAAATGATATGTCGTATTTAACAAAGGAGATTCGTATGACATCTTTGTGTTAGCCTTCACTCAAATTATTACACTAATTACTGATTCCCGTGAATTTTGTGATTTGATATTTTTGTTAAAACTAAAATAATACTTTTACTCCAAAGTATTAAATCTTCCCTAACCTCTTCCCCAATCAAATAAACCAATAAGGAAATGTATTAATAGGCTAAATAGCATGCGCAATATTTTTATTTTTACCATTACAGTTCAATTAGAATCAAGAAAATTTAATTACGAAAAGTGTTATATCACACCAAAAAGATATTACAATATGGATAGCAATATCATATATCACATAAGTTGGGAATAAGAAGTTGGTGTCCGTAACAATACTAATAAGAAAACGCAATATTAAAACAATAGTCCAAATTGCCAGTTCTTTATACTCAGAATTCGAATCTCCCTTCCCATAAATTATAGTAATTCAAAATACCACATTGTCCCCACCAAAAAAAAACAAACAAACAAACATCATATCTACTTTGCTCTTCATTTCCCCTTATACACATCTAGTTTTGACTTTGTTCATGTATACGTACAAGGAAAATAATTATATACTTGCCTCAATTGAAAGCTTTCAATCCGAGCAATGTATTACAAGATTATCTTTTATAATTTGGGATTTAATGCTAAAATCAAAGAATAGCTCTCTCAGATTTGTTATATAAAACACTTGGATGCAAATTTAAGTAATAAACGAATTGAATAGGAATGTAGGCAATATATATATCAATGCGAAACCAACGTATCGGATTCTGATTCAGTGTTATGAATGCATGAGATACAATATGAAGAATAATCAAAAGGGTTTGAAGCTTAAGTTGACTTCACAAGACAACCTTTTTCCTATAAATACATGTAAGTTTTTTTTGCAGCAGGAGAGTTTGCCAACGACAATGGCAAAGTCACAACAAACAGTGCCAACATACCCGTCTCTGTTGCTAGTTAGAAAGAAATCTTTTAGAATTAGAAGCATATATAGTAGAAAATGTGTATGAATGAGTTAATCTATAGGACCAAGGAGGAGAGCAAGGCTGAATATTTATAGCGAAGAGTAGTTAAAATAAATAAATAAATTTGTTTTTTTCACCGAATCATAATATATATTTGGATATTGCATACATCAATGTGACAATAATGTCATTTGTCATCAACCTTAATAACAAATCTATGCGCAAAAAAGAAAACAAAAAATTAATATGATGGGTCAAGATAGAGATGCGTATGCATATTGGTGTTGTAGTGTTGGCCACCATGGCATCACAAATGTGAAAACACGTTTTCCGGGACCATCAATAGCACGATATCGCCAGATCATAACGACCTCTAGGATTCTAGTACGAAGGTCGTACATGACTTGGCGACTAAACAATTGTAGATACAAGACATGCTCGTTATTTGGATCGAAATCTTGCACCATTATAGTATTTTTCCAAAAGCTTACATTTTTGTATCGACTGATGAGTGGAGTTTCCCGAACAATTTGATCGGTGTAAATTATGTGTACTAAACACCATTTGTTGCTGGACTCATGATCACGATCATCGTCTTTCAACTCCCAGATACTAACACCATGGTGTTGTCGACAATCCAGAAGAGTGGAATAGACGAACACTTGGCACATTCGCAGGCGCCCTCGGCACACACCCAGGAAATCAAAATGTGCACGCCGCTCTTCATCCGGCTTACCAATGAAACGACAACGAAATGTATGGTGGTTAACAATATCATCAGTAATCATACTACTACTAGTGTTAGGGTTATCATTGGAAAATGGATCCAAGCCAAAAATATATTCATATCCCCGCCAATACAACATCCCATTGTGAGCAACACCAGCATCATCAGCCAAACGATTCAAACTAAAACTTCGTGGGCTTAATGCAACTGCCTCTGTCCATTTACCACTCTCAGAACAGAACATTTGCAAGTTGAACTGAAAGGAATTAGGCCTTGCATCATTAATCTTAGGAATTATTATTTGCACAATCTTGTACCTGTACCTGTAGGATTCTTGTTTTCGATCTCCAATACTAATGTCATCATCATCGTCATTTTGGTGCTTAGGACTGCATATGAATCCCGCTTGTACTTCCTCGTGACATCGAGGAGTAGGAGGAAGAGCAACCCACTGCTTAGTGTAGGGATTACAGATGTAGTAGTCACGTTGATTGAACAAAGTTGCGCAGCAACAAACTAGATCCTTATATGTCCCAACCACAAGTGGTTCTCTTCCTGTGGCTCCATAGCAAGGGAGGAAACTGAAAGAGAACTTGCGCCTGTGTTTGCTGTGTATTCCCAACTGCTCCTCTATTGAAAAAAATTCCGTCTTGAAATCTGATTCATCCGAGAAGATGAGGGTACGTTTAATGGGGTTTTGGCGTTCACGTTGAATACATAGAAAACGACGAAAGAAATAAGGATCAGAGATGAGAAGATACCAATTTTTGGATACGCACTTGTATTGAGAAGTGGATTTCTGTGGGAGTCGGCAAAGAATTTCAACCAATATGTGGTCAGGCAGGTCATCAATACTCGTGAATTTTGATGAGGATATTGGCAATTTTTTGGATCTTTTAAAGTCAGACTGATGATCATGATCATGATCATGATCATGGTCATGATAGGAGGAGGGTAGGTATTGTGATATTCTTGCTCTATAGCTTCTTTTTGTACACTTGGACCTGGTGCCGCCACCTCTCATACACATGGTGCCAGAAACCAATGGAGATTTGCAATTGCAGGTGACGTACCTTATAAGTAGAAGCGTACGTAGAAGGCTAGATGCTGTACAAAAACTAGGCCACTTTACTTTCTATATATAGAGAGAGACGGAGGTGTTTGTTTCAATATGCATATGCGCGATAGGATAGGAAATAAATACAAGCAAAATAAGGATTCCGAAAGAAATCAACTTTTTTAGGTGGGAAAGAAATACAAACTAAACAAGTATTAGGAAAGAAATGAATAATCAACTTATTAATTATAGGAATCCCGACACGATTAGAAAACAACTTTTTTGAATAATTAAAACACGAAACTACTTATTACTTGTAAGGTCAAAGGGTGACGAGTGGCCCATGGGATAGGGAATTAGTTTTGAGGAATTTTATTAAATTATTCAATTGGACCGATAGTGTTATAATCTGAAGAAGCTAATCTGCTGGGGTGTGTTTGGCCATAAGATTCCAAGGAAAACGAAGATGCTTTTGGAGTAATATTATTGCTTCCTTTTTTCAACTGAATTAATGCCAACCGCGCTTTTGTTCAACTAAATTTGAAGATCAAGTAATCCTCTTGGACCCAATTGTAATTTGGGGCTAAGTTCAGGGATGTCTACAGTAGATAACCCTTTATTTTATGTTTGTGCATCTCTAACTGATATGTCAAATTGCCACATATGAACATGAAATGACAAAAATTGAAGGTTAAAATTGCTCCAACTGAGTAGTCAAATCCTACATGAATTTGAAGGCTAGAAGAGATATGTCAAAAATAACATATCAAAAAGCTTGATGTCAAAAGTGTATTAAGGCCCCTCCCAATATAAAAGGTCTTTAAATTATTTTTTAGTCATGGACCCCACTATCATTTACTTTCTTTTAAAACTTTATGCATCATATGAGCCTAGTTTGCTTTTAAAAATATAATAAAATAATATGATATTTGGCATTTTAGGTGGAGTAAATTTTTTTCCAAAGTGTCAAATTGGCACATAAGCCATCAAATTCAAATGTAACATTTTGTATTTGACATCTCCATTGGAGATGCTCTATAATATGACATGGAATTTGGTCCAATTTTGGCAGGACTTTCTGAACGTGTTTTTCAGGCACAAACTACAACCTTGTGTTGGCCATGCTCTGGCTTCACCCTGAAAGCATTCAGCTTGACCATGTCAAACTTGTTCACTATTGTGCTAATGTGAGTACTAATCACATCTTTAATCACATATTAAGATCTTAGTTACTAATTAAATTGTAATATTTGTGTTTGTTTAGGGTTCTAAGTCATGGAGGTATACTGGAAAGGAGGAAAACATGGAGAGGGAGGACGAGTCATTGGACTTCAAGGGGGCTTTTGTTTTGTTTTAATAATAGTATTGGTTTTTTATTTTCTTGTCTCCCTAGGATTGTTTAACTTGGTAGGCATTTTTTTAAAGTATATTTTTAATTTATATATATATTTGCAATTTGTCACTTTCACTTTTTCATTTGAAGTCCAACCTTAGAACAAACTACTATGAAGAGTTGAGCAAGAAACCAATATAGAGTATGAATGGTTCAAACAACCAATATGGGGAAACCCTCATCAGTTATTAAAAAAAAATTTATATATATATATATATATATATTTTGGTCGAAAAAATAAAAAATAAAAATTTATATATAAGCGATAATCTACTTTAACGAACAACTAAAACTTATTTAGCTGTGCTAGAGCAATATATTGGTTCACACTGATTGAAGTGTCAACAGAGATGCCTAATGAACATCTTAATGCAAACTCATTTGCTTGAAGCAAAGCTGAATTGTTCTCGTACTGTCTCTTCTGTGACAAGAGATGTGCTGCTTGGATTTGGGGCCTTACCTCCTTGTAAAATCTCACACAGGCATCAAACTCCTCTTTCATCTTAGCTGCGGTGGCATTGTGCCTTAGCTCTCTGAAAGTCTCAAGGTTTTGGTCAGCTTGCTTCCCTGCTAGCTCTATAGAAATCAGTGAGAGTTTAGGCAGGTCAGCTGAGGTGGTGCATGAGACAGTTTGTAAATTTGTCACACTTTTTTTGGGGTTTTGGGTTTTGGATGCAAATCTTGGTCAGGGTCTTGTTAGAGACTGCAAAAGAAGAACCTATGAAAAAAGAAGCAACAATCACAATAGCACAACAGATTGCAGAGCTAGATGAAACCATTTTTTTCTTCTTTTTTTTGTTCTGTTACCTTCTAATGGGATTAACAACTTAAATACTGGCAACTTAGGCTTAGGTTAATGAATCATTTATATAAAGAATATGCAGTTTCACTTGGTTCTTAATTACATCAAACAAAACTGACACACTAATCTTAATGCCACATAAACTTTAAGATTGGTTGATTTGGGTTGGGCTTAAACTTCATATATTTTGTTTATTGGACTGATGTTTAAACCAAGCCTGCTATGGTTTTTTTGTGTATGCTATTCCTAAGCATAGCCTCAAATGATATGTCGTATACAACAAAGGAGATTCGTACGACATCTTTGTGTTAGTCTTCACTCAAATTATTACACTAATTACTGATTCTCGTGAATTTTGTCCGTAACAATACTAATAAGAAAATGCATTATTAAATCAGTAGTCCAAATTGCTGGTTCCTTACAATCAGAATTCGAATCACCCTTCTCATAGATTATAGAAAATAGTAATTCAAAATACCACATTGTCACAAAAAGAAAAAAGAAAAAAAAAAGACATCATATCTACTTTGCTGTTCATTCCCCTTATACACATCTAGTTTTGACTTTGTTCATGTACACGTACAAGGAAAATAATTATATACTTGCCTAAATTGAAGGCTTTCAATCCGAGCAATGCATCACAAGATTATCTTCTATAATTTGGGATTTAATCTAAAATCAAAGAATAACTCTCTCAGATTTGTTATATAAAACACTTGGGATGCAAAATTAAGCTAATTGAATAGGAAAGTAGGATTGTGATTCAGTGTTATGATTGCATGAGATACAATATGAAGAAAAATCAAAAGGATTTGAAGCTTAAGTTGACTTTACAAGACAACGTTTTTCCTATAAATACGCTGTCTCCTTCATTCCTACACATCACTTTCCAATCACCAAACCCTACTTGAAGCCTTGAACAAAGATCAAAACAATGGCATCTCCTGACTATTATAAGTCTCATTCATCCCCACGTTATCCAATGCTATTGGTTCTCTTCTTCCTCGTGATCAATATCACCCCATCTTTGGCTCAAGACGCCCAACAACTGATCGATCATATTTGCAGGCAGATGGAGGAGTTTGGGTTTTGCAGCCAAACTTTCAAGGAGAATTTGAAGTCTCCAAACGCTGATATTGTTGCCCTCACCCAAATAACCATAGAGCGCGCCACAGACAATGCCACCAAGACACACGACTTTATCAGGCAGGTGCTTGGCAACACAAACGACCCTGCACTCAAAAATGCCCTCACAGAATGTGAGAATGGTTACCGTGTGGTGATGGAGTCGTTTGACTCGGCTGCGCTGTCATTTTTCCAGAAGGATTACGACAGTGTGCAGAGGTATGAGACTGTGACACCGAGGGCTGAGGCCAGTTGCGAAGACTCACTCAGCACACCGCCTAACACTCAGAACCCTCTTACTAATAAAAATAGGCAGATGAGGATTTTGATTGCTATGGCTTTGGTTTCTTTGCATGACCTAATGGCTACCCAGCACAACTAGAGCTAGGTCTTCTAGAAGCAACCAACCATTTGGATCTCTTAGAAAAAGTTTTAGAAGTTATCTGATTATGATGCTATTATATGTATGATTATTAGATTATTAATGGTCACTAAACTTTGACTGTGTTATGTTATGAATATTGAAGCTACATGTTTGGCAAAGGATTCACAATTCTAGTCACGTGTTTGGTCGTCTAAAAATAACTTGAATTTGACTATGTCTAATCATCCTAGACTAAAATGTAACTGAATTATTCCAAGAAGCTTGTAGTTTAAGTGGTAGTTAAGCATATTAATCCTTGCATTGGAGATCATAAGTTCGATTCTCCCTTCTCACAATATCACTTGTATCGATTGTAGTAAAATTCCATCACGAAGCTGTGATTAATCCAATGTGGTTTTGGAGGCCCTAGACAAATTACCAAAATGTGGCCTTCTATTCTCTATGTATCTTTTGCAATATTTTTTCGATAAGTTAAAAAAAATTATATGAGCTCAAGTCAGAATAATAACCTAAAAAGAAACAAACAAAATGTAATTTACCAAATAATAGACTGGATCCATGTCCATTTTAATTTAAAATATCTCATCCAGTCTAGCCCACAAACAGGGCCGAAGAGAAGTAGTTAGCCACAGTTAGCTTACTGTCACAATCAGTAGTTAGCCACAATTAGGTAAATGGCAATGTTGAACTTCTAACAAAACTATATTAATACATTATTACGACGTCAAAATTGATCTGCAATCCTTATGGTTTCAAAAAATTTGTTTGGGAACAAGTACTCAAAATTCCGAAAAATTTCATGAGGATTTTGTGATAATTTTGAAACGTGGCTAAAGTTCTGAATAAATTTCTTGTGTCTTCTTTTCTCACTAGAATTTTGTAATAATTTTCAAACGCATGAATAGTTTATATATGAAAATGTTTTTGTTGTGAACATTGCATCATGTAAATTTGGTTTGTTAAATATTATAAATATATCAAAGTGAATCAAGGTGATGGGAGTCAATTAAGATATTGGAGAAAACTAATAAGTAAATATAATTGTTTATTTCATGCTCCCAACCATCCACTCCCACACCTTATCAATTACTAGTACTTCAATCGAGGACACGTCAAAAGAAGACGACTCATCATTATGCAGATTATGTTTATCACTAATTAGAAGCAATTCCCCTATTATGTTTATCACTAATTATGTTTATGTTTATCACATTCTGTTTAGCTGCAATCCCCTATTCCCCTAGCAATCCTGCCCCATTGGTCAGGGATTAGATGAAAAAATGTTAACAAATTTTAATCGTCCTCAGGATTCACCCTGTGAACATCCCATAACCAAACCATAAACCCAAAACGCAAGTCAGAAAGTAGCCTAGAAACCCCCAATACGCAAGAACAGAAAGTAACCCGGAAACACCTAAAAAATCAAGAAATGCAAGAACTAAATCAAGGATCATGCCTCTATGCTTATCAAACTAGGGCAAATAATCTGCTTTTTTTAAAATCAAGTCAAATTATCTGTTCACGTACGGAAGAAACTTGGGCTAATGATTTAGGTGTATCCTTATGACTTTGGTGAGTAAATTTGCTCAAAAGAAAAAGGACATATGTGAGATTATTTTTGGAATATAAGATAAATGTTCCTAAGTTGTTCATGCACATAAAATCGCATACAAGAATTATATATAAGATAGTACATGCATGCATACTTGAGCAACACAAATGGCTTCTGCTAATGCTCATTGCTGCATCAATCTTCTTCCTCTAGCCCTCGTCATATTCATCCTCTTCAATGCCGTCCATCCTTGCTTGAGTTTCAACAGCCAACCCGACAGAGAATCGACAAAGTCTGCCACCAAATGGAGGAGTATGGATTCTGCGACAAACCTTCACCCAAAACATAAAAACTCCATCAGTGGACTTTGCTCGGTTGACCCAAGTAGCCCTAGACCAGACCACACAGAATGCAGCAAGCACACATGAACTCCAGCTTCTTTCAAAAGTAACAGACAAGCCGACCAAGAACGCTCTGACTGCCTGCGAGAGCGCCTACTGTGTTGTCATGCAGGCCTTTCTTCAGTTGGCGGTGGGGATTTTAACAGAAAAGATTATGACAGTATGCTTGAAGATGAAGGTGTAGCGCCTAGACCACAAGGCAGCTGTGAAATTACTTTCATACCCCCGCCTAGTCCGGTGGACCCGCTGAAAGAGATCCATAGGCAGATGGGAATTCTCATTGCCATGGCTGTGGTCACTGGCCATGCATGAACTTCTTGGTCACCGAATGATGAAGAGCACCACTTGATTTATTAAATCTTGTTTTTTGTTTTTGTTTTTTGGGAAATTCAAGAACCAACACATTATATGTATGCAATAAGTTGGTGTGGTCTTTTATAAGAATGGAAAGATATTATTTCTACAACTTAATTTTATAGTAATACTTAATTTATACCAATTTATCTCTTTAGCTCCTACCTGCATGGTTCAAAACACAATTGACCCAAAATTTCTCTTATATATTTTCTCAATTCATGTACTTGTGTGTATAAACCAACAACAAAATTGATCCATGGTTCAAAACACAATTTATCCAACGTTAAAAAATGCTCTCATAGAATGTGACGAGGCTGTCGGAGACTGACACCCAGAGCTGAAGGCAGCTGTGAACAGTCATTGCCAAGTGGCGGGAATCCGTTGGACGGTTGAAACAGGCAAATGAGGATTGTCATTGCCATGGCTTTAATTTCAGTACATGAACTCAACGGCACCAAGTTTAATTAACATCTAGCATGCAGCAGACATTGATGTAAAACATATTAAAACTTCCAAGTATTCACATAAAACATGGAACCATCCTTGAATCAGAATGCTCATAGAATGAACACTGAAGTCGAACTAACCATACAAAAACTATCTCCTGAGTCACATGAATGGAAGATAATGTTCATCAAAAGATGTACATCTGGAGAAAATAGAACAAGCAACAACTACATAATAGACAAGAGTGTGACTATTGAGGCAGATCATCGGGCTAACAAGGCAACACGATCCTTCTGTATTGCCTGTGTCAGGTTGATATCAAAGAGCTCACATCGTATAGGCATCTCCATCTCATAGAAGGGGTTCTTCAAGACATAATCTGTGTACAATTCATAGATATGTTTCAAGAGACCTTCCATGTGCTGTGTCCCAGGCTCACAGACAACAAAGAACTTTGTCCCTGCAACAGAGATATTATCCTTATCAAAAAGCACTCGTTTTTCAATCTAAGACATTCATGAAATTTCACTTCCAAGGATTAATTGAACTGTCATAGGAACAAAAGGAAAATGTATCGTACACCCTACTCAATAAGAATGTTTCAATTCAAAAAGGAAAAAGGCCAAGCCTAAAATAACAGAGACTTAGTTGCTCTGTTAAACTGAACAGCTAAACTTGTGAACACTGAAAGACACATCAACTTTGTGCTGAGCAAATTTCGGACCAGGCAGACAGATCTGAGTCCGCATCCAGGATATTAACCCACCTCATTCACCTTAAGCACAGAATTTGTCAAGATGTTGTATACCTTGTATCATTCGAGTCGCCTTTTTGCTTAGGAAGAAAAACAAGAGTGATATGTATCCTATAAGAAAGTAAAGAACTTAGAAAATCCAATATTTACTACAAGAACATGACGCAAAGCAGAGGGCATTGCTAGATATGAAGACTATGAATTTTCGTACTTTCTTTTACCAGAACAAGATAATCTAGTTCAATGGAAATTGATAATATCACCCTCAATCATGTAGAGGGAAACTCTAGTTGCTTAGCCCATCTTCAATATAGAACCCCAAGATAGATGTTGCCTAAACCTCACACCCAATGGCTTACAAGTTACAAAAACACCACCATTAGTTGTTCCAGACATTAAACACATCAACTCACTCAATGAAAATCTTTGGCATTCACCTCACTTCCGAAACTCTCGTTGTGGAGCCCATCTTCCAAAATACAGAACCACATAACATATGCTGCCTCCAAATGGCTTACAAGAATGCCACCATTAGTTATGTAAGACGTTAAACACATCAACTCAAATCAATGACAATCTTTAGCACTCACCTCACTTATGAATTTATTCCCTCCTGAAATAAGTTAACTATTTTTAATTCACGAGGTCGCAACCTAAAACAATGCAATGCACAACATAATGTCACAAGTGAGACTTAGTTTAAACCAGTATTACAAGCAGTAGATCGCCAGATTATTTCTTTGGCTCCTACTATACCAATTTAAGCTCACCAAATTAAAAAGACGCATATCGGTGTCAATCCGACCAAAGAGTCCTCAGAACCTCACTCTATTTACAATTTACAAAATCAAAATGCTCGATACAATCTAAGTCCTATCTGACATGTTACAATAACTGCTAACACCAGATCATACAAATCAACTATATCTAAGAGAGAATTCACAATTTTGGTTGCAAATTGGTTGATAACTCAAATCTTGGCAGCCTTACCAAATTTGGTCAATGTGATTGAAACCCACTAAAATACAACAGAGAGTTTGGAAACAGAAAAGGTTAAATTTTGAAATGTACCAGTGAGTGATTGGAAGCAATGAAGATCGAAAGTGTCAGCTTGGAGGAGCTCGATGCCGAAACAACCCGATATCGGCGACAGCTGCTGAGAAATGGCGTGCATAGAGTGCCACAAGCTTGCAACCCTCAAGCTATCATTAGTGTCCATCCGTCCTGAAGACCCATAATCCTAATTTTTTTTTTCCAGAAAAAGAGAAAAAAAACCCATCAAAATTCGTTAATAGATGAAAAATTGAAGTTCCGATTACCAGAGTTTTGGGTTTCTTTTACCTTGTAGAAGATCAATCCACCTGATTTGTTGATGATGTATAGGCTGTAAATTGCTGCCATTTCCAAGGGGTATTTCGGAATCCAATAGAAATATATGAACAAAATAGAAGAACGAAGAAGAAGATGCCTATTTGATCAAACAGAGGAAATCAAACCTTTAGCCCAGATTCAGATATAAAACCCGAATAAATGGGTCCGACCCGAAATACTGTAGGGAATCCGGAGCCAGTTGATTTGCGAGAATCGTTGCTTACTTGTCTGATGTTTAGCGCGAAGATGCAGGTTCGAATCCTTCTCGAGCCAAATCTCATTGTTTTGGACTTCTTTTTACGTGCTTTTATTTGCTTATTTAAGCTTATTATCACAAAACGTCCCTAAAGTTTACGAAACTATCAGATTGCATTCTTAGTGTTTCTTTGTGTCACGTGGTCCTCAAAGTTAGTATGTGCGATCACAAATGGTCCCTGCCGTTAGGTTCCGTCAAAAACTCTATTAGTTTACTGATGTGGCATATATATATATATATATATATATATATATCACAAAACATCCTTGAGGTTCACACACTTATCACAAATGGTCCCTAAGAATTTTTTTAATTTTTTCATTTAAAATTCATAAAATTTTAGTTTTTTTTAAAAAATTATTTATAAATGAAAAAACCATTTCTAGAAGGATTTTAATCTTGAGGACCATATATGAACCCTAAACCCTTAGTTTTTTCATTTTTAAATTTTATGAATTTTAAATTATTTTTTTAAAACTCTATTAGTTTGTTGATGTGGCATATATATGGAGCCCACATCTGCAATAATATAGTGTCACATGTATTTAAAATAATTTAAAATTCATAAAATTTTAAAAATAAAACCAAAATTTTATGAATTTTAAATATAAAAAATTAAAAAATTCGTATGGACCATTTGTGATAGGTGGGTGAAGCTCAGGGATGTTATATATATATATATATATATATATATATATATATATGTTACGTCAGCAAACTAACGGAGTTTTTAACGGAACCTAACGGCAATGATCATTTGTGATCACACATACTAACATTGAAGACCACGAATGACACAAAAAAACATTAAGGATGCAATCTAATAGTTTCGTAAATTTTAGAGACATTTTCTGATAATAAGCCAAAAATAATTGAAGAAATAACTCTAGCCCAATTAGCTGAATTGGTATTTTAGTTCTAAACCCTAAAATAATATGACAAAATTGTATGTTTAAAGCGTATAGCCGTTCGGCTATACTATTAAAATATTTTTAAATATGGCCGCACGGCTATACTTGTAAAATATATTATTTTAGAGGTACAGCCGCGCGGCTGTAAGCATTAAATATATTATTTTAGAGGTACAGAAGGCTTGCACTCGCAGTCACAGCCATTTCGCTTCTCTATAAGCGCTTCCAAGCTTCAAAGACTTGATCTTGAACCTCTCTCTCTCTCAACACAAGGTTCGATTTTTTTCTTTCGTTTCGGTTGCTGCGTTGATTGGATTGGATTGAATCCTCTCTATGAAAACCATCAAATGTCGTTCAGCTATTGAAATCTCCACTATGATAACAACTCTGATGCTATAAAATCTTAAAATCCTTTGAAGAAACTCTCCGATAATCGTTTTTCCATTTAAACCAAAAAAAAATTGCAATGTCAAAAACATACGTAAATTGGACGCCATGGTAGCAGCGGAGAGAGACTCGAACTCATAGTTAGGCGGTCTGTGCTGAGCTAGGCGGCCCCTAGGCGGTCTGGGCGGATCTGGGCTGAGCTAGGCGGCTGCTAGGCGGTCTGGGTGAATCTAGGCGGCCCCTAGGCGGTCTAGGCGGATCTGGGCGGCCCCTAGGCGGTCTAGGCGGATCTGGGCGGCCCCTAGGCGGTCTGGGGGGATCTAGGCGGCCTGCGTGGGTCTAGGCTGGTCTGCGTTGGTGTTGAGGTCTGCTGCTCTCATAAACCAGAAGTGCCGTGTGAAGAACAAGGATATTAGGAAGTTTCTTGATGGGATTTATGTGAGTGAGAAGAGGAGTGATTAGATTTTTGGGACTTGTACTTGTTAAGAGTGCTTTTTCTGATTTTTATTTGGAGTTTTTCATCTGTACTCTTCTTCTTTTTTTCTTTTTTCTTTTTTCTTTTAAAAAAAATCTTGTATGGAAATTTTGATGAGTAAGTTTTACTATATTTTGGGTTTCTGTTGCCAAACATTGTGGAATACTGGGATTATTTTATGCAGGTTAATGATTTTTAAAGTGAGAAATGCGATGGCCAATCTTTCATTTGCACAATCTTCAGTTTTTAAATGTTTGTCTTTGAGCCAAAATCGGGAAGAACACTTAAAATAATTTCCACTAATAAAAATGCCCCAAAAATGGTTCTTTATAGTTGCACCATCAAGGAAGGTGTCATGCCTTGTTAGAATTGCTAAACTGATTGTGAATTCCGCTAAAAAACCAACCCATTAAAACTTGATGCAGTGATCCCAATTTTTAATTTAGTCCAAGAAAGTTTCATATCCATATCAATGGAGGGATGCTCTTATTACTTGGCAATGGTACTGGTTCAGCTCATATATGGTGGATCAAACATCCTCATAAAATTCTCCCTTGCAGAAGGACTCAATCCAATTGTCTTCGTCGTTTACCGCGGCATGGCCATGGTTTTGGTAGGACCATTTGCTTATGTACTTGAAAGGTAAGCTATCGATTCTTGCATCTCTTCATATTTCCAGGCAGTAAAAACAGAGAAAACTAATTCGTGAATGGATTTGTGAAGCAGGAAACAAAGGCCTTCACTCTCATTTTCTGTAGCTGCCAAAATTTTTGTGCTTGCCTAGTTTGGAACCACCATCCATCTGAATGTGTACTATGCTGGTTTAGCATACACTTCTCCAACAGTTTCATGTGCCTTGAGTAATGTTATTCCCAGCTTGACATTTCTAATGGCAGTTCTACTTGGGTATATTCTCTGTCCTTCCTTTCCCTTGCTTAATTAGAAAGGGGAATATAAATGTTCTTTTTCCCTGTTCTGCAACTTGCTTGTTCTTACTCAGGTTGGAGAAGTTGAAGATTAGAACTGCTAGAGGTCAAGCTAAGGTGGCTGGCACACTTTTCGGCATTGGTGGTTCTCTTGTTTTCACTTTCTGGAAAGGAGGATACCTATTTAAAGGTTTTGTATAAGGAGGCCACTGATAAATATATCTGTTGGTGAGATGGGGCATGTTAAGGAAAACTGGATCAAGGGGGCCCTTCTTATTCTGACGAGTCACATTGCGTGGAGTGCATGGCTAATCCTCCAGGTGATTTTATAATTGAATTAAGATGACACCCTTTTATGTCATGTAATGTCCAAGTTTAGTTCTTTGACCAACTTTGGCTCTCTGGTCTCACAGGCTGTGGTCTCCAAAGTCTACACTGCTCGATTATTGCTAACCATGATGATATGCTTTTTCGTGTTGTTGCAATCTTCTTTCTTGATCTGTTTTTCGCAAGAAATCCAATTTCATGGAGACTGGAGTGGAACCTGCAACTTTCAACCATCGCCTACTGCGTGAGTGTTCTCTTCTCATATCTTATTATTAGGTTCACAACGTTGATTTCAACAATTGATCATGCAAATTCTTATCCGAATCTGTAGTTCGATTTAAAAACCTCACAGCAGAACATGTAGAATAGAACATTGTCTTTTGTGTGTGTGTGTGTGTGTAAAGTAAATAAATGGGACATCCTATTTTGTTGTGTCTTATTAGGTGTTTTTCTCCTTGTTGGTATAAGATATATTTGAATCTGTCACAAGTTCTGGTCTTCATCCACTCCTTACTTTTGCAACAGGGAGTTGTAATCTCAGCATTAGCCTACTACCTGCAAACATGGTGCATCAGTTACAAGGGACCAGTCTTTGCAGCTATGTTTAGTCCACTTCATGTCATTATAGTGGCATTGTTCTCGGCAATTTCTTTCGCAGAGCGACTTCACTTTGGCAGGTAACCTGAAGAACACAGACACCTTCTTCCTATATTCCATCTTACTACTTCCACATTTGATGGTTTCACTTATCCATTCTATCACGGTAGTTTGTTTGTCATGAAAATTAGTCACAAATTTATGTGGATTTTGTGTAAGTGGTGGTGTGCAGCTTGATCGGAGTGTTTCTCATTATCGTGGGCCTTTACTGTGTGATGTGGGGAAAGAAGGAAAGACAATGTTGTTGCTGATGAACAGACAGGGAATGGAAAAGGGGTACTTGAAGACATTAAAGTGCTGGAGAATGATATTTCAGTCATAAATCCAGTCACTAGAGAAAGGACATGATCATAAGAGTTCAGTTTCTTTTTACACATTATACAGAAGATCAATCCCAGATAAAATTTCACAGAGGTAAATGCACACCACCTAACTATAAATGATTGCCAAATTGATAATGGTTTGAGCCCTACAATCCAATCCATATGAACTTATTAATACAAATCAACAAGAGAAATCCTTGTTCTCTTTCATGGTGTCATTTCAGGGAGTTTTCAATATCAATCACAAACCGGTATATCACAACACTTTTTAGTAGCCTCTCAATAGCTTCATTTGCAGATTGAATTGGAATTATTTCAATCATTGGATGAATTCCATTTGAAGCAAAGAAATCTATCATTTCTTGGATATCCTTTGTTCCACCTTACCAGAAAAGGTTTTCATACCTGCCAAAAGGCCAATGCATGGAGTTCATTATATATACTTGCAATTGCAATAACAGTTGGATATATAAAACTGTCATTTCAATCATTTGAAACATGCCAATGTACCGATATGAAGGTTGGCAGGACTGATTTTGACTTCACTGGGGAATCCCACCATAAGACCAGAACTCCACCAGTTTCAATAGTTCCATGTATGGATCAAAAGGGTGATCACCAGATGCTATATTAATTATAAAGTCTACTGACTTCACCAGGGCCTACATAGCAAACAATAACCGATAAATACTACACCTATAGGATGAGCCATCATTTCCACTATTTTTTCTATTGTTCATGTGATGAGGTAAGAAACTTTATGTATTTTTACCTTCATCTGATTTCTGTCAGATCTGGATGAGACCACAAAGTTATCTGCACCCATCTGACTTAAAGCTTCCTCTTTCTTGGATATGCTAGTGCTGAAAATTGTTACATTCAAACCAAATGCCTTGCCAAACTTCACTGCCATGTGACCTAGGCCACCAAGGCCAATCACCCCTAGAGATTTACCAGGTTGGTTCATCTTATGGCGTACCATCGAAGCATAAACAGTAATTCAGCACAAAGTAGAGGGGCTGCCGAAGCCAATGGATAGTTTGCCGGTATTAATGTACGATTGGATGCAGCTTGGTTCTTTATCAAACCAGCGTCCTCATGAAAGGTTGGATCTCCTACTCTTGTGAGATACAAGAGAGCTATTGCACTTTTCTCCCCTCTTAACATTGGAAATTTCAGGTGCACGTGGATATGGTATATGTAAGAATGAGATGCTACTTCTCATCTAACACGTTGTTTGAAATCTCATTTAGAATAGTTTGTATATATATATATATATATATATATATATCAATGCCATATGACCTCTGATACCTTCAATTTATTTCTCTTCGTTGTCTCATTAGAATGTTTTGTATCCAATTTTTCATGTGCAGAGATTATATTGATGTATCTTAAAGCAGAAGAGCAGGTTGTCAAGTGCAATGAGAAAAATGTTGTCATTGGGTTTAGTTCATAATTACCATGGATACATTTTAGAAAGTAAATTCTTACACTAGCAATTTTATGCTATGAAATTCAAGATTCTTTTATCCCCAAAATGCTGGTGGATCCCTATTTTTTGTTGTTGTATTTATGGGTTTAAACCGTAATATTTCTCATAAATAAAATCCATTTTTTATTCTTGCCTAATGGACTAATAACTGGAAATCATTAGAATGAGATGTATCAGAAAGAATTTAAATTCTCATTCCCCAATATCACTGGTATAAATAAAATAATTGAAGAAATATCTCTATCCTAATTAGCTAAAGTGATATTTTAGCCCTAAACCCTAAAATAACCTGGCAAAATTGCATATTCAAAGAGTATAGCCGGACGGCTATACGGGTTAAATATAGGGAGTTTCACTAAAACACCCAAAATGGGGGTTGAAATTATAAAAAAATCCAACACCCAAAACACTTTATAAACACACCCAAAATCCATCATTACACACACTCAAAACTCATTTATAAACACACCCAAAAAATATACAATTGTTGATTTTGGGGTTGATTTTGGGTGTGTTTCTATGTTTAAATAGTGCTTGGGTTTTTTTATAAATACATGTCTAGGATTGGGCTTATTTATAAATTTGTATTAAATATATTATTTTAAAGGTATAGCCGCTCGGATCTACGGTTTGAAAATATTCGAATATTTTAAATGTATAGCCGCGCGGCTATAATCTTTAAATATATTTCCAAACAAACACGAAGCTTGCACTCGCAGTCACAGCCATTTCGTTTCTCTGAAAGCGCTTCCAAGCTTCAAAGACTCGGTATTGAGCCTCTCTCTCTCTCTCTCTCTCTCTCTCTCTCTCTCAACCCAAGCTTTGAAAAAATTTCTTTCGTTTCGGCTACTGCGTTGATTGGATTGGATTGGATTGGACACTCTCTATGAAAACCATCAAATGTCGTTCAGCTATTGAAATCTCCACTAATATAACAAATCTGATGCTATAACTAGTTAGGCGGCGTCTAGGCGGCCTGGGCCGATCTAGGCGGCGCCTAGGCGGATCTAGGCGGCCTGGGAGGTTCTAGGCGGCCTGGGCGGGTCTGAGCGTCCTTTTTTTTTCCAAATGAAGACAGACGAAGCTTGCAATCGCAGAGGAATGTGGTGTGCGAGTGAAATGAAGAGACAGAGAAACGAACACGAAGCTTGCACTCGCAGTCCAATCTTCAAAATTCAAATACTCGGTCTTGAGCGCCTCTCTCAACTCAAGCTTGAATTTTTTTTTTCTTCGGCAACTGCGTTGATTCGATTTTTTGTGTGCTTTTCTGTTATTGAAGTTGGCAACGTCAGATGAACATCCAAGGCAGTTTCTTAGTATTCCAGAAGAAGCCCAGCAGATGGTTCTTTAACCTGAGGCACACCTTGCAGTTTGGCATTGGATTACACCATGCCGGTCTAAATGACAAAGATATATCTCTGGTTGAGGAACAAGATTCAGGCATTTCTGTTTTACCTCAAGAAGCATGAGTCTTTCCTGAAAAACACATTAGGAAAAGAGAATATAAAAAGATTATTTTCTTAATCTATATACTGAATAGGCATATGTATTAAATTATAGGTATTGGTTTGTACCAGCACATTGGCATGGGGTGTAAACCTTCTAGGTCATCATCTGGTCATTATTAAGGTAAGGCAAAATTTGTGCGCTATCTTTTTCATTTGGTTCCTATATTCACAAAGGTTTTCTAGCAGGAATATATTGCAGCAGCTGTTCTTCAGAACAAATTTACGTATGTGTTGATTTTCTTGCAGTTGCAGGGAACATAATATTATGATGGGAAAATAAAGAGATATGTTGATTTTCCAATATCAATCACAGATATCTTGCAAATGAAGGTTTTGGTCACACGTGACTACATAGAATAAAAAATGGAAAGAAAGAAATATATGTGAATCAGATTTCATGCTTTTCTCCTTTTATAATCAACAGTTGCTCAGATCCTACAAGAAAGATGGGAGTATATGTCCATCACAATCCGCCCGCGCCTAACAATCAATAAACACGAATCATATTACTTTCTGAATATTTGCCTCAAATACTAGGAATCAGGTTGTTTGGGGTTTTGAATATCAGAAAATCAAATAAAGTCAATGGATGAAGTCTTGCAGTCCTAAATCTAATCAATAAACCATTTTCCTTTTTATTTTTTCAATACTCTATACCTATCTTTTTATTGCTGTTAAAGTTCCGAACGCCCATAATTTGCATTGCTGCTGTGACAATGATCCTCTTAGTATTTGATTTATTGAGCCTGTACAAAATCTTACATGAGCGTAGTTTTCTACAGATGTTTAAACCAGCTTACTATGGCTTGGACAATACTGAACCTGAGTTTGATATAAAGTGGATAAGGACCGCTTAGATGATCCACATGTCAAATCCAATCTGCTATTTCAGGTCAGAGTTGTCTTCAACTATATGTTTTCGGAATAAAAACTTCATGTCGTTTTGCTTTTTAGTTCTCTCATCGTTTTATTCTCTAACCATGCATGAATTCTGCATTCAAGCACATTTCTCGCAGTTAGAATTACCAATCAGTGATTACGTCACAGACTTGAAGTCAGTATTGGATCAAAGTATGCGAATCATCCAGGCCATGATGATAGATATTTGTGCTAATAGTGGGTGGGTTTGAAGCTTAATTACTTGCATGCATCTTCTGCAAAGGGTCGTGCAGGTATTCTTCTTATTAGTTACAATTATGACTTCTTAGTAGTAGTACTTGCCTAGAATAAAAGACGAGTGCTAGTGCGAATTGGGTATTCTGCCTTGTTTATATTATTACATTCGACAGCTAGCATATCAGTTGATTAGTTAGAGATATTAATCGGGGATGCTGAGCACCCTTGAATGTTGTTAGTCCATGCCTCTTGACATTGGGAATTTCACGTGCACGTGAGTATGGTATATGTAAGAATGAGATGCTTCTTCTCATCTAACACGTTGTTTGAAATCTCATTTAGAATAGTTCTTATATATATGACCTTTGATAACTTCAATTTATTTCAAAACTCTTCTCTTCGTAGTCTCATTAGAATGTTTTGTACCCAATTTTTCATATGCAGAGAATATACTGATGTATCTCAAAGCAGGAGCAGGGTTGTCAAGTGCAATGAGAAAAAGTTTGTAATTGGGTTCAGTTCATAATTACGATGGATGCATTTTAGAAAGTAAATTCTTATACAAGCAATTTTATACTATGAAATTCAACATTCTTTGATCCACAAGATGTTGGTGGATCCCTATTTTTGTTGTTGTATTTATGGGCTTGACCGGCATTATTTCTCATAAATAAAATCCGTTTTTTATTCTTGCGCAATGGACTAATAGCCTGAAATTATTAGAATAGGAGGTATCGGAAAGAATTTAAATTCTCATTCCCCAATATCGGTTGTATGAATAAAATAATTGAAGAAATAACTCTAGCCCAATTAGCTGAAGTGATATTTTAGCCCTAAACCCTAAAATAATATGACAAAATTGTATATTTAAAGAGTATAGCCGTCCGGCTATACTATCAAATGTCATTCAGCTATTGAAATCTCTACTATGATAACAACTCTGATGCTATAAAATCTTAAAATCCTCAGAAGAAACTCTGTGATAATCGTTTTTTCCATTTAAACAAACAAAAAAAATTGCAAAATCAGAAACATACGTAAATTGCACGCCATGGTAGCCGCGGATAGAGACTCAAACTCGTAGTTAGGCGGTCTGGGCTGATCTCGGCGGCCCCTAGGCAGTCTGGGCGGATCTAGGTGGCGCCTAGGCGGCATGGGCGGGTCTAGGCCACGCCTAGGCGGCCTGGGCGGGTCTAGGCGGGTCTGGGAGCCAGGGCGGGTATGCGTTGGTGTCGAGGTCTGCTGCTCTCATAAACCAGAAGTGCCATGTGAAGAACAAGGATATTAGGAGGTTTCTTAATGGGATTTATGTGAGTGAGAAGAGGACGATAGCTGGAGAGGAGTGATTAGATTTTTGGGATTTGTACTTGTTAGAGTGTTTTTCTGATTTTGAGTTTTTCATTTTTACTCTGTTTTTTTCATCTTGGATGGAAATATTTTGGGTTTCTATTGCCAAACATAAATTGTGGAATTCCGGGATTATTTTATGCAGGTTATTGGTTTTTAAAGTGAGAAATGTGATGGCAAATCTTTCGTTTGCACAATCTTCAGTTTTTAAATGTTTGTATTTGAGCCAAAATCTGGAAAAACACCTCACTTACACTAAAAATAATTTCCAGTAATAAAAATGCCCCAAAAATGGTTCTTTATAGTTGCACCATCAAGTAAGTTAAACCCTGGAAAAAGTAAGGTGTCATGCCTTCTTAGAATTGGTAAACTGATTGTGAATTCCACTAAAAACCCAACCCATTAAAACTTGAAGCAGTGATCCCGATTTTAAATCAGTCCAGGAAAGTTTCATATCCATATCAATGGAGGGATGCTCTTATTACTTGGCAATGGTACTGGTTCAGCTCATATATGGTGGATCAAACATCCTCATAAAATTCTCCCTTGCAGAAGTACTCAATCCGATTGTCTTCGTGGCATGTTATGGCCATGGTTTTGGTAGGACCATTTGCTTATGTACTTGAAGGGTAAGCTATCGATTCTTGCATCTCTTCATATTTCCAGGCAGTAAAAACAGAGAAAACTAATTCTTGAATGTATTTGTAACGCAGGAAGCAAAGGCCTTCACTCTCGTTTTCTGTAGCTGCCAAAATTTTTGCGCTTGCATTATTTGGAACCACCATCCATCTGAATGTGTACTACGCTGGTTTAGCATACACTTCTCCAACAGTTGCATGTGCCTTGAGTAATGTTATTCCCAGCTTGACATTTCTAATGGCAGTTCTACTTGGGTATATTCTCTGTCCTTCCTTTCCCTTGCTTAATTAGAAAGGGGAATATAAATGTTCTTTTTCCCTGTTCTGCAACTTGCTTGTTCTTACTCAGGTTGGAGAAGTTGAAGATTAGAACTGCTAGAGGTCAAGCTAAGGTGGCTGGCACACTTTTCGGCATTGGTGGTTCTCTTGTTTTCACTTTCTGGAAAGGAGGATACCTATTTAAAGGTTTTGTAAAGAGGCCACTGATAAATATATCTGTTGGTGAGATGGGGCATGTTAAGGAAAACTGGATCAAGGGGGCCCTTCTTATTCTGACGAGTCACATTGCGTGGAGTGCATGGCTAATCCTCCAGGTGATTTTATAATTGAATTAAGATGACACCCTTTTATGTCATATAACGTCCAAGTTTAGTTCTTTGTCCAACTTCGGCTGTCTGGTCTCACAGGCTGTGGTCTCCAAAGTCTACACTGCTTGATTATCACTAACCACGATGATATGCTTTTTCGCATCGTTGCAATCTTCTTTTCTTGCTCTGTTTTTCGCAAGAAATCCAATTTCATGGAGACTTGGAATGGAACCTGCAACTTTTAACCATCGTCTACTGCGTGAGTTTTCTCTTTCTCGTATCTTATTATTAGGTTCACACGTTGATTTCAACAATTGATCATGCAAATTCTTATCGGAATCTGTGGTTCAATTTAAAAACCTCACAGCAGAAAATGTAGAAGAGAACATTGTCTTTTGTGTGTGTGTGTGTGTGTGTGTATAAAGTAAATCAATGGGACATCCTATTTTGTTGTGTCTTATTGGGTCTTTTTTGAAGTTGATGCAGTTCTCTTTAATAATGAACATGAGTATTTTGTATGGTTTTATCTATTAACTATGAATTAGAGTGTTATCATTTCATTTCAATTAATGGGTCTATTTTGTATAAATTTTTTTTAACCTTTTACACGTTGACCACCGGAATGAAAATTCTTGGATCCGCCACTGCTTGTTCTCTTTCATGGTGTCATTTAAGGGAGATTTCAATATCAATCACCAACCCGTATATCACAACACTTTTTAGTAGCCTCTCAATAGCTTCATTTGCAGATTGAATTGGAATTATTTCAATCATTGGATGAATTCCATTTGAAGCACAGAAATCTATCATTTCTTGGATATCCTTTGTTCCACCTGTTACACTACCGGAAATGGTTTTCATACCTGCCAAAAGGTCAATGCATGGAGTTCATTAAATATACTTGCAATTGCAATAACAGTTGGATATATAAAACTGTCATTTCAATCATTTGAAACATGCCAGTGTACCGATATGAAGGTTGGCAGGACTGATTTTGACTTCACTGTGGAATCCCACCATAAGACCAGAACTCCACCAGTTTTCAATAGTTCCATATATGGATCAAAAGGGTGATCACCAGATGCTATATATTATCAATTATAAAGTCTACTGACTTCACCAGGGCCTACATAGCAAACAATAACCGATAAATGCTAAACCTATAGGATAAGCCATCATTTCCACTATTTTTTCTATTGTTCATGTGATGAGGTATGAAACTTTATGTATTTTTACCTTCATCTGATTTCTGTCAGATCTGGATGAGACCACAAAGTTATCTGCACCCAGCTGACTTAAAGCTTCCTCTTTCTTGGATATGCTAGTGCTGAAAATTGTTACATTCAAACCAAATGCCTTTTGCCAAACTTCACTGCCATGTGACCTAGGCCACCAAGGCCAATCACCTTAGAATTTACCATGTTGGTTAATCTTGTGTCGTACCATCGAAGCATAAACAGTAATTCCAGCACAAAGTAGAGGGGCTGCCGAAGCCAATGGATAGTTTGCCGGTACTAATGTATGATTGGATGCAACTTGCTTCTTTATCAAACCAGCGTCCTCATGAAAGGTTGGATATCTCCTACTCTTGCGAGATACAAGAGAGGTATTGCACTTTTCTCCCCTCTTAACATTGGGAATTTCAGGTGCACGTGCACGTGACTCTGAGTGCAAGCTTCGTGTTTGTTTGGAAAATATTTAAAGAGTATAGCCGCTCGGCTAGACATTTAAAATATTCGAATATATTCAAACCGTAGAGCCGAGCGGCGATACCTTTAAAATAATATATTTAACCCGTATAGCCGCCCGGCTATACTCTTTGAATATACAATTTTGTCATGTTATTTTAGGGTTTAAGGCTAAAATACCACTTTAGCTCATTAGGATAGAGATATTTCTTCAATTATTTTATTTATACCAGTGATATTGGGGAATGAGAATTTAAATTCTTTCCGATACATCGCATTCTAATGATTTCCAGCTATTAGTCCATTAGGCAAGAATAAAAAATGGATTTTATTTATGAGAAATATTACAGGTTAAACCCATAAATACAACAACAAAAAATAGGAATCCACCAACATTTTGGGGATAAAAGAATCTTGAATTTCATAGCCCCGTGCACCTGAAATTCCCAATGTTAAGAGGGGAGAAAAGTGCAATACCTCTCTTGTATCTCGCAAGAGTAGGAGATCCAACCTTTCATGAGGACGCTGGTTTGATAAAGAAGCAAGCTGCATCCAATCTTACATTAATACCGGCAAACTATCCATTGGCTTCGGCAGCCCCTCTACTTTGTGCTGGAATTACTGTTTATGCTTCAACGGTACGCCATAAGATGAACCAACCTGGTAAATCTCTAGGGGTGATTGGCCTTGGTGGCCTGGGTCACATGGCAGTGAGGTTTGGCAAGGAATTTGGTTTGAATGTAACAATTTTCAGCACTAGTATATCCAAGAAAGAGGAAAGCTTTAAGTCAGCTGGGTGCAGATAACTTTGTGGTCTCATCTGACAGAAATCAGATGAAGCTAAAAATACATAAAGTTTCTTACCTCATCACATAAACAATAGAAAAAATAGTGGAAATGATGGCTGATATAGGTTTAGTATTTATCGGTTATTGTTTGCTATGTAGGCCCTGGTGAAGTCAGTAGACTTTATAATTAATATAGCATCTGGTGATCACCCTTTTGATCCATACATGGAACTATTGAAACTGGTGGAGTTCTGGTCTTAGGGTGGGATTCCCCAGTGAAGTCAAAATCAGTCCTGCTAACCTTCATATCGGTACATTGGCATGTTTCAAATGATTGAAATGACAGTGTTATATATCCAACTGTTATTGCAATTGCAAGTATATATAATGAACTCCGATCAAGCTGCACACCACCACTTAAACAAAATCCACACTAAATTTGTGACTAATTTTCATGACAAACAAACTACCGTGATAGAATGGATAAGTGAAACCATCAAATGTGGAAGTAGTAAGATGGAATAGGAAGAAGGTGTCTGTGTTCTTCAGGTTACCTGCCAAAGTGAAGTAGCTCTGCGAAAGAAATTGCCGAGAACAATGCCACTATAATGACTTGAAGTGGACTAAACATAGCTGCAAAAACTGGTCCCTTGTAACTGATGCACCATGTTTGCAGGTTGTAGGCTAATGCTGATATTACAACTCCCTATTGCAAAAGTAATGAAGGAGTGGATGAAGACCAGAACTTGTGACAGATTCAAATATATCTTATACCAACAAGGAGAAAAACACCCAATAAGACACAACAAAATAGGATGTCCCATTTATTTACTTTACACACACACACACGCGCAAAAGACAATGTTCTCTTCTACATGTTCTGCTGTGAGGTTTTTAAATCGAACTACAGATTCGGATAAGAATTTGCATTATCAATTGTTGAAATCAACGTTGTGAACCTAATAATAAGATACGAGAAAGAGAACACTCACGCAGTAGGCGATGGTTGAAAGTTGCAGGTTCCACTCCAGTCTCCATGAAATTGGATTTCTTGCGAAAAACAGATCAAGAAAAGAAGATTGCAACGACGCGAAAAAGCATATCATCGTGGTTAGCGATAATCGAGCAGTGTAGACTTTGGAGACCACAGCCTGTGAGACCAGAGAGTCAAAGTTGGACAAAGAACTAAACTTGGACATTACATGACATAAAAGGGTGTCATCTTAATTCAATTATAAAATCACCTGGAGAATTAGCCATGCACTCCATGCAATGTCACTCGTCAGAATAAGAAGAGCCCCCTTGATCCAGTTTTCCTTAACATGCCTCATCTCACCAACAGACATATTTATCAGTGGCCTCTTTACAAAACCTTTAAATAGGAATCCTCCTTTCCAGAAAGTGAAAACAAGAGAACCACCAATGCAGAAAAGTGTGCCAGCCACCTTAGCTTGACCTCTAGCAGTTCTAAACTTCAACTTCTCCAACCTGTGTAGGAACAAGCAAATTGCAGAACAGGAAAAAAGAACATTTATATATATTCCCCTTTCTAATTAAGCAAGGGAAAGGAAAGGACAGAGAATATACCCAAGTAGAACTGCCTTTAGAAATGTCAAGCTGGGAATAACATTACTCAGGGCACATGCAACTGTTGGAGAAGTGTACGCTAAACCAGCGTAGTACACATTCAGATGGATGGTGGTTCCAAACTAGGCAAGCACAAAAATGTTGGCAGCTACAGAAAATGAGAGTGAAGGCCTTTGTTTCCTGCTTTACAAATCCATTCAAGAATTAGTTTTCTCTGTTTTTACTGCCTGTAAATATGAAGAGATGCAAGAATCGATAGCTTACCTTTCAAGTACATAAGCAAATGGTCCTACCAAAACCATGGCCATAACATGCCGCGGTAAACGACGAAGACAATTGGATTGAGTTTTCTGCAAGGGAGAATTTTACGAGGATGTTTGATCCACCATATATGAGCTGAACCAGTGCCATTGCCAAGTAATAAGAGCATCCCTCCATTGATATGGATATGAAACTTTCTTGGCCTAATGGGGATCACTGCATCAAGTTTTAATGGGTTGGTTTTTTAGCGGAATTCACAATCAGTTTAGAAATTCTAAAAAGGCATGACACCTTACTTTTTCCAGGGTTTAACTTCCCTGATGGTGCAACTATAAAGAACCATTTTTGGGGCATTTTTATTAGTGGAAATTATTTTAAGTGTTCTTCCCGATTTTGGCTCAAAGACAAACATTTAAAAACTGAAGATTGTGCAAATGAAAGATTGGCCATCACATTTCTCACTTTAAAAATCATTAACCTGCATAAAATAATCCCAGAATTCCACAATTTATGTTTGGCAACAGAAACCCAAAATATAGTAAAACTTGCTCATCAAAATTTCCATACAAGATTTATATAAAAAAAAAGAAGAAGAGTACAGATGAAAAACTCAAAATCAAAATCAGAAAAAGCACTCTTAACAAGTAGAAATCCCAAAAATCTAATCACTCCTCTTCTCACTTCTGGTTTAGTTCTTCACATGGCACTTCTGGTTTATGAGAGCAGCAGACCTCAACACCAACGCAGACCAGCCTAGACCCACGCAGGCCGCCTAGGGGCCGCCCAGATCCGCCTAGACCGCCTAGGGGCCGCCTAGATCCGCCCAGACCGCCTAGCAGCCGCCTAGCTCCGACCAGACCGCCCGGGGCCACCCAGATCCGCCCAGACCGCCTAGCTCGGCCCAGACCGCCTAACTACGAGTTCGAGTCTCTCTCCGTTGCTACCATGGCGTCCAATTTACGTATGTTTCTGATTTTGCAATTTTTTTGTTTGTTTAAATGGAAAAACGATTATCGGAGAGTTTCTTCAAAGGATTTTAAGATTTTATAGCATCTGAGTTGCTATCATAGTGGAGATTTCAATAGCTGAACGACATTTGATGGTTTTCATGGAGAGGATTCAATCCAATCCAATCAACGCAGCAACCGAAACAAAAGAAAAAAATCGAACCTTGAGTTGAGAGAGAGAGAGGTTCAAGACCGAGTCTTTGAAGCTTTGAAGCGCTTATAGAGAAGCGAAATGGCTGTGACTGCAAGTGCAAGCCTTGTGTACCTCAAAAATAATATATTTAATGCTTACAGCCGCGCGGATATACCTCTAAAATAATATATTTTACGAGTATAGCCACGTGGCGATATCTTAAAAATATTCGAATATATTTTAATAGTATAGCCAAACGGGCTATACACTTTACATATACAATTTTGTCATATTATTTTAGGGTTTAGAGCTAAAATACCAGTTCAGCTAATTGGGCTAGAGTTATTTCTTCAATTTATTTATTCTATAATCTATTAAATATTTATTGCTTTTTAGATTTTTATATGGACGATTTGGTGCTTCCTTCTTGTGTAGTCTGAAAAACAATATATTAATACATTTTATATATATATAAAGCAAAAGACAGAGAATGGTGAAACATTCAAAATAGCAGAAAATACTATTGGTTAGTTTAAACATTAATAATTGAAATTATTAATTAAATGAGGATAATATGGTAAATTTACATTTTTTTCATATTAAAAAAATTAAAATTAAAAACAAAATCAGATAATATGTCCTACTTTTATAGAACATAACTACCCATGTTATCTTTTCTTAAATCTAAAAATAAAATAAAAAAATAAAAAATAAAACCAATTATTATACAAAAATGTACAAAGTTATATCATGCTGACGGAATTTGTCTTAAAATAAATATGTTTGATTAATGTTGTCGACATTATATTAACTACCAAAAAAGTGGTCGACTCTAACCTTAAAATGATTGACTCGTCAAAGATTCATCGTAAAATTCAATATGCAATCGATGAATACTTTCATTCTCAAGTTGCAACTTTTTTTATAACCAACCGACTAAAACAAAACCTTCCTTTTAGCCATCAAAATTAAATTCGAACTCGTACAAGAATCTTGGGACAATGAGATTTTAATCCAATAGAAGTTGAGCAAGTTCATAGTTTAACAAGAACGATGCGAGATTGAGTTTGTCCTCCCCTCTCTATTCTCCCGGACATCCGTCACCATTCCTCATTCTCATGTAGTAATCATTTTACTGCCCCTTTATCACCATATACAACGGCGGAGCCAGGAATTGAGGTTAGAGGGGGTTATTTTACAAAATATAAAAATAAAGGGAATGAAAGTATAAAAACTACAGGTTCTCAGGGACGGAGCTATTCATAGGCCTGAGATGGCCTGAGCCCCCCCAACATCTTCTCACCTCTTTGACTGTATAAAGAGTGTAGTATAGATTGCACAAAAAAAATTTCATAGTTTTAAGCTTGTGGCACCTCCAAATATCAAACTCTACCTCGGCCACTGCTTGTGGAGCTTCTTGAAAATGAGAGTGAAATGACTTGAAAAGAGAGAGAGAGACTTGAGTAGGGCCTGGACCCCTCTGGCTCCTACATGGCTCCGCCACTGACCATATCTCTTAGTCTACAACTACATGGAGACCGTCACCATTCCTCATTCCCATCCCGCCACCATTCCTCCCTCGGTTCGTTGCCACATTGCACATTCCGGAAACGGTTATTTTTCTAGTTGGTAAAAAAAATTATTATTTTGTTGATTTCCACTTGGACTCTTTATTTGCAGCCACGTGTCTAATTCTAACTGGATGAGGTGTAATAGGAAGCACCAAGCCCGCAAGCCTCCGAGATGTGACTCGTAACAGGCCACGCCTCCTCCCCTCCAAACTCACCCACCCCGCGAAAGCTTTAAAGACTCCACCATGTTCATGTCGACCCTCACAACGCTCTCTCTCTCCAATCTCATCCCTGCTCGTCTGCCTTCGACAGCAATCAACAATGGGTGTGAAGCTCAACTCCGGACCAACGATCGAGATCAACGGCCTCAAATTCACCTACCCAGGAATCAACGGCCATCCTCCACCGGGCTCCAAGCCTCTGATCGAGGACTTCAACCTCACCCTCAACGCTGGCGATCGGTGCCTCCTCGTCGGATCCAACGGCGCCGGCAAAACCACGATCTTGAAGATCTTGGGAGGCAAGCACATGGTCGAGCCCCACATGGTTCGCGTGCTCGGAAGGTCGGCGTTTCACGACACCGCCTTGACCGGCTCCGGCGACCTCTCCTATCTCGGCGGAGAGTGGAGGCGAGATGTGGCTTTTGCCGGGTTTGATGTCCCGATACAGATGGACGTTTCGGCCGATAAGTTGATCAATGGGGTATCGGGGGTCGACCCACAAAGGAGAGCAGAGCTAATAAAGGTCCTGGATATTGATCTTTCATGGAGGCTGCACAAGGTCTCCGATGGTCAGAGAAGACGAGTACAGATCTGCATGGGCCTGCTCAAGCCATACAAGGTACTTCATTTCCAGGTTTGATAGTTTCGTAGGTGTTTTTTGTGTGTGTTTTTTTAATGCTCACCAAGTGTTTGATAATTTGTTGTCGAAATGAAATAGGTTCTTCTGCTTGATGAGATAACTGTGGACCTTGATGTGCTAGCAAGAGCTGACCTTCTCAAGTTTTTGAGAAAGGAATGTGAAGAGAGAGGCGCCACAATCATTTATGCTACACATATATTTGATGGGTTGGAGGATTGGCCTTCACATATTGCTTATGTAGCTAATGGAAAGTTGCAGCTAGCTCTGCCTATGGATAGAGTTAAGGAGATGTACAAGTTGTCACTCATGGTTAGTCAAAAGGGTAACTTCAATTTACATTCAATTTCTAATTGTTTAGTTCAATTTACAGAGATTGGATTGGGTTTGATATGCAGAGAACAGTTGAGAGTTGGCTGAGGAAGGAACGTGATGAAGAGAGGAAGAGAAGAAATGAGAGAAAGGCAAAGGGCCTTCCTGAGTTTGAGCAACCAAATGAGGGAAGCGGCGGTGATGTTCGTGCAGTGAATAATGGCTGGGCAGCCGGACGCTTGAATTCCACCATTGCTGGAGAAGAGAACTTTGTCTTCAGCTCAAATAGAGTTCTAAGGCAATAGTGGATATACTTTGCCACTCAAAATCTTGGCAATATTTGCTTACACTTGATCTGATTTTCCCATAGTTTTGGGACTTTGAAACCTTTGTATTTCAATCTATTTGTACCTTGTATTCAATTTTAGTGTGTATTTCAATCTGTTTGTATTCTTTATGTAACGAAAAATGCCATGAGCTTGGCTTCTCTCCATGTAATACAATCATTATTTATTGATAAAACCACACCATTTTACAGCCAACAAGAAACACAAAGAATAACAATGAAATAATTAAACCATACTAATAAGGGATACTAATAATAATCATGAATTAGCAGCAGCTAGCCGTTTCTTTAATTTGACGTGTCACGCCGCAATTGGATAAGAAGCTTCCCTAGCAATGCCGCAGAGTCCTTCCTTGGCAAGAACGTCTCTCTGCAACCTCATGTATCCCCTCTCCCCCCAATCTTCTCCCCAAGAATTCTTGATCAGCCAATACTTGACCCCATCATCACTTGTACCGTATCCAACAATAGTCACAGCATGGGTTAAGTCTGTACCACATGGTCCACCGTACACACCGCCAGAATATTGCTGGAATTCAACGGTGTTGGCATCAATGGCAACGGAAACCGGCTGGTAGGCAACAGCCTTCAACAGAGCATTTTCGTCATTTTCGGGCACATTTTCGAAGTCGGTTATGGTTATGGCACCAGATGCATCAGTCTTGCTGTAATCATCAGCCTTGCAACTGCCTCCATCTACACCCTGGTAGGTGTAATCAGCTTCAGTTGCCAGGCTCCTGTTGCGCTCGATCATGTATTGGAAGGCATAACCAAAGTGACCACCACGGCAACCATCATTGTCCAGACCGACGTTACAATCAACAAGTTCTTGCTCCGATAGCGAAACTAAGTTCCCTGTTTTGAGTTTGTTAAGCCCTTCTACAGCTGCCACTGCTGCAAACGCCCAGCCACACCCTATAACATCATCATCATAATATATTAATATTGAGACAACAAACGTGCATAATTAATCAAAAACTTGTTTAAAATTAAATGTGTGATTCAGATTCACAGTTTAACGGTAATGCTTTCTTAATCTTGCATGCTTACCGCATTCCCCTTGGTACTTGACAGGAGTCACAGCCCCCATTGAACTAAAGTTCACATCAGATGGCAAGTTAGTGACATTTTCATATCGAAAATGATCATTTGGAGCTACTTTCACAGACTTGGAGATGATCGCTGGACCATGAAGTTGGCGACTAGAAAATGCTTGGGAGGAGAAAAAGGCCAAAATGAGGACAAGAGATGATGCCAAGCAGAGGGATTGGCCTTGGTTTGTGCTGAGCAGAAGAGGCATGATGATGATGAAGACGTATTTTTCAGAATGTAGAGGGTATTTTCAGTGCAGTTTGGAAATAGGATTTACTTTGTGGATTGGTACAACACATTGAAAATGGGCATGGGATTTTATACAAAAAATTGTGCAGGTCAACGTGACTTTTTACGTGTGTGATAACTCCCCAAGATTAATATTTTTACCGTGTGAATTTTAGATCCTCCCTGTGAGGGAGTAAATAATTTTTTGTTTTTGAGCAAAAATCAAGGGAAATAAATGAATTGATTCAATCGATAGTCAGAGCTTGGTTTTCAGTCTTATCCATTTTACCAAGGTCACAAGAAAATTAGCGTGTCCTTCAATTAGGGTTTTGAATTATACGAAAAAAACTTCCTCTGAATTTAATTAGCGTGTCCTTTTTATTGCAAATATATCTTGAAGCCCAAAAAATCATAACGTTTATTGACATTTCATCTTGTTGGTTGTGTATGTAGAGCATATGAATCATGTTACATGGAAGTTCTACCCGTTCTTGCGGGATCCAATGACAGCATAAGTAAAATTTCATGGAAATTTACTGTCACAGGTTTGTTGTATTTGTATAGTTTACAGACGCGTTATTATGGGAGACAGATGAAGTCTAATATTTTTTGTCTCATGATGAAAGATAAAAACGCCAATCATTCTAAGATGACAAAGAAATTGTCGATTCAACATCGATCCATTGATTGGAACTCTAAACACAACAGAAGGTATGGAATGGAAGGGAGGCTGTAAAAATCTTGAATTATTTAAATCTACAGGGCCAAACGTCATCAATCACTTTGTAGTAATTATCTAAACAAAATACATTCTTAGAATAGTAACACTAAGAAATTCATAAACAGAAGATAATGACATTCCACTTTTGACACATTCAAAACAAGAGGCTGCTGAAGTTTTTGTCATCGTTTTAAGCCTGCAACCAAAGTAAATACAAGCAAAGCAAACATGAATTTCAGAACCATCAAAGACATTTTTACTGCAACGAAGCAACACGAGATACCCACCTTGTTTGCTATATTGTTGGAGAGCCAGTCAAGACCCTCATAGAGCCCTTCCCCAGAGGTGGCACATGTACTTTGGATGTACCTGAATCAATAACACAGAATGTATCAGATTTAATCAACATTTAATTGCTTTTTCTGTGTGTAAGTGAGAGAGAGAATAATCATAGAAATTATGAAGAGAGTATTTAAGTAAAATACCAGTGGCGTTGACGAAGAGAGTGGAGACCGAGTTTGTCAGTGATCTCAGCAGCATTCATTGCATTTGGAAGATCTTGCTTGTTAGCAAAAACAAGCAGCACTGCATCCCTCAACTCATCCTACAGATTCAAGGACTGACATAATCATATACATGAAGAAAAAAAAATTTGCTTTTAAAAGTCATGTGATGGTTTTCAAATGACCTTTCATATATTTTAACAAACTTGGTGAAGGTCTTGTACGTTTTCCATCAATATAGCATGGTCTTGTCTTAAAATAAGATCCTTAACTCTTTCTCCGAAAGAGCTTTCCAAAACAATCTTACTACACTTAGCATACAAATATAATGTGTTTCTAATTACTCGATTAAAAAATCTCTCAAGGGCCAAAAAACTAACAAAGCCTTCAAAAGTTTCAGTACCTCATTCAACATCCTATGCAGCTCATCCCTAGCCTCAACAACACGATCACGATCATTGCTATCAACCACGAAAATCAGCCCTTGTGTATTTTGGAAGTAGTGTCTCCATAAAGGTCGAATCTGGAGGGCCACACAAATATATAATGCACATGTAAGAGGGCACGATGCTCATGATCAATGGTTGGTCAAAATCACTAAAGTATATAATTAAGTGCATAGACAAGCACACATATAGACCAGTTGCAAAAAAAAATGATAAGCACAATTGAATAATCAACAAGTGCAAGACAGCAGATTTAACATTTGCTTAAAGAATAGAAAATGTATGCCAAAGCGTGGAAAATTCCAATATATTAAAAAATAAAAAAAAAAAAAAAAAAAATTTAATTTATTTAAATATTAAAAAAAAAAAAAAAAAAAAAAAAAAAAAAAAAAAAAAAGTAAATGGATAAGCTTAATGATTATGATTATGTGCTGATGGAGAACAACTAATCAGCACAAGACCGTCAATAAGCACAAGCAAGAAGGAGATCAAACATATAATTAAATCATTAAAGTATAGAAGATGTCAGCAACAACAAGGACAGCATTTCCCTATATGATAAGGAAAAGCTAAAAAGACAAGTTGGCACAAGTAAATGTAGCTTATGATTATGTTATGTGATGATGGAGAACAACTAATCAACACAAGACCGTCATTAAGCACATAAATCCATAGAATGGATAACCATGGAAGAAGTATCTCATATTGCCATCCTAGTACCAAACCATCTAATTAGCATAGACCCTCTGCAAGAAAAATACCAACAACTGCATCTACACAACTCAGTTTGCCTAAAGGCAATGTGAAATTTTTGCCACATCGTAGATAGCTTTTCCTCACATTTATTGAGGAAGAACTTGAAAGACAAGGTGGCAACAATACATGTAGCTTATGAATTTGTTGTGTGCTAATGGAGCAATATCTAATCAGCACAAGACCGTCCATAAGCACTTAGGAAAAAAACAAACACAAACATTTACAAAACAACACATATGCGTATAAATTATAAATAACCATTATCGCTTGCATATTTAACAACATCCATTAAAGAAAATATCATTCAGAGACTTATGTTCGATCTACAAGTGTATCCATATAATGCTAAAGGAGATATGTAATACATTCAAAATATGCCATCTCTTTCACACCATATAAAATTTAGATAACTTGTTAATGATTCCACAAACCTTGTCCTGGCCCCCAACATCCCAAACTGTAAAGCTAATGTTTTTATATTCCACAGTTTCAACATTGAATCCTGATACAATTGCAAACAGATGTAACTTGTTAAAACCTAAAAACGGTACACTACTCATGTTAAATAAAAATATTACAACATGATAATAATATTGCAAATGATACCAATTGTTGGAATGGTGGTCACGATCTCTCCGAGCTTAAGCTTGTACAAGATGGTAGTTTTACCAGCAGCATCGAGACCGACCATAAGAATTCGCATTTCCTTTTTAGCAAAAAGACGACTGAACAACTTGGTGAAAGACAACCCCATTTTGAAAAGCTGAATTCAGAATTCAACAGTCAGATACAAGTTCATATATCATTAAGTCACAAACACTCAACTTGGATATTCAACTTATAGTGCATGGACGAAATCTAATGAAAAAAATTATAAGAATTTGAAGGAAAAAAAAAGTTACTAACATGCAGAATTGGACATTCATATGACTATAGATCTGAACTTTCATCAAAATCCAAATATATCAAAAACAAATAGACACACAAATCCTTTGCGTTGGATATGGGCATGTTTTTCAGATCATGTGACCAAAATCCTTTCTTTTTCTTTTTCTATGGGCTTATTGGCTTTCTATCAAATACTTTATTACAAATTTCTCAGTTCGAACAAATAGCATTCAGAACGACCCAAACAAGCACGACAATAAAAGATCTAAAAACAAATGTAAAAGCTACCCATCAAATTCAAAATAAAAACAAAATCTTGACCTGAAATTTCACAAAAGAAAGTGAAATCCAAATAGCAGATTCACATGAAAACCCAAAAACAGATCTTGATTGAAAAAAGAGAAAACGCAGACTAATCAAAAGCCAAAATAACGCTAACCCATTACTTCTAAACCAAAAGTACACTAACCTATAAGCCAAATTTAATATGCCCTACTAATCTACATGAAAAATGTATAGGCAAATGTTAAGAGAGAGAGAGAGAGAGAGAGAGAGAGAGAGAGAGAGAGAGAGAGACACGGACCTTAGAAGGGGCAGATCTGAGAAGCCGCCCTAGAGAGAGAAGAGGTACGATGAGAAATGGGCTCCAGGATTGGGAGACTATTTGGGCATTTAAATATGTGGGAGATAACGATCTTTCTAACGAGGTTTGGGGCCCGGGAAGGATTTGAGCAACGTTATTCAGACGTGAGGTGCCGTTAGGGTTCGAGTGAAATATAGTTATATTGTGTAACAAGGTGTAGAGTTGGGGGTGTGTATGCTCCAATGTGGTCCAATAGTTTATCTAATTGTTGATTTGCCTCTTAAAAAGCCTATTATACGGAATAAGTACGTTTTTAATGCTTCTCTTAAAGAAGGAAGGGTGGAAATGAGGTGAGTTTTACTAGTTTGTAAGTACAATCACTAGTTGGCTCTAAAAAATTAATTACACACGTTATGTGATAAACTTAACTGATTTGTACATATATATGACTGATTTGTAAAATATATCAAGCACCTCATTTATAATGTACCTAGCTTGCTTATAAGAAATTTACAAGACTCGTGGTACAATTTGCCTAACTCTAATAAGAAATTTGCGAGACACATAAGCTCTACTCAATTTTATTTTTTTTTCAATTGGAATGAGACTCATTGTTATGTAGTAAGTTTCACGCAGGATTTAAGCATGAGGTCTATTTCTACTTTGGCAGATTGCAAAATTATTTCACCATTATATGTATTCAATTATGATATTTGTGTCTCATCTTCCATGCATTAGGCATTAGCTATGGCACTTGGTTTGAGTTTGAAAGAGAACATATGGCTAGTATGTGCATTTGGTTAATGATAAATATATATAGCAATTGGGTGGCGGGGGATTGCGGATGATGATCAATCAAAACTGAACCATGAGAACAAAACAAAAGAAGTAAAAAGAAAGCAACTTCCCATTACAAAATCACATTACAGTTGGACAAACACAAGTACGACATGAAATTTGGAGTCATTTTTGCTAGAAGAAACTTCCAAATGCAGCTCAAAGAAAGCAACAACTGGTCCTTGTTGGCCAATCTAATATTACATTTATCTGGGAGGTTCATGAAGTGACCTCAGATAGAAAATGAAATGGCAGCATAGATTCAATGCAACAGGGGAAGTTTGCCTTTGCTGTTGTTCTGTTATCATCCCATAACGTCACTGTCGCTTTTGGAGTGCACTTGCAGCTGCAGTTCCAAGTCGTTTCTCTCATACTCCTTGGCATGATCTGCCTTTGTTGTGTCTGTTTCTTTTGTTGGCTTCTCAACCTCCGTCTCCTTGTTCTTCCCCCACAGAACAAGATAGAGCCCGCAAACGATCAAAATCGACCCTATGGCACTAAGTAAAGCACAATATGAACCCACAGATTAATTAGCAGAATTAAAGCAGGTGTTTATTAAACATAATTAAGTAAAGAACTTGGAGATGAGTAAACTGTATATACGTACGTTCCAAGGTATAATTTCTCCTCAAGCAGAGCCCAACTTGAAATGGCCACAATGATGAGGAGCAAGGGGCTGAACACCGACACGTAAAGAGGGCCTTTTCTCTGAATACTCCAGGAAGAGAGGAAGAAAGCTAGTGCAGAACCCAAAATTCCCTGAGATTAGCATCATGATCATGATTTAGTATGAAACTAATTAAAAGCTTAATAACTCATGATTAAGTTTATTATGTTAGGACAAACTAGGCATGCAAGCTAATCAGATACATACAAACTAGGCATGATCATACATTCAACCCTCTGTTTAGTAAGAAAATTCTAGTTAAAATGATGTTAATTAAGCCAAGTGAAGAGCACATACACAATAGAGGGCTGAAATAAGCCACATGGGATTTTTCAATGACCAAGCAGAAACTTTGTGATCAGCAATCACAGCAATGATCCCACACTCAAAGCTGGCCATCAAACACATCAATGTGGTGCTTGTATAAGGAGCTGGAAAATTCTCCCCCACTTTTGCCTGAAATTAAAAATCAAGAGAAAATAAATAAAATTATTGTAACAATATTATTCTGCAATCTGCATGCACAACAAAACTTAGAACAGTAAAATGGGTAAGGATCAGTACTTTAACTTACTTGGATTATGAACCAGAATGCCCAACCTAAGGTGCTTATGATTACACAAAGGGGGCCCACAAAGGAACTTCCATTGGAGCTGGAATTTGCCTGCTCTCCCATTCTCTGAGCATATGCCCAGTGAATTTTGGACTCACCTAAGCCAATGATGTGTCCATGGTAAAATGAAAGCAGCATGGCTCCAGACACACACACAACTGTTCCCATCACCTTTGACAATCCTGGTTTGCTCTTTATTTTTGCAGATTCTTGTCTGCATAATTAAACACATAATTAAGTTCATCAAACAATCCTAACACAATTAATTAATTAATTAATTAACATGTTGATTAGTACAGCACATTACCTGAAAATGAGTGCAAGGATAAATGTCATTGCTGGAAGTGTATTGGTCAATGCGCATGCAATGGTTGGGGTCGAAGTTTTCAAACCAACAAAATAGAAAACCTGATTTGCAGTTGCCCTGCATTTTGAATTCATCTTGCTGCTTAGCAACATTGATACACTTAATTAAGAACTTAATTAGAAGTTAATCAAAACACTTACCCAGTTAAAGAGCATAGAAAAGTCTGGAAAAGAATAGGCATTGTGATCCTGGGTCTTGTTTTCCTATCAGAAAAAAAAAACGTCTTATAAACTTGAAATATATATTTTTTTCTTTTCTGTTTTTTTTAATGCATGCCGTGAGAGTATGATAGGACCCAGCTATGGCCTAGAGCTAAGCAAAGAAGAAGGAAAAGACAAATGGTGAAAGATGACATGGCAACCATGCAAAGCTGGTGGGGCTTTGACTTATGCCACCCGTCAAACCACTAGGCGGCACGTTAAATTAAGCTCAAATACAGACAGACTGATAAAAAGTTGGACACAATTATCATGCATGGCCTTCTGCGTTTATCGCGTGCTTCAATGCCAAAACGGATCTCATTCAATTCTGCATCAGAGTTTTTTGCGTCTCCGGATTTTCCAAGAACAACTTTAAATTAATTGCACACTTTCAGCCTTAAACAACTCTTAAAACCACTTTAGCTTTCGAAGAAGGAAGGAAAAACAAGAGGCTCAAATCAAGAAACAGTTTCTATTTGATCAAAATAATATTCTAACTGAGATGAAGAACAAAAAAAAGAGGACAGAGAAACATTTTGTTCTCTGTTCTTTTCTAGATCTTCTTGTTTCTTTTTTTCTTTTTTTTTGATGAGATAGGGGGGACAAATCTCAAAAAGAAACAACAACTAACTAGTACAGATCAAGTGAGGCCTAACAACTCCTACAAAATCATCCTCCAAAAAAGAGCTAACCCAAGCTTCTTGTTTCATTTTTCAGTGACCAACAAAACCCAAATTAAACAATTACTTGTTTATACTATCAAAACTCACTCTGTATAAAATAATAAGAAACAAACAGGGAAAGCTTGTTTATACATTGAAAATCTTGAAACTCATTTGACTCAAATAAACTAAGCAAGTCAGAGAGACAAAAATCCATGAAACTTGACACATGCATAGCAAACCTAGCAAGCTAATGTGACTGGATGATATAATAAAACTCAAATATATGAGGATTTTGTGACATGCATGCACCGAAACTAGGAGATAGGGTTGTAATTTTTACCATTCCATCCAATAAGCAAAGGGGGCAATGGAAAGGGTGGCGAAAACTTGGCGATAAGCAACAAGAACAAGAGGGTTCATGTCAGATTCGATAGCAAGCTTTGAAATGATGTTCAGTCCTGCATAGCTCATTTGGACAAGCACCATGGCCAAGAATGGCAAGTAATCACCATAGCCAGCCATTGATATTTTGTTTCTTCTGTTTTCTGATCTCAAGTTCTAATGTGTACTATATATACACGAAAGGCAAGTGGAGAGAGAGAGAGAGAGAGAGAGAGAGAGATTTCAGAGAATGAGAAATGTGCAGGGCATATGTATTGAGCTAGCTATAGCTAGCTGGGAAAATAAGCAAAACAGAAAGTAGAAGAGAGTTTTGCGTGGAAATAAGAGAAAGAAGCCGTTGAAGATTGATTTCTTGTAACACTTGGGCTTATGCATGGCTACATGGTCTAAATGAGGTTGCCACTACCACATAAAGACGCTTTCAGTTTTTGTCTTTTAAGCAATTATTAGGTAAACGTCAGCCAAGCTGATGAGGTTGGTAGTAGGCGTAGCCAATTGAAAGTAACGCATTAAAATCTTTTCTGATGCAAACAATTTCATTCACCTTTACACCCGGAAGTCCTTGAAATATTGTGTTGGATTCTCTTTTCTCAATATCGTTTATATTTATCATTTCATCTCATCATCGTGACTCACATTTAGAAAGAATTCTCTTCTTAATATTCGATGTACGAATGCTTGGGTTTAATTAGTACCTTTGGATCTATCACCAAATATGAAAATCACATAAAAGTTATCAATGAATTCGCTTTGTACAATCAACCGCAAAGAGTGTATGTATTGAATTTACTTTAAAAGGGAAACCTGAATATATATGGATCTACCAACTTTCAAATACGATACTAGCTTTAGCTATAAGTGTACACGTTAATTTCCAATCATATTTACGTCCTCATCACTCACTATATAATATAAGAGTCCTCGCCAATTTAACATGAATCTCACATAATGGTTCCACGCGTAAGAGATTACTTATTAATTCTTTACAAAGAAGTATAGAACCATAATTGTGCTAATGTTTTATCTCCTAATGCAAGTTAGCATTGAAGACGAACCTTTCCTTTTATTTCGCGGGGAAGGAGATTCAAACTTAAAACAAAACTTGCTGGATAGTTGCGAGATGTGACCGAATCGGACAATCGATCCAACTATCTTGAATGAATTTGGGCGTCAGCCTTAATGAGAAATATCTTGGGCTCATATATGAGTTAGGTTCATAAAAATACATGGGTCATAACTCAAATAGGCACAATATTGACCTTCAGTAAGGGAGGTGGTGCTAAAATTGCGGAGGTTTGATAATTGATTTTAGCGGCTTAGATTTGAAATTGTATCAAACACCCGCTTCATCTCTGTGTTGACCCTGTGTGACTCATAACAATGTACAAAGATATGAAAGGTTCAGGCATAACAAAGGGAGAAGATGAGGAGGAAGACGCTGAATCTTTGCTTGAGAGTGGAAGAATTCAGAGGAAAGATAAAGGAGTTGTTGGGGAGGGCACTTTTGGTCGTCCTCCTCGTCCTTTTAATCTAGCATTGCATCATCAACAAATCCCAGACAAAAATGCAGCTGCTGCAAACCATGAAATAATTGCACCTGATGATGAGAAAAAGGTACCCTCATTTTTCTCTTCACTAAATTTTGAATTGACCATGGGATTCATTTAACTGCATAAATCATTTTGAATGCTTTACCAAATTCTTTCAATTTTAAAAATAAATAAATAATAAGGGTCTGTTTGGTATTCACCTTGAATCAAACTTTTTAAACTTAAAAACAGAATTTGAGTCCAAAACAAAGAAAACCTGTTTGGTAGTCCTATTTTTAAAAATTCGAACTCAAGAACAACTAAAAATCACCCCAATTATTAAAAACAAAAAATATCTATTTTTCAGTTTTTTTTTTCTAATAACCTACAAGTTCTCAAATTTTTAAGATTTGAAAACAGTTTTCAAGTTACATATCAAACCAGTTTTTGAATCTTAAAAAAAGAAAAAAAAAAAAAAAAAAAAAAAAAAAAAAAAAAAAAAAAAATTAAGTTTGAGTTCCCTATTTGAATATGATACCAAACGCTTCTTAAATTTCTTTACAACTTTATTTAGGGGAGAGAGGATATTTTGAACAATGTGTTATGTTATGTTATGTGTGTGTGATGCATAATTTTTTATTTATTTTTTTCTTTATGTACTTGGAGAGCAAATGCAGGTGTCGGTGGTAGTAGAAAAATAAAAATGGGCTAGCTTAAGAGAAAAACTTGTATGACACAGCCGTAGCATGCAAGTTGTTCTCGTAATTTAAATCATAAGTTTGATTTTCCATTCCCTTAATATTGCTTGTAGAGAAAAACTTTAAATTAAAAAAAAACAATTATTTATTCTTTCATGTAAGAAAAAAAGAAAAAAGAAAAATGAAAATTCCATGTCTGAAAATTGGAAGTAGAGCTTTTAAAAGATGTGGGCTTCTTGTCCACTCTCAAGTCTCAAGTCACAGTGTTAAGCGAAGTGAATAGAGTTGGATAAAAATGGTGTATGTGCTGCAGAGGCTGGGTTGGGCTCAGTCGGTGGGTCTGATTCTGACACTCTCTGGGGCGGTGCTTTTGATCATTCTCTCAGCCTCAGTCGATGGCCGTCTTGGTCCAACAAGGCCCGTCCACATCTTCAACTTCGGCGACTCCAACTCGGACACGGGTGGACTCGTGGCTGGACTCGGCTACTCCGTCAATCCCCCCAACGGACGTACCTTCTTCCGTAGATCAACCGGCCGCCTCTCCGACGGACGCCTCGTCATCGACCTCCTCTGTAAGTGGACCCCTCCCTTTATACTTGTTAGAATCATAGGATTAGAAACCGTACGTCGATGAAATCGATCTGTGAGTGAGGGGGGGGAGAGGGGGGGGGGGGGGGGGGGGGGGGGGGGGGGGTGGCTCTGGTTGTCTGGCAGTTTCGAGGGTGTGGTGTGTTTGGAGCTTGGAGTTTAGCTTGTTGTTATGCGAGGAAACGACGTCGTGGAGTCAAAACAAATTACATTACATGACGACACGACGTCGTTTGACCCGAAATAAGTTGCATTATGCGATGACACGACGTCGCGTAAAAATCTTGATGTTTAAAGTAATGTTCTTTTGACTACGTTGGTTAGTTCTTCTGCACGTGCAATTAGATATGCTGTGAAAATTTGATTGATTCTATTCGATCCAAACTTTGGGAAGCTGCACGATATAATCACCTTATTAAAAATGTCAACAATGTGAATATAGTTTGACTTATTTCAGAATATGTGTAGTGAATTTGAATTAGGTGCAGCAAGTCATGTAAGTATGCTGCCATGGATATGGAGTCAAAAGGACTTCAGTCAATATTTAATCTTACACCAGTGATTAATCTAATTTGGATCTTGTCCAAGGATTAAATTCTAGTTTCAATGAGATCTGATTAATCTAATATGGGGTAAGTTTTTAAGTTTTTTCTGCCAGACAATCTGTCGATGCGGGTATGGGCGCTTATCGTTTGTGATTTTAATTTGTCTCACAGCATGTGAATGTGCAGTTTAATAAACTGAATACTATAGACACAGTCTAGTCACCCTTGTGGTCATATGACAGAGTGAGAGGAGCATGTATTAAAAAATGGAAACTAAGATAATGTTGTTTTCTTGTGCAGGCCAGAGTCTGAATGTGAGTCTTTTGAGCCCATACCTAGACTCTTTGGCAGGGTCCAGGTTCTCAAATGGGGCAAACTTTGCCGTTGTTGGGTCCTCTACCCTCCCGAAGCGTGTCCCTTTTTCTTTGAATATTCAAGTCATGCAGTTCATCCACTTCAAGGCTACTGCAGGTATATTTGGAATTTGAATTTCCTTGCTGCTTTGACTGGATATTGCGTTATTTGGCTGATTACACTGCTGAATGTGAGCATAGATATTGAGCTTGTGAAAATATTCTTGTGTTGTGAAGATGTTGTTCTTCTGAAAACCAGCTGATTGAATGATACTGCTCAATGTATGTTTAGGTTCAAAACAATTGATAAATGATGACGGTTTCCGGAAAGCACTGTACATGATCGATATTGGACAAAATGACCTTGCTGATTCATTCGCTAAAAACCTTTCATACGCTCAAGTAACAAAGAGAATTCCTTCAGTTATTGCAGAAATCAAGAGTGCCGTTAAGGTGAGTTCAGCGTCTATACAAACTATCATAAAAAGGGCAGGCAGAGTAAAGAAATTATGACAGAAATCCTTAGCTAAATTGATTTGTTATCGCTTTATATCAATGTTGAAATTTCTATTGCATTAATTGTAGGCTTTATATGATCAAGGTGGAAGGAACTTTTGGATACACAACACCGGGCCGTTGGGTTGTCTCCCTCAAAAACTTTCATTAGTTGAGAAGAAGGATTTTGATCCATATGGATGTCTTTCGAGTTACAATGCAGCTGCAAGATTGTTCAACGAAGCACTGCGCCATTTGTGCAATGGGATGAGATCTGAATTGAAGGATGCTGTGATAGTTTATGTGGATATATATGCCATCAAGTATGATCTCATTGCCAACTCCACCAAATACGGTAAGCCTAAGCCTACTTATGCTAATGCAAGCGAGTAGCTTGCTGGTTATTAAGTTCAACCTAGTTGAGGGCAGTACAACTAATTTTGAATGTGTTACGATGTAGGTTTCTCTAGGCCTCTAATGGCATGTTGTGGCAACGGAGGTCCTCCGTACAACTACAATGTCGGGCTGACCTGCGGTCATCCTGGCTCCCAGGTTTGTGACGAAGGATCTCTATTTGTGAACTGGGATGGAATTCATTACACTGAAGCCGCAAACACCATCGTCGCCTCAAAGATACTTTCGAAGAATTTTTCCACACCACGCATTCCATTTGATTTCTTTTGTTGCAGTTAGTAAGGGTTAGAAAATCAGTAGCACTGCATGCTCAAGGCTTGAAATTGTAGCGGTTTACTCCCTTCTCCTTGTACTGGAATGTCCAAATAGGAAATTACAGTTTTAGGAAGTGTATCATGTTGTTGTAAAACATTCTCTTAAGCCTCAATTTTGTATCCCTAATTATTATGGACTAGGCATGTGATTCTTTTGTTAGTGCGTTGGGCCTTTCAAATAGTA